TTGCCGGCCCCTCTTGTACGGGCTCCTCTCCGCTCTCTGTGACTTGCTTGCGGCGACCGTCGTCAAGGTAATCGTCCTCGAAAGCCTGGATCCAAGCCAGAATGGCGTCTTGGAGACGAGCCAGGAGCACCTCCTTGAGCTTCTGGTTCATGTTCTCGACCCAGTAGGGCAGGTTGACATACTGCTCCAAGTTGAGCTGATCGACGGCTGTCTGAATGGTCTCCAAGCGCGAGGTGAAAGCACCGGCTTCGTAGGGGCAAGTGTTGAGCTCTGCAAGTGCCTTCTCGACGGTCGCGTGGATGGACGCCAGGGAAGCAGTCTTGGCCTGGAGCAAAGACACGGCCGCGGCGAACTCGCGGATGAAGAGGCTGTGCTTGCTCTCCGACGGCTTCGAGAGTCCAAACTCGGATACGTTTGGCAGTGTTGCGTTGTTCTTGGTGGAAAAGAAAATCTCGTGCGAGTTGACAAACGACTCCCACCTAAGGGGAACACCTCTGGAGACGAGGGCGTAGACGTCATTCCTGTATCCATAAACAAGGACAGCCTCCTCGCCCATCTCGGAGATTTGACGCATCGTCTGTGAGAAGGTGCGGACGCTCTCCATGAGACTGACCGCGAACGGGTAGACACGCTTGGCGTCCTTGGACACGTTGTTGATGGAATGGGGAACGGCGTAGTTCTGCCACATGAGGTTCCTCGTCTCCTTGAAAAGAGTAATGACTTGGGGGTCAAAGTTGACCAGAAGCTCATAGTTGCCGCCCGTCGATCGCATGCGTCGGATGTCAAACAAGAAGCCAGAAATGGAGATCTGTCGGCGCTGAACATCGTCGAGCCAGGCCTTGTAGATTGTCTGCGTGTCCAGCTTCTTTCTGAAGAGATTGCTCTCGCTCTGGAGCTTCTGGCCTTCGGCATGAATGGCCCACTCGGAGCCCAACACGTCCTCGACCTTCTTCATGTAGTTATCGAGCTGATGCTCGATCTGGCGAGCCCAGATGATAGCACCAGAGACAGGTGGCAAGTCACGCAGCTGGGCCATGGCGTGGGCCTCGGAGTGGCCGTATTGCTGCTTAAAGCGCTCGTGGAGGCCATGGATGGCCTGTTTGACGTGCTCCATCAGCTGGTTCTGGTACTCGGCAATAGCACCACGAATCTTGGGGCGCACGAAAAGAGCGTTGAACTTGGAGAAGACACGGAACATCTCGTTGGCGTTCTTGGCCGTAGCCAAACGGTCGCGCAAGCGCGCGATGATGGAGTTCTCCACTCGAGACGTCCGCTCGTTGTACATATTCTCGGCCTTGGCCCATCGCTCCGTGCCCTCGGCGGAAACATCCAGGAGGTCGACGTTCTTCAACGCCTCCCACGCCTGCTTGACTTCCTCAACTGCATCAACGTCGCCCATCTCTTCCACGACGACGACGCCGTTGGTGTTGGTGGTCTCGGTAAGGCCGCTCACAGTAGCCTTGGGGCCAAGCACGTTGACGATGGTGCGTTGGAGCTGCTCGTGGTTGTCACGGAACGTACTGACGTACTTGAGGCGACCTTGAAGCTCGGCATGTTTGGGGTTAACCTTGATGGGAATGAACTTTTCGTTCCTCCGGCGCGTGACCTCACGGGCGACGTTTGTGAACTCCTTGATGCTCTCATCCCAAGTGGTGAAGATGTCTTCGCTGGCCTTCATGATGGCCTTGAACTCGTTGTAGTCGAGGTTCACGAGCTCTGTTCCAGGCAGAAGTCGGTGCAGTACCTCGTCCAGGTCTCCCGAGATGGCCTCCACGAGCGGCAAAGCTCTCCGAATTGGGTACGGGCAGATCCTCAGCTTCCTGTTCAGGTGGCCAAAGATTTGGATGATGGCGTCCTTCACCTTGGACAGAGACGTTGCGGAGAGCAGCTCGTCAAGCGGGAAATCTCGCATGAGCTGGTTGTACTTCTGGACCTTCTCCATGGCCTCCTTCAAACCCGTGTCGGCCGTAAAACTGACAGTCGCCTGGAAACGCTTGGCGTGCTTAAGAATCTCCAGAGTCAAGAGAACGCCCTCGCTGCGGAGCTGTCCCTCGATGCCCTCAAGGGCGGACTCCATCGATAGCCAAAAGTTGACCTCCTGACTGGCGGTGAACTTGAAGTCCTTGGCACTATCCGCAGGGTCCCTGGTCATCCTAGTGATGACCTGAATGGACTTGATCCAGCTGTTCACGTTGTTCTGCAAGCTGTTGAGGAAGGTACTGTCGGAGAGGACGGTGCCGGGAATGAGGTCGAGGGTGGGTTTCGAGTGCCGCGACTCAGCCTCTTCCAGCGCGTTCTGCACCATGGTGTGGAACATCAGGGAGACCTCGGGGATTTCGACATTCTGCTGCAGGTGAAGCAAGCTCAGCTCCAAGTCGTTCCACCTCTTCTTGGTGACCGGAATACCCGTCTTGGAGTCCACATCCGCCCTGCCCCTAGCGCCGTTGGCGATCTGGCTGCGGGTGTTGGCATCGAAGTACGGAGCCAGCGCATTGTGAACGTAGGAGTGCAAAATCTCAAAGGGCGAAGTGGAGGGGCCCTGCTCGCCAGCGGTAGCATTCAGAGTCGCAGGGCCTGGCAGATTAGTAAGGAGTATCTGGGAAGTGAGCGGGATCGTGGGATCGATGGGGCCAGGGCGCTGCTTGAGCAAAACAAGGCACGAGACGGTCGTCGGGGATGAGGAGATCTCGGTAGTCAGGGAGTAGGTGTAGGCCGGGGACTCTGCAATCGCGTGGTTAGCGGTGTCCTTCCCAAGAAGCAGGTCGCCATGCGGGTTGAACAAACTTGAGTCGTCGGCTCCGTTCTGTATTGTGGACGCCGGCAGGATGTCCTTCTGAATGTACAAGGCGTTCGGGGTATCGGTCGCGAAGCGGGTGCAGCGCTGGATGGTATCGGAGTAGCGGTGCTTGTGAAGCAAGCTTCCGGGGCTCTCGAGGTCTTCGTTGGTGGCCCCGAGAGCTATCTGGCAGGCCAGAGCGATGTGATCGAGGACGCGGTTCGGGTCGATCGAGGGGTCGGCGGTGGGCGAGGGGACGCCGTTCGCGCCCGGGATTTGGGGTGATGCCACCTCCATGGCGGGCGGTGGACTGTTTCGGACGAGGCAAAAAGACGATATTTACAGGATCGAAGTCGGCATCATCGTAGGTACGATGGTGGACGGAAATGTTGCGATGAGACAGTAGGTCTGTCGAGTCAAGAGGGCAACCTCAGGGGGGCGATGATTGTCTGGCCGCGGGACCAAGGGTCTGGAATGCGGTGGGACGAAAAAGAAGTGGAAAGGAAAGAAGGCAAGCAAGTGCTAAAGGAGAGTTGGATATCCTTGGGCGGACGAGGGTATCGCGTACGGGAATCGAGAGTGCTCGTCGTCGTATATGAGTCGCTGATTATTCGCGGCTGGTTGATGCGCAGCTCAGGTTCGGGCGTGTCGTGGAAAGGTCTAGGTTGGCGCAGGGTAAGGTAGGTACGATATGGATAATCTGCAATGTTGACTTTCCAGACATTTGTTGGAGTCCCCGGACGGTTGACTTGTCCAGGTTCCACTTTCACGTCGCCTCAAGCATCTCTCTGCAGCAAGGACGGGAGGTAATTAAGGTACACTGAGCAGAGGAAACATGCAAAGAGGTACATGGCCCACATTTCCCTGAAGTCTACGAGTTTTACGCGACCAGGCGGCACCCCTGTCGCGACGGGCATGTGTCAGGAGGTTTGCTGGCCACTGAGGAGCGTGTCCCACTATGGACTGCGGGGCCCATTTGATTGGCTGCACCCCTTCTCAGTCACTCAGTCTCATCAAATCAGAAGCTAGCTCCGATTTGGATCCCTTCTCTTTCCTGTGCTGGCATTGCTGGCAATGCTGGATAGAGGAGCATTCACGGCAGTCAAGAGGAGCTCAGACACGCTGTCCCCTTCGACTCCTTCCCAATCCCCCTCCATCCGCTCCCGCCCATCCGCCTCTGCATCCCATCCCGTCTGTACCAAACATAATTCTGCAATGCTGCATCAAGGTCCCTTCCCTGTGCATGTATGTCCACGAATTGATACGCCGCTAGCCTCTCTTTTTAAACTTTTTGTATTCTTTCTGCGTCACTTCTTTAACCTAAACCGGTTGTGCATGGAAAGAATACCCAGCACAGCAGGTCTGCGTTTCTTCTCTCACATGCCGGTGTCTTACTCATATTCAACCATAATCAATGCCATCATCTCCTCTGCCGTCTTCAGCTTCGCACACGCAAGGGTCAGCCAATTAACTCACATGTCTACCTGCATGCTGCCCTTTGTGTTGTCCCAACTCGTCCTCTGTGCCTTGGCCCGTTTATGATCCCCCAGCCCTGGCTGTTCAGATGATACCAAACACAAAACAGGCCCGTCTAATCTGCCACAGCCAACGCCCACTCCCACTATCCTTGGGTCCCGAAATTACTCTTAAAATCGCCTCATTATTAGCAGCGGCCCCTGCCTGGTAGCTCGAGCTGCAGCATCCCGCCAGCCCGCGCGCCCTGCCCCACTAACTTCACACTGCACTGCGGAAGCTCGGTCGTCCCTGGCTGCGCCGTAGCCTCGCCTGACGTCAAATGCCCGCCGCGACGCGTCTGGCACGCTGCGCGCGGCTTGTAAACGACCATCCACAGCCTCGTCACGGAGTGTTTGCTGCTGCGGCAATTGGCTCCTATGTAAATCAAAAGTTGAATGCTTGCTTCAGTCATGTTCGCGGTATTTGCTGGTGCTAAAACCCGCCCAATGCAGTCCCAAACTTCCTAGAAAAGACACAAAAACTACCTTGTGGACCCAAAGCTCTAACGGGACCTTGGAACGCGACCAAAACGACTCCGACCGAATCAAACACCTGATCCCATCCTGCCTTACTCTCCAAACTGCCGACGGCCATGCTTCCGCGACGCAGAAAAGAAAGCATCGTACAAGCCCATCCGCGAACCCGATTCCCAGTCCTAACCCGCCATGCAAGGATACCCCTCTGGATTGAACCCTCCAAGTTTTCGTTCTCAAGTACCGTTGTTGCCGGCGCCCTCGGGGCCGCCAAGCCTTTCCCGTTGAACCATGACACGCTGGTTACAGATGTCGATAAACATCTCGAACCTCTCAATGATCTGGTCCTTCTCCACGAGCTTCTTCTTCAGCTCGTCCACCTCCTTCTGCTTGTCCTCCTTGAACTTGTCAAACTCCTCACGGGCTTTGGCGAGTTCCTTTCTGAGGTCCGCCCGAATGCGCTCTTCAGCCGTGGGATGTGGTTTGCTGTAAATCGCCGGTCGGTTCTCGGCCAGGCCAGTGGCCACCTTTTGTGGATTCCGGTTGATCGCAGCCCGGGCGTTGTAGATGTCGCGAGGAAGCAGGGGAACGTGAGGGTTTTCGTTTTGAAGTATTTCGAGTGTCTCGTTAACACTAACCCCTGTCGAAGAGTCAGCGGCTGCTCTTTCTCGTGGTGTGGTCTTTGTCGGCTCACCGTTCTCTTTGAGAGCCTTGACGGCGGCGACCATCTTGCTGTCTAGCTTGCGAGCGGCCGGGTGTAGGAGCGGGCTTTCGCTCGGCCCGTGGTTGTGCTGCAGATGCTGCGGATCGGGTCGGTATCGAATCGTCCACTGGGTTCGCTGCTCGATGGCAAAGAAGCCAAACTGGCAATCGCATTTGCGCGACGACGTCTTGCGCTTGCGGAACTCAGGGCTGACACGGCTCGGCGGTTTGCCCGCTCTGTCGCACACGAACAGGACTTTCTTCAAGCCAGGGACTGTCTTTTTGGAGCGTCCAATGACAATCGCGTAGCCGACCGACGTGCAGTACGCGAGAACACTCTTATGGACCGCCTCCAGGGTCGGGAAACTACCGCCCTCGGGGGGAGCGGACATCATCTCTCCCATTGGCGTCCGAGGAACAAACGGGGTTCCGTCGAGCATCTTGGGCTCGAGGGAGTCGTCACCTTCAGCCAGGGTTTCGACCTCCATACTGTCCTGGTGGTGCTCGCTGGCCTGGGCTGGCGTCTCGGGTCTAGGCTGTGCGGGCTGCTGCACCTGCTGCTGGACTGGAGAAGCCTGCGGCACTTGCTGGGCCTGCTGGACTTGCTGGACTTGTTGCGGAACCTGCTGTATTTGCTGTACTTGAGGAACCTGCGGGAGCTGCTGCTGCACCGTGGGAGGTGTAGGCTGGGACAGAGCCTGCTGGGCCTGGGCCTGGGGCTGAGCCTGGTGGGAAAGGATCGGCTCATTCTTGATCTGCTGCTGGGTCAAGTTCTGCTGCTGCTGGTGGAGGTTGTGCTGTTGGCTCAGCTTTTGCTGCTGGCTCAAGGTCTGCTGCTGGTGTTGCTGCGCGAGATTCTGCTGCTGCTGTTGGCTGAGGTTCTGCTGCTGGCTCAGACTCTGCTGTTGGTGCTGCTGCTGCTGCTGCTGCTGCTGATGTTGTTGTTGCTGTTGCTGCTGCTGTTGGTGCTGCTGCTGATGCTGCTGGTGCTGCTGGTGCGCCTGATGTTGTTGGTGCGCCTGGTGTTGTTGATGTTGATGCTGCTGGTGCTGGTGCTGCTGACCCAAGCCTTGCTGTTGGCCGAGGCCTTGCTGCTGACCCAGACTCTGCTGTTGCCCCAAGCCTTGCTGCTGGGCCAGGCCTTGTTGCTGTCCAAGGCCTTGGTGTTGACCCAGGCCTGGCTGCTGGCTCAAGCCCTGCTGCTGGCCGAGACCCTGCTGATGACCGAGGCCCTGCTGCTGCCCCAGGCCCTGTTGTTGGCCGAGGGCCTGCTGCTGTCCAAGACCCTGCTGGTTGCCCAGAGGGAGGAACATGGAAGGCGCGTTTTGGGGCATCTGCTGCCTCTGGGGAGGCCCCCTCTGGCGGCCGAGGGCGGCGGCATTGGGGACGTGGCTCGGCGGACGCGAGTTTCCGTTGACGTTGCCATTGACGGGCGTTGGGGTCTGAAAGAGATGATGGGGATACTGAGCCTGGGGAGGCTGCTGAGGCGTATATGCTTGTTGTTGATAAGGCGACGCGTTGTGAGGGCCCGGTGATGGTTTTTGCTGGGCAGGGTTCGCGTGTAGAGGCGGGAAGCCTGGGCCGCCGTGGCTGCGTCGAATGCCTGGCTGGGGAAAGGCGAGGCCGGGATGGCTATTCGGACCCGACTGCCCCAGACTCGACATCGTGTCGAGGGAAGGGTCGTCGACGGTTCAAAGGAGCAGGAAAGCGAGAGGAAAGGGAAAAAAAGGAACGAGTGTTGAGGTCGGACGTGTGCGCGTGAGGGTGAGGGGGACGCTCGTCGGCGGCGGCGGCGAGGGTCGTGGAAAACCTGTACGGGGGCGGTTCGGGACGGGCTCAGCGCAGGGCGTGAGCGTGGGCGTCGACGTCAAAGTCGTTCCCTCGATGTCGTTGAGCCTCCGCTATCGTGAAGCGAATCCCAGAGATGCTCAAAAGGATGCAACGAACGAACCCTTGAATGTGGTCTGGGGGTGTCGATAATGGGATTGGGGGGAGGGAGAGGCGTGGAGTGTGTGTGGGTTCTGGGAGGTGTGCACAAAAAAGAAGGGGGAGAGCAAACATGCGAGGTGTGAAGGGTGGTGTGTGAGGAAGAGAAGGGCGGCGGACATGGAAGAGACCTGGGCGGATTGGGGGGGAGGGACGCGGACGTGGACGGGACCGTGTGGACGACAACACACTGGTGGGAAAGGCCAGAGAGTGTCAGAGCCCGAGCCAGAAGGCAAAAAAACATAAAAAATAAAAATAACAAATCGGGCGAGGGAGAGCGAGGACCAGGAGGGGGGGAAGGGAAGGGAAGGGGGGAGCAGAGGCCTGAAGGGAGAAATTTTCTGTGGCGCGGGCCTTTTCTTTGGGCGCTCCCAAACTGCTCTTGGGGCGAAAAAAGGGGGGACCAGACTCAAGTGAAGGGTGAGAAGGGCGGCCTGAGGACCGCCTGGGCTCGACAGAAGGACAAAAAAAACAACACACACTAACAATCCCCCATCCCTTCCCTTCTCGAGCCAATACCAGCTGGCTGAAGTGAGGCGGGTGCAGGCACGTGATTCGGCCAGAAAGCGAGCGGTGATGTCACACGAGCCCGAGCGCTTGTCCTTGAGGTCGGGTTTCCTTTGTTGGCCGCGCTGGCTTCTTTTTTTAAACGCCACCCCCAAACATTCGGCGCGAAAACACGCAATAACAACAGACCGCAAAGGCAACGTGTTTCGATGAGGGGGGGGAGGATACGAGCGGTGGGAAAACATCGGATTATTAAGCGCGTTCGGTCGAAGGAGCGGGCGAAGAAAAAGAAGGGGAGGGACAGTTCACATAGAGCACCTCCGCAGCGTTGTCTACAAAACGAGGCTCGAAGAAGGCAAAAAAGTCCATTGTCGCGACTTGTCCATCACCAAGATACACTACAGAACCCAATGATGGACAAATCAAAGTGACAGACAGCCACGGGCCGCTTGTCCACCTCCCGGACAGAGGCGTGCGACTGGGGCAGAGCACAGAGAGGCTTCTCTACCTATCCCCCTCTCCTCGCGGGGAAAAGTGACAGTTGAGGCGAGATGTCCAGGCGTCGCCAACGCTTCCTCCCGTCCGTTGCCCTCGGTGGTGCTGGTGTTGGCGCCGGTGGTGCTGGTTCGAGTCGAACCTGACAATTTGACATTGACAGCTGCTGGAGTTGCATGCCTTTTTCTATCCGCACTCCTGGGCTCCAGCGCGGTCATCAAGCCTACCTAGGTAGGTTGCGCTTGTACCACCCTCTCTCGCAGGTTCCTTTCCACCCACAACCAGCCCCGGGGGAGCTTCAGCACGGGAACACGCCCCCTCCAATTGCGCCTTGCGCGCAACTCTCGGGTCCCCTTGGAAAACCCTGAATGAGAACCCCAAGAAACGTCCCCCGCCAGGGGGTTTGAGTTCTTGTCGCACATGATCTTCATTCGTTTAGCTGAGGATCAAATTCGCCGACGTACGCTTAGGTCTTCGGCTCGCCGGTCTTCAGCACAGGTAGGTAGATGGATGCACGGCTCGCGACACCAACCGTCTCCCGCTCGCTGCGCCTACGGGGGGTTCCCACGGCTTGCTACAGCACCCAGCTGCCCCCTGGAGCCCGCAAAATCAGCCCTACCACTTCCTTCCCCCTGGGATCCAGCGAACTAGAAAAAGAGCTGGGCGGCCTGTCTGTGCTTCGCCGTGCTTTTTAAGTGGAGGTCTCCCCCCATCGCCCGACCAGGCCGCATCCCTGCCCCCTCGCCCAAATCATCCGAGTATACACCGACTTCACCGAGATGCTCTAAAGCTAGCTCCCTACCACGTGTTTGTGGGACTCTTCGACCTGAGCACTCGGGATAATCCCGTGGACAACACGATCTTTTTCTTACCTTTTGAATAGGCGCATAGTAACGCCTGGGCCGTTGGTCTGGTTTGGTGGGTTGATGTAGTCAGCCTACCTTCCTCAACACATGTCCCAATTATCAGCGACGTAACCAATTTCAAATCATTGATGAAAGCGTGAGAAAGCCTCACTTGTTTGACACAGCGATAGATTAGTATCAGTCCCTTGTGGTCTAACCTCAAGATCAGATAGCATTCAAAATCATTTTCCGGGTATACTACCATGACTTCGTCCTAGCACTCTCAAGACTTGCATTATCCCCAGCTTCGACTAAGAAGCCTCTGTAGTACGACATGGTATCTTTCGCTCTCTCTCTGTACGCCAAAATCCCAGACCAATTCCCCATCGTGCATGGAACCATTACTCTATGATGCAAAATCGACATGGACGTCATTCGTCCCTCTTCTTCCTCTTGCTAGGCCTCCGCTCCGTCTCTCCGTCCACAAAGTGGCCCTTGTCCTGTTGATGCTGCTTCAGATTATCCGGCCGGTTCTTGTACTGGCTCGTGCAGCCGGGATACGGACACCGGTATATTTTGGGAGGCGCCGTCGAGTGCTGTAGCTTCTTGTGTTTTGCCATGCTGCCCTTGAACCACTGCGGGTCGCCCTTTGGTTGATATCCACATATCTCGCAACAGTCGCTGGCCCTCACCTCCACCTTTGATCCTGGGCCGCTTGGAGACACTTGCGCAGACTCGTTGAACGATTCGGCATGAGCGTTGGTTGTCGTGGGCGGCGTCGGGAAAATCGTATTTATTGAGTTTTCGCCGGTTTCGCAGAATCCCGTTATAGGGTCGGCGAGTATGGTGTCGTTCATCATCATCTGAACGTCGGACAGTGGCGATGGCACGACAAGCGGGTCTTCCTGCACCATGAGAAACCTTTCCCACGAGTCATCCAGTGCCGTTGTTGTATTCCTGATAAACTCTTCTAGAGCCGCCTCGCCGGTTGTCTCGGTCGCGTCATGTATGGCATGTTTGATCGCCTCCTTTTCGCAGATGCTGGAGATGATGGTTTGCATCAGATCAATACCGTGGACATAGTATCTCGTTCGTGGCATCTCCCCAAGTATGTGCTGATTGTAGAGACCATCGAGGAGCTCTCTGACCTTGGGGACATAACTATCAAAGTATTCTTGTACTATCACGCATCCCTGGCAATAGTGTCAGTGCCGTGGTGAGGAATGGCTTTTCGCGAGGCCTACCTTGCCAGCTTGTATCAGCTCCAGCTCCGCCCTCCTTGCGCTGCGAACACTGCCGTTGTCGATGCGTTTTTGGATACGCTTGATCTTCGAATCAAGGCCCTGTGTATGGCCAAAGTCTCGATGAATCTCGCTTCGCAACGTTCCGAAAGTCGCGGCTAGGCTCTCTTTCACGGTCAAGCTGTTGGTGGCATCCGTGGAGTGCTTTGTCCAGAGAATCGAGCCAAGAACCTCGCTCGACTCGAGATCCTTGCTCGGCAAAGCGGCATGTTCCAGCTCTGGTCTCCTGGGTCAGTGGTAAACAGTACGTGTGTGCGGATGACCTACCGTCCAAGAAGAAGCGCGCCACTTCCAACAAGGTATTATCTTCCGGCCGGCGTCTCGCTCCTGAAGAGGCTCGCTCCTTTCCCTTCAGGCTGGACGATCTGGAGACTGTACCTTCGTGTCCTTCCAATAACAGCTCGTCCAATTCACTGGGTGACAAGTCCAAAGGTTGCCAAATCGCCGATGCCACCTCGGCGTAGTCTGTTCGCTCCCACGCTACAAGCAAGCTACTGCAACGGAAGGCTTGAGCAAAGAGCTGCTTTGAGCGGTTGCGAGCGTCGTCCTCGTGGACTATGAGGGAAAGTGAGTAGGTAACGTGGACGAAGCAGAGCATGTCGATGCTGCTTGTTGGCTGTATGCCCTCGAGTAGAACCTTGAGTGTAACAAGACCCCTGTTGGCTACATCCTGTGGTGATAAGCTTTGTAGCTGTCCCACAAGAGGGTTGTGAGAGAGGTGTTGCAGCTTCTCCAAGGATGAGCTGATGTGAGTCTTCAGCGTATCCCATGTCGATTCGACAAGGGAGTTTGCGTCGACAGCATAAACAGGCATGGTCATCTCTGTTGCTTTTGCCACAGAGGTCGAAGCGTTGGGCGTCTTTTCGTAAACGACGGCGCTGCTCTCGCTCGAATGCAGTGCCGCAATCGACGTGTCCAGAAGGGGCAGCCGCTGGTCGCAGTTCAGATCGTCTGGAAGAGTCGTGGGAAGTGGCTGGAGCATGATATCGTCTGCTGGAAGTTCCGAGATGAAGGCATGTGGCGGTACGCTATAGTTCGAGTAGCGGCTTGCATTGGAGCAACCGCGAGAGAGTAACCCACCGGAACTGCCGTCAGACGTTGGTGAAGTGAGGCTAGTCTCGGCAGTCGTCCAGGCACCGCTGAAGGCGGAGGCGGGAGAAACGAGGTAGCTAGCCGTCGTGTCGGTGCTCGCGTTCGATCTAAGTGAATTGCTCGGGGAAAGATTCTTGGCTCGAGTGGTAGGATGATGCTGTCTCCGATGCTGCTCAAGACCGTGGGTGTGTAGAGACAACGATGGCCTGTCGAATCTGCCGGTGACGTTTTCACTTTCATTGAGGCCGGTTGGCAAGGGCCAGTCGAACGAGAGGTCAGGCATCACGGACATGGTGGATTCCAAGCCTGCCGTTCCCATGACCATAGATACTGCTGGCGTGGTCTCCATGATGTCGTGATGGACATTCGTCGGCGTTGGAAGAGACACCTCAAGGGAATCGATCTCCAAGATTTCGGAGCATGATGATAGCTCGACCTGCTGAGGCTGAATACAAGAATCGTAGCTTGGCGGTGGAACGATGGCGATTTCGGATACGTTCTTCATGTCGAGGTCTCGCATATCCTGGTTCCTAGACTTCTGCCCCAAAGAAGAAAAGAAGTTCTTTGCGACGGACATGATCTTACGTCTCTTTCCTGGGTGGCCAAGACAGCGCTTGCACTTCCCATCGGTGAACTTCTCGGCCTTTCCACATTCGTAACACCAGTACTCGCCAGTAGAGAGCTGATCGCAGCTGTACAGGTGCCTCAACATAGCCTCGTGGTTTGGGAACCTCTTGCGACAGCGCAGCAGTGGACATTCGAGACGGTCAGTGGCTGTCATTTTCTGGGACGTGTTGCGCTGGACGGCGGCCCAGACGATGAACCTGTGGAGTGCACATTGGTCTGGGGTGACGGTGCGAGTCCTACGGCAACTCTCAGCTCGAGATCTATAACGACCAGGTGGTGTCCAAAGTTTAAGCATGATTGACTTACACGCATGAGGGGGAACTGGTGGAGTCAATGGAGGAGCGGGTTGAGGACGATGAACTCGTGGAGCACGAGTCTCGTCGCGGTCGTGCTCGACTGAGGCGGGATGAGGTGAGAGCTCGTAGGGCTGAAGGACTCTGGTTCACGGAACGGCGGTCATCCCCGAAGGGCGACAGCGAGGTTTTCGACTCCATGGTGCTTCCAGGGACGGAGTCGAGATGGCAGATGCGATGGCAAGGAAGACTACGGTCGGCAAAGCGGCGACCAAATGAAAACCAATCCGCCAACCATTTTTGATTTATCTGGCCATGCAATGAATGGAACCTGCAAGATGGGACGTCCTAGAATCCAGGACTCGGTAGCATCCCTAGGACTTGAACGGTGGGTCGGGACTGGCTGGAAAAGGTGGCCTCCGCCCGGCAGATGCTGTGCGTGGGAGCGAGTGCGTGCAGGCTGTGTGTGCTCAGCCTGCCAGCATTATCGGTCTTGGTCAGAGAGGGGAAAGAGACATCCGGTGTGGAGAGCCCACCTCGGCGTCAAGGTGTAATACTGCTAAGGTGAGGTAAGCGGGCGTGGCGGTGGCATGGGCATGAGCGTAAGCTTGGGGCTGGATGACCGGAAGACGGTGTACCTAGGAAGCTCCCACGGACGAGATTCAGCCCACGCTTGAGGGCGAGTTGGCTGCGCATGTTAGTGACATACATTGTTGCATGTTCTTCGCCGTTGGCCAATCCCCCCTTGACGGAGAGAGCGAAACAACAGCTTCAGTACCTAAGCCATTGCTGTCCCTAGCCAACATTGTTAAGACAAGACCGACGACGGCTACCTCCCTATTGCGGACTCCTCAATAAGGTTGAATTCGAGTGCAAAGAAGACTGGATACGATGGGCATTCCGCTGCGTCAGCTGGCTAGAATTCTTCCGTAAATCAAGAATAAGTCGTGCAAGACGAGCAAGACGAGTCTTGCAGTAACAAACGCATATACAATCCAAAGACCTGGCCAATCACGCCATCTCATCTGCCTGAAGAGACAGCAAGGCATACTCGGCGGTTCCGTCTGACCCGAGACGAGCTGGACTCCAGACCGATGACTGGACGGCGAGCCGCCACAACGGCTAGAAGCGCTGTGGTGCGATAGTAACAAATGCAGGCACCTAGAGCTGTTTTGCTGTGGAAAAACCACCTTGCCTTCCGCCAGAGGGACACTGACGCAACCCGTTGGAATTGGAACGACTCTGTCGGCGGTTTCACAACGAACGCGCCAAAGCAGGGTATCGGAGGGCTCCAATGTCCGGTTCCGTTGCATGGCAGGTGAAAAAGTCCTGGGCTATATGGCGCTATGATCTCACGTGCCGCGATCGTGGTGGCTTTGCACATTGGATTTGGCTGCTGGATACGAGCTTGAGGCTGGAGCGAAGCCGAGCAACCCTGCACCTGGATGACGTCGAGAAGATTCCCTCGTCAACCTATCAGACAATCTCAATGATCGAGGCGATCAAAGGTTGTCCGGCAAGCAAGGAAAGGGGGAAGCTCAGAAAGCAGGCACTGGCCAGCATCGTATGTTGGATCCTGCACTGTTCCAATGATAGAATCCGTACCGTCGGATGGAGAGCAAGCAATTGTGTCGTGGGCACTCCGCCAGCTGGCATCAACCAAACAACTGGTTGCGCTCAGTTTTTGCGGAAACCCATCACGACAACGACAGCATCCATCCCGAATACAGCGTTGCCCGTCGTCAATTTTGCCGCCAGCCAGAAACCTGGGATAGGCTTGCTGCTTGGTCCAGGCCAGGACCCTGATCTAGTGTAACCAACAGAGACAGTCCGTCCGGTCTTTGACAGCATCAACGGATGATCAGCATCTCAGGCAGAGTGCCTCTTGCACAAATTTCAGCCTCTCTACCGAGCATCTGGCAAGCAGCTGTTTAGCGTCACGGTGCGATCATGGCATGCTCCCAATACGTACGTACCCACCGTGATGGCACATGTCTGTGTTTGATAATTACCACTGCCAAGGGTGTTTCCGCCTAAAAGCCTATGGGGGTTCTGGGCCGCCCTCTAGCAACTACCTAGGGTACGGCTTACCGCCTGCTTGAGCGAACCGACGATGCATGGCTATGAGAGTGGTCGATACGTCTATCACAGCTAGCACGGAACTCTAGTCTGGTGTAGGCTATAATCCATGGTGCCTGAAACCGTAGCAAACTGTTCCGGTTAGGAGCCATGTAAAAATCCTAGCAGCTCGTCGCTTCTTTCTTTTTGAATCTCTTACAGCCAGTGACTCGGGACGGCAGCAACTCCCGGCCGATCTCGCCGACCAATCCGTCTTCCGCCAAATCCGAACGTCTCATGCCGGCATCAGGCGGCGTCATGGCTCCGTGATGAGTGGCACTATTTAGGGACGTTTCGACGATCAATTGCGTGGACACCGAGCTACTTGGGATGGTGTTGTGTTTTGAGTTGCTTTCTTCGACATGCAATACGTTCAAGCATTTTGCTCCATACAAGCAGCACGGAGTCGTTCTCGTTCGGGCTAGACTGCCAAAGAGGGTCTTCGTCGGGGAGACGATCTTCGAGGGCATAGCATACTTGCTGCAAGCTCCTTACCCGCTGTTTCAGATGGCGGGCGTATGGGCGGGTCGTCGCAGCCAGCGTCTTTGTGCATCCGGAGCATCGCATGCTAAGGACTTGCGTATGCTGCATGCTGGCACAGCCCAATCAGGCGCAACAAAGAGGAGATGGGGGCTCCGTCGTCTGCCAAGTTGTCGGCTTAATAAGGTAAGATGCTACCTTGAAGACGAGAGCTCAGAAACACCATCGCGAAATGCGGCTACAGCGGGTCCACCTAAGCACCTCACTAGTGCTTGCATATCGTGCCATGTTTGCGCGGCACGAACCTGCTGCTTGGAGCGAATGAAGGGAGCTCTGGGGCAACAGATAACATCTTGGCTAGTCAATAGTCACCCTAGACTGCTCATCAGGGGCTGGCCTTTGCGGGGATTTGTTTTAGCCGATTCCGGCTTGCAGAAGGGCGTTACAGAAACGCCTATCAACTGGGGCGAGTATCAAATAGAGAGTATGGCAGCAATCCGCAGACAACCCACAATCCCTCAACTTGTTCGTCAGATACGAGGCAGGGGGCTGCCATTCTTCAGCAGCATTCGCTCGCCGTACCACTACCAATGTCACTCTGATTGAGTGTTAGGTCAGTGGGCGAGCAGACCCCAAGGTTAGTCAGCCAACAGCGCGTTCCGGGCATGGACCAATAATACGCCTGCAGCACGACTGGTTTGCGTTTACTTCCATAACACAACAGGGAAGGAGCTGAAACACGACGCGCCACGGAAGATATTGGCGGTGACACATACGGCACGTTGCCAGCACTGTGGCCATGTTCAAAAGACACGGTGACGTCCCAGCCATCTGTTCTGGATGGTATTCGAGTTTTAGAAGGACGGAACATGCGTTGGATGATCAAAACCTTCGATGAATGCGCTTTCGCCAGCGGCATCGGCGTGGACTTGATGAAGCAAACGAAGACCAGGGACTGCCCACCATGTTGTCTTCGTCGGGCCAAGTGTCGAGCTGGTTGCGATAGAGCCTTCCGCCAAGTGCTGAGAAAACAACCATTGATACCATTCAGAGTGGCGGCCTGGCAGATACTGATCATGTCTTCGGCCCGGGCCCATGCCGGTGGTGGTTGATAATGGCCGAGTCTAGTCTGTGCAATATTCGGGCACTACTTGCGGCTCATGTTCCTGGCTTCTCAGTTCGTTCATAACTTATGACATCCCTTACCAAATTACCAAGACCAGTGCCTTGGCCCCTATACTCAATCATAGGGACTGTCTAAGGGCGCCACCGATCTTCTGTCAGACACGCAATTGCGACATTTGTCAGTTCGCCAAAGATGACCCCGGACCGGTCCTCACTACATTCCGCTTGATAGCCCTCCTCAAGCAAAAGCATCAACTCGAATGGAGCAAGAATCTCCTCTGGGGAACATGTATTTCTCTTATAAAACGGATCCCCGGTAAAGCTCTTGGAAGGTTTTTGGCTCCGTCAAGGAGCCTGTCCTAGTCGATTTGTTGTCTGCAAGTGGCGGCGTGAAGGAATGCTGCACCCTGGGACCATCCAGTGCCTTCTCGCTGGATAGGGAGCGTTATCTCCCACATTCCAAAGGAGCGATAATGTGCGTAAGAGTTACTAAAGCTTTGGTTCATCTCGAAAAACTAATAAGAACCCATATAGGGTCAGATCTCTAATCTTGGAGCTGTTCTCCGCAGCCCGTCAAGGCCCATTCATTCGTTTAAACACTTACACGCTCGTTTATCCAACTGCTCGACAGCAACCCAGTCCTTGGCCATTTGTTTGATATTGCACAAAAATCCAGTTAGCATCACAGGGGTTCTCATTCTTTACAGTCGCCTCCAACATGGTCTGGGTGAAGCAGGCTGCAGTGTTGGCTGCCGCGTCCCTTTCCGTGGTGGCTCGCGCAAACGCCATCCCTGACAGTGGTTCCGTTGATTTTGGCGACGGCGCCCCGCTGCCGTCGATCCCCGCTGCTTCCGCCGACGACCTCCGCAAGCGTCAGACCATAGGAGGATTCCTCGACACCGATGCTGGCCCTCCCGTCACGGGCAACTGCAATGTGGCGGCGACCTTCATCCTAAACAATTTGGGCCAGATGGTCGTTGGAAACTCGTTCATCTCGGTGAACCCAGGCACGCCCTTCATCCCCCTCCGCCCCATCAACCCGGTTGGCTCCATCAGCGTCGCTTTCTCCGTCAGCAATGGCCAGCTCGTCTGGTCGGACCCCAGCTTCTTCGGTGGCCGGGCTGGGTTCTGTCAAGACACCGCCGGCCAGGTCTTTGCAACATTTGCCGACCCCGCTGTGGCCTACCCTCCGAATTGCCGCGCCGTACAACTCGGTTCCGTTTTGGGTATGTGATATCTCATTCGCTTTTTAACCTGCATATGGAAACCTTTTGCTGACACCTACCTGCAGCGTCGTCTTGCAAGGACGGTGCCATTGTCAGCAGCTCTTCTTCGACGACAACCACCAGAACGACCACCGTAAGGAGCTTGAGAGCTCCCAGTGGTCCCATCACCACGACGCCGTATGCGATTCCGACGACGCGTGCCGTTGTCAACAGTACGCTTACTCTCCGTCCCGGTTTGTACACCGAGGCCGGCTTCGTGAACCCTGCCGGGGCTTCCTGCCGGGTCGTCACCGAGTCCTGGGTTTTTGGACAAACAACACTTCTGCCCCCCCGTATCACGGGTCCTTAGACGGACCAGTAGGTTGGCGGTGTCAATGTGATGCGTGAACTGTCAGTGTTTTTTTTTTTTTCGTGGCTTTTTCCGCCTGGAGCTCGTGGTACATAAACCGCATGTGACGTTGAGGCTTTTTTTGCTACCATGTTGATGCAGCTGCATGCCATTTCCCGTAAATACAGTGGTAGTACAAGCATGAAGATCTACTGAGAAACGAACAAATACGGCGCGCCGGTTCAAAAAAAAAATTTGAACCATCGCCATGCCCGATGGAATCCTCCATGACTTGAACCTTATCACACTCGTGCCGCCTTTCATTGGTGTTTCCAGATCGACTTCAACGTCATTATGCAGGCCTTCTTATCTTGCTCTACTCGCAGTTGCAGTCGCAGTTGCTTTTTCTGCTGGCAGCGTCACATCTTACAGAGATAAAGTCAACGGGCTTCATTTGTTGGCCCGAGGACTGTCGGCATCAGCCGGACGGCGGACCGACAGCAGCAAAACTGCACAGACAGGCGGCCACCGGCGCTTTTGCGGTTGCAAGGATGTTGCTGGCGTTGGCCCACGAACTCTTTCTGGGGGAACGGGATGTGTTAATTAATGCGGAGCCTGGCTTCCACAGGCGGGTGGCCGTTGCGAGGAAGGAGGGGAAGGTCATCACCGGGTAGGGCGGTCAGGCATGGGATGGCATGGCGTGGAATGGGTGTTGATGTTGGGTTGGGGGGCTGCCGGACTGGTTCTTTCCCTGCCTTTGTGACATTCCGTCATCGTCTCATTTATCTGAAGGCTCCCCCCGCTACTATCCTCGACGCTGTCGTCATTTTCTTTGACCTTTGACAGGCGGGGGAAGACGACGGCGGGCGAGGCATACGAGAGTCAAGCTTCTCTGAATCAGCGCACCGCGTGGTTCTCATCGCGGATACGAAGGGGCGGGAGGGCATGCCTCGTCTCGCTAGACGACGGCGGTAGAACAACACCACCGAACGACCCCATGATGGGAATCGATAGAGAGCCGCCCCCAAGTAACCTTCATTTTGATTGCCCAGCCCAGTGCTGCACCTTGCCTCACTTGCATCATGACCCATGTCGAGGTGACTCGCCAGACTTTTGTCTGGAGTGCCAATCTCTCTCTCACCGGCCGGGCCAGCCGTATTCGCTATCTCCCCCCAAGACATGCAATCCAATCCAATCCAGCTCATCCCACCCTCAATGGCGCTTCTGCCCCCCAACACCCAACCATCACAAACCACAGCCCAGGACTCGAGAGTGACGCCAGAGCCACAGCATCTTGCAGAATATAGCCCGATACATATGGCGTTCGCCGATGGCACCACCCATTACCAAGCGTGTTTATGGCCGGGGGGCGGCGAGAACTCTGATACCGATACCAGAGATAATATACCTCTCGCTCACCTAACCTCTCAGGATATGGAAGGCAACGTACGCAATGCATGGCCTGTGCATCAACCGATAGTTGCCACACAAAGACGAAGCCGGCCTACAACTGCAACGAATGACGAACCTTCGAAACCGCCCGCAACGCCAACCATCACAGTTAGACAAGACGCCAAAAATGAGAATGAACAATGGACGACGGTTCTGGTGGGCACTGCTGCGTCTGGGCCATGCCGTCGTCGTCCACTGGGGACCGGAGACGGCCGCCGGGGGTGGTGGGGGGTGAACAAGCTAGGGAAGAAGTCACATCCATGATGATGCATTGGATCATGTCGCGTTGGATCGGATCCTGACGCTTCAAGTCGCTGACAAGGACTTGGCTGGACCCCTCCAACTCCAACAGACTGGACCCCACCACCCCCTAAGTCTGGGCAAGGTCACAGACTCACGCTCGCCTCTCCCCCACCACCCACCACCCGGGCCAAGAACCCCGTCCGTTGGTCCCAGTCGCTGGCAGATGCTGGCCTTGTTTGGACTTGACAAGCCATGGCGGCGGACCCTCAAACGTGATTGGCGTGGCCACGGTATGCCGCCTTATCGGGCCTGTGAGAAGCTGAGAAGGCCCCAATGACACGGGGCGGGAGAGAGGTCCTAGCCACCTAAAGCCAGACCCTCGTCAGAACTCTACAAGACGGCGGGTGCGGATTTGCCCTGCTTCTTGCAGTAGCTGTTGCTGCGGCGGCAGCATCCTTCCCACCGCTCATCCCAGCTGCTGCTCCCAGATGCCCCAGGAGCACGCAGCACGCGCGACACTGGCGCTGTTGCTGGCGCGAGAGCCCGTTGCCGGGGGGGGGGGGGGGGGGGGGGGGGGGGGGAGGTGTGGTGTCAGTCTTCCTGGCGCGCGTGCGTGTGCGTCTGTGTGTGCGTCCCTATGTATCTCTTACACATGTGGCCAACCACTGGCGTCAACCCAAGAAAGAGATATACAGGAGAGAGGGGCCAAAGAGAAGGCAGAAACAGCCAACCAGTGTGCCAGCCGATCCGATGATACGGACAATAGAGTTGATATGGCAGAAACACACCTCGCATCTAGCTCACACACATGCGTCAAGCCACCAACAAAAAAACCAGCGCATCAAGACGGATACATCGCAAATACACACATGGATGGTGGTTTCCAGAGCTACGGCGTCCTGGACCAAGAAAAAAACGATGCCCCCCCTGGTTCGAGCTGAGCAAGAATGGGACTTCTCGTCCCCCAAAGTAGCCAAAGTAACCTAGCTGCGCCGTACCTAGCGGCGGAGGTACCTTCGTTTCGACGTTGGTTTGAAGGAGGTTCCCATTCGCACGCGCACACGACGACAATCTTTCTCTTTTTTATTTTATCTCCATGCCCACATCCCATGCTCATCATCCCCGGACCGTCCAGCCCAGGCCTACCGCTCCTACTTAACCAAAAGTCCACCCACTCTTCAAAAATTTTCCCTTTTTCTGCAGATTTTTAGGTCCCTAGCCTTGTTTTTCTCTCCTCCCCTCGGGTTGTTCATTTCCCATTTATTGGTTTTTTTTCCCCAACTTGCTGGACGAAGGGGTCGAGGATACCAAACCCCCTCTTACTCTCTATTTAATCCTTTGTGTCTTTGCTTCTCCATTCTCCTGTTCCACCTCGTCGTCCTCCAGCTATATCCATACCTTGGGCCGGATCCCCGACGACGGGTGCGCGGGCATTTCATCTCCTTGTCTGTGTGCAAGTCCAACGGCCGGCAGAACCAAGAGACAGTCCAAGACCAGGAGACACAGACCTGACCAAACCAACCTTATCGGCGATATCTACTAATAAACCAACGGCATAACGCAACGGCCCAGTACATTGTTCCCTCGAGAAATCCAGCCACCTTCAAGCCCCAGCACCAGCGACCGATATACGGATACGGACTTTTAAGAGTCTAGTCGACCTCCCCAGAGGATATATAGACGAACCATTGATCCATGTTTCGGCCCCTCTTACCGTGACAGGGTCTCTTTCACTCTTCACACACACACACACACACACACACACCAAAACCCCGAACTCACGAGACCAGCATCCGTCTTGAGTCTAGAGGCCTGTCGACACTGAGCCCTCCTGCCTGGCGCTTATCGTCTGTCGCCAGCTGCCACCACTAAGAAGCCAACCACCCCCAACCTCATCTGACTTGCAGCCAATCGAGTTGGCGTCGTCATCCCCTGTTAGCGGCGGTTCTCTCAGCATTTACATAGTGCAGCATCTGTACTTGCAACAGGCGAGAAAAATAAACCCATCAAACTGGACCGACCCGACTAGACCGTCGAACCAATAAGATGGAGTCGCAGCACCACATGGGCATCCGCGAGCTCAACGTGAGCAATTGGCACTCTCACAATGCCCTTACCGACACCTTCAACCATGCAGTCCCCGCCATCAAGACAAGCGCAGGTAAGAGCTAGCCCACTTTCCTTTTCGTCTTTTTCCCTTCACTGTTTTTGCGGCTCTTTCATGGTGTATTCCCCTTGGCCACTTGTTCTTCAACATCATCCCCTGCGTCTTGGCATCTACGTCAACTGCGACCTCCTTGTCACCTTGACGCATTCCAGCCGCCGCAAACCACGGGGCTCTATCGTCTAGAACCTTTTCAACGCTTCGACAAGCCGTTTGGAAGTTCCTCCCGAGTGCTTCTGTGCGTGGGGTCTGCGTCAAAAGCGCCGAAGGTTTCAACCACGGTCACGGCTATCGGCTCTTTGGGCGTTGGCAACCAGGCCAGAAGGGGACGGTGGAACAAGCACACTTCGTCTGAAATATTGACAAGCTTTTCATCCTGTCTGTCACAACCCGAGCCTCACCGTCCTCGCGCGACTCAATTCGCTTCAATCCTGCTGTTCTTCGCTTGGCTTCACCGGCACAACCTGACGTCAACGTACTGACAGCTGCTCAGCTTTCTTCACCTTCTTGCGTGCCAATCTGGTCTTGAACCCCTCAGCCATGTCATCCAACACGAACACCCCCGTGCTTCAGCCCACGGGTGCCGCTCACAACAACCATCGACCCGCGGCACCATCTCCGTTGGCGACGTCTCACACCCTCGACCCCCTCGACGACATTCCTCCCCTGTCGCTCGAGATTCTCTCCACCCGCGAAGACAAAGCCGAAGCGCTGCACCTCGTCGCCGACTCCATCGCTCAGCAGCGCCAGCAGGCAGCGTACGCACTCGTCTTTCACCCCGTCCCCCTGGCAGGTCTCACGGTGGCCCTCGGCATCGCCTACCAGTACTCTTACGGCCGTCGGGGGGACATTGGCATGGCCCTCACCCTCCTCAGCGGCATCATCATGTCCTACCTCCTGGCCATCCGCTGGGCGACGAGTGGTTACCTGCCCCTCGCCGAGCAGATGTCATGGTCCTTCATCCGACCCCATCCGGACGCCTCCCCCGACGAGGAGGACCTGGTGCTCGCCACCCGCTTCGGCTCCGAGATCGTCGGCGCCCTCGTCCTGCACCTCGAGCCCGCGAGCCCAATGGCCGCCACGACCTTCAGCAACAAGCGCAGGAACAAGGCCGGCAGCTTCCGCGGCGGCAAGGGCATCATCCGCGCCTGGACGACCAAGCTCCGCTACCGCGGCAAGGGCGTCGGCACCGACATGCTCGACGAGGCCATCCGCGTCACTCGCGAGCGCTGCGGCAAGGACGCCGAGGTCGGCTTCGCCCTGGAGCACGCCAACAGCAAGATGGTGCTGCCCGAGTTCTTCAACGGCACATTCAGGAAGCAAGAGCGCTGGGCCGCCAAGAAGCTCGACGCCGTCTTGGCCGAGCGCGAGATGACCAAGAAAAAGAGGTAAAACTCATCGTTTGCGGTGTACCCGGACTCGATGTAGGATCGGATTATGTTTCAGACTGGTATTGCCTGCTGCGAAATCTCTGGAGAGGACTGGTGGTGACGGACGGACAGCGATGGTGGATGGAACGGTTATACCCTAGAACCTGTACGGGAGAGGCGGCCGCTCTCGCAGGATCTTTCTTCATGTCTTTCAGCTCGTTATTTTCTTTTCAAACGATACCCCTCGTTACCACGGACATTGGCGGTGCTTTTTTTTCTGGCCTTGTATAGAGCGGAAGAAGGGGAGGGAACGTCCCCCGCGTTTTTTAATTGCTTGGAGATTTGGGATATTTGGAGACACTACTACTACTAGAGTTGCGGCGGCAGGAACGAAGCTGGACGGCTTCTTCTCCCCGTCTGCCTAATTGGATCCCTTCGTTTTGGCGCGCTGGCCTGACTCTACCCGTTTCGTGCCTTGCGTTTCTGCGTTCACTATCTGGTTCTTGTTCAATGCTGACGCGACGACGTGAGGGTGCCCCCCCCCCCCCCCCCCCCCCCCCCCCCCCCCCCCAAGGCGCAAAATCAGGGACGAGATGACGGAAGACTCTGTCTATTCCTCGACCCGTCTGATATGGTCACTTCTTCAACTGGCACGTGGGCTTGCGTTCGTTCGTTCATATGCTTACATTCCATCTATGCTATTCCACCGTGGTGTTTGGCAGGTCGAGCACCGTTGCCGGCATTGCAAGCGAGATCCTCCCGTCTGTCCTCAAGATGTAGGCTCTGAGAAAAGGTTGGGACTCTCCTCTCCTCAAGGAGTGTCCCGCCGTCTTCTGGTCATGTTCTCCTCGGCGTCAAGCTCAGCCAATCCAAGCTCCCCGGGAACGACATGTACTTCCTCTCTACAACAAGGAACAGCTTCGTGATAAAAACCCGCGATGCATCTCAAGATTGGTACCAAACAATGCCTTTGAGTGAACCTCTGGCCATAAGAGCCGAGTCTCAGCGGATGCCAACCCCCGTCCAACCCTTTCTGAGACACTCGCAGTCGTAATTACAGTCTTCTTCTTGAGGACGGGTTTTGGTAATCAACACAAGTCGTAGTATGGTTTCCTCCCTTATTGCTGTTTTCCTCGCCCATGAGGCCCATAACGCCAAACATGTCCATGGGCACTGTAAGAACCGCGTGGCGAACAAAACACCAAGCATTACTGGCTTCCCGCTGGCATAGAAATATCAAGTCGTGATCCATTGCCCATTACGGGTGACGGCGCTCAGTCGTTGTTCACCGCCGCAGCCGCCTTGCGGGTCTTCGGGTCAACATACGTGTCAGGGTCGAAGCCGTATATCGGCGTGCCTCTGCGTCGAAGAGCGTGAAGGACCTAGGGACGCGTTAGAAGAGTGACTTTATGGGCACAAGAGCACAAGGAGGCTGTTCATTAACTCACGTCGTAGACGGTGACGGTCTTGGCGCCGCGATGCTCGGTGTAGGTAATGCAGTCCTTGAGAACCTGTGGCTGATGTCAAAGTCTGGCTCATGAGACATATCATGGGTTTCCTGTAATTAAGTGTGAGACTTACGGCTTCCAGCCAGGCCTTAAGCGCGGATCGTGCATCATCATATATCATGGCGGAGATACGCTTGACACCACCACGACGGGCGAGACGGCTAAGGGAGGCGATAGGTTAGCACTTTGAGGTGTTTGGGTTATAGAAAAATAGGTGAGTGCAGGTGGTCGGGTTGAAGTGTATTGAGATAACGATGAAGTGGATAAGCGGGAAACGTGAGACGGGCGACGAGTGTTACACCAGGTCGCGATGCGGCGAGTCGACAGGTTTGAACTGCCTCCTCGTCTTCACTCTATGAGAAGCATTGATTTCGCCGCAGGAAAAAGCAAAGAGTATCATATGTCGAAGAAGATAGTCGTCGAACGTACCGAATAGCAGGCTTTGCTACACGGATCAGTGAGGTCAGCACTACTCAATATACATGCATGTAAGCAAGCCTCTAGTGAATCGGAATCACCTACTAATACCGTGGATGCAATCCTTGATGATTTTGCTGTTCTCTTAATCAGCAGCTGAATCTCGCCTGAAATAAGCGAGACCATGCAGAGAACGACTTACCGGTGCCGCTTAGCGCCTGCCGCACCGTGAAGAATGGTCTTGCTTTTTCCTCCCGTAGGCATCCTCGACGCAGTACCGCGTTTGCCGCCGCTTGGGCCGCCGCGCGAGGGGATCATGGGCGGCATCTTGGGTTACGGCGAGCTGGTGCAGCGTATCGTTGTGTTAATTTGCAGACGCGATCGTCTTTGTATAGCAGGATGTTCCGCCCTGCTGCTAGTGAGGTTTCGCGTGGGAAGTGGAGGAGCGATCCCTGGATGATTATCTTGGGACGGGGCACTGTGGAGGAGAGGGCAGGGAAGGAGGTGGTACCCGTGTGGACTTGCCGCGCAGGGCGTAATTCAACGCTGCAAGGTGCATGCAGCAAGTGCCTCCTTATCAAGCTTATCGAAAGGCCCTTGGCCTGTGCTTGGTCGGCTGTCCTGTGCAGAAACACCGTCAAAGTGTGATGCATGCACTGTCTTGTATTGTCCCGTCCACCGTCACGATTCGGTCAGAAGGTTGTGTCGTCTCTGCCTGCCTGCCAGATGTCGTGTTTCAAACATAACTTTGAAGCTGGGGTCCGGGTCTACGACGTCCCCCAGACTCAAGAATGGTCACGCGTGAGGAGCGCCGTTGCGTTTCTGTCACATTGAAGTGGCTCAACGAGCGATTCGATCAGAACATAGAAAGTGTTTATTTGTATTAGAACAGTTTTATAGAACAAGTATGCGCATAACCAAGTAACGAGTGACCAGGGAGCCCCCATCTGAACGCCTAACGACACCAACAACGTCTATCCAAGAAGTTGTCGTCGTCACTTCATTATCCAGTTCTATTCAGAGATGAAAGTGGCCTCGCTGAAGCAGAGACCCTCCTCAGAGATTTCTTGGTCTCCAATCTTGAGCTTCAGCGTGAGCTTGCTCTTGGTCGGGCAATACTGCAGCTGTTGTTAATACAGGCCGTACGGCTTATAACAGTGCAGAAGGTAGCTTACCTGGTAGATGTAAGGCTTGGTACCGGCCGTGCCCGCTACTATCTTCTTGACGAAGCCAGGAACCTCAGCCAAGACGTCGACTCTGTCAAGTCGCTCTCCCAATGGGCCCTCGATGAGGGCCTCCACGGCCTTGCCTTCCTTGTCCTTGCCGGACCACGTGAACTTGATCTCCTCGGGCTCGGGCCACTCGTTGAGCGAGTCGTTCTTCACCTTGGTGTGCGCGGCCGTCTGGGTGACGCCGCCGTAGATCATCTCGCCATCCTTGGCGATGCCTCCTACGCTGACGACCGTCGATCCGTACGAGGGCGGGGTCGTGTACTCCATCATGACGGCCGAGTAGTTGGGGCCCTGGAAGTCGACAAAGTTCCACTTGGCCGCCGCGTGGTGAGGCTTCATGCCCTGCAGCGCGTAGACGTAAAACGCGCGGCCAGTAAAGTCGACGGGGCCCTCCTTGGTGGTGATGGTGCCCTCGACGACGCACCGCGGCCAGAAAGCGTGGCGCATAGTGCCCCAAGGCTTCGACAGGTCGGTGCCGAACAGCGTCTTGCCCGTCTTGCCGGCGTGGAAGCCGGGTGCGGTGCGGGTGACCTTGAGGTTGACAATGGCGTTTTCCGAGTTCATGCTCTTGATCGTGTAGTAGGTGCCGTCCTCGGAAAGTTCGACAGCGCAGTCGTCGGCGTAAAAGGACATCCGATCTTCGCTGACCTCGTAGTGGTTAAGCTGCGTGGTTTCCCAAAGGGTAGGCTTCGACTTCTCGGGGTAGAAGATCTTGACGTTGAACTGGCACGTGGTGCGGATGCCGCTGTTTCGGGGTGCAAAGGTCAGCAAATACAAAAGACGACATCATGGTCGCGAAAGGGCGGGGGCTGTCCCATACCCGACGTTGCTGTAGATGATCTGGGCCAGTCCAAGATGTCCATTGTCGCCCATCAAGTAGAAGCTCTGCGTCTCAACCGAAGTCGAGTCGGCCGCGATCCATTTCAGGTCATCCCTGGTGGTCTCTGTGTGTGTAGTCGTCTTGGCCTCCTCGGCGACGGATCTGATGGCCGTTGGGCCGTAAATGGGCTCCTGGGTACCCGCCACGTCGGCGAGCCTGAAATGGTTTGAAGGTTAGCCTTGGCAGACGCAAGAGAGGACGGCAGCGGACGCTTTACTTTTGTTGCGCCCACTTGAACATGTTGGCGGCAGGACACGAGAGGGGGATGGGCGAAAAGGAACGGATAGGTTAAGAGTCGGTAGTTCGACTTTGAAAGAGTAGCAAGTTTATACACTCCACGGGGAAAACAAGCTTCTCGATGTGCTCTTAAGAGGAAAACCCAGTTGAGAGAGGAAGTTGACCGCCCAAAACAAGAGCCAGCGGAGGGGCCGAGGGTCATCCCACAACCCAATGACGGTGAAACTGTGGCTAATGCAACCAGGGTGGGTCCTGCGTCCCCCGAGCATCCCGGTCGCTTGGACCTTTAGCGCGTGGCTAGTGCATTAAGGCTCCTAAATTTTCCACCTCCGAACATTGAGCATCTGATTGAGCGAAGCTGTCGACTGCGGCGCATATACCTGCCTCCCTATCCACCCCGATTCTTTCCCAACGACCAGAGCCGTTCGCATTCCCGCCATCATGTCGAAACGAGGAGCGGCTATGGCCGACCAGGTCGTGAAGCTCATCGTGGGCGCCGGCCAGGCAAGCCCGAGTCCACCCGTCGGTCCTGCGCTGGGCAGCAAGGGTGTCAAGTCGATGGACTTTTGCAAGGTGAGGGCAACCCGATCAACACATACCACCATCTGCCCAACATCTGTGCTTTTAAGGGGCATGTTTATGCCATGGTCGAGATCAATGCTAACACGTCTTGCCCGTTATAGGAATTCAATGCAAGAACAGCACACATCAACCCCGGCACGCCGATGCCTTGTCGAGTTACCGTCCGAGGCGACCGATCATTCCACTTCGACATCCGAACGCCTCACACATCGTGGCTTCTCCTCAACGCTGCTGAGGTGCCTCTGGGCAAGAAGGGCAAGCGGAAGGGCGCAAGCAACCCCGGAAAAGAGACGGTTGGAACCGTCAGCTTGAAGCACGTCTACGAGATTGCGAAAATCAAGCAATCGGAAATGCGTTTGTCAGGCCTGAGCCTGGAATCGCTCTGCCGGTCTGTAATCTACCAGGCCAAGTCCATTGGCATCAACGTTGTGCAATGAGAAAGCAGCCGTCCTATGAAAGTCGATTTTCAAGCGCGTATAAAACCGGAGTCGGGCGCAGAGCAAACCCACTTGTATACCATCTCAAACGAAAGAGCGCGCCTTTGATGTACTATAGTGGGAAGGGTACAGGCAAGGACAGAATAGCAGGAGGGACTGTACGATGAGAATTTCAATTGCCAAGCCAAAGGCAGAGCACGGCACAAACGTTCGTACACTAGCGTCGCGTGGCCGGAACATGGGCAGACCAGAAGAGATGCATCATGCGCCCTAGAAGCCCCAACTGGACAGTGACGTCGGAAATATGGTCTCGTTTTGAGGCGAAGTCTGTTCTCACCTTTGTCACTTGCGCGAGGCGGCGTGTGGTCAGCGGCCGTCCGTGGGTGAGTGAAGCGAACTAGCGGTCTGATTGATGCACGGCAAGAGTCGTTAGAGAATCGAATACACTGTGACGAACGGCAAGCTGCAACGCTATGCTGGTGAAATGCGTCGAGCGGGTTGACTTGGGGCTTGGTTTACCCGGGCTAAGAGGGGTTGAGGGGAAAGCCTCGTCGTGCCGAGTTGAGCCAAAACAAGATATTCGATCAACGGTCCAGACACCAGAGTCGCAAGCGGCTGGGGCCAGCGCATCAGTGGAGAAGGTCTGGTCAAGTCTCTGGAAGCTTCGCAATCGAGATCGACAGGAGTGCTGATGCGAGTAAGAAGCTTACTCTACACGGCCAGCTCGAGCTGCGTGTGGTGCGAGGTGGCAGTGGCAGCTCCTTGTCCTGTGTCGCAAAACTTGGTTTGGAAGCTTACGCAGCGGCACTGGGTTCCGGTTCTTCAGCACCTCAGCTTCCCCGCTGTGTGCGACAAGCTGGAAGTCCCGATCTGGATGCACTGCCAGGTTATGGCAATCCTGAGAAACGGATTGCCCACCTTTTGCCCCTGGAAAGCGGCCCTCTTTTTGCATCGTGCCTGAATAAAAGGTTCCATCGGAGCAGCCTGTCATCTGCAGCAAACGCCTCCCAAGCCTCAGCCAGAGTGGAACCGATGCGATGCTGAGGTGACGGAACGTCGGCCGTTTTCATGCTGCACCTGCAACACATCAGCACCCACGCCACCGTGCTGGGCTTGTCGGTCTGAGACCGGATACGCGGCGGTATTGCGGGATGTGAGTACGTCTCGGCATGTGCTCTGAACGGGTGCTGTCTCGGCCAAAGGGGCAGTTCGGGAGGAGAGGAGCAAAGCTCCGTCTCTTGGTGCTAGTCATGCCATCAGACCCCGGTCTGGTTGCCAAAGCTGACAGAGAGCTGGCCCTTGCGGTTCGTGTAAGCCGGCCAAGGTGGGATTAGTTAGGGTGGGAGGTCAGACGTGCGTTTTCAGAGAGAATAATTCCGTTTGCTGTGAAGGAGGGTGAAGACAGGTTGGGATTGGTTTGCGTTTGTTTCCTGGTGGGCTTGACTCGGCCTAGGCAAGAGCTGCATTGTCGAATAATCTGGTGGACATTGGCGTTTGTTGACGTGGTGGATGGGATGAGCCCTGGATACCGTCGGGAGTTGGGAATCGGGAGTCGGGAGGCAAGGGAAAGAAAAGTAAAAGATTTTCTTGGGGGCGCGCAAGAGTCATCGGCCTTGTGGGGATCGGGCCGCGTCCGAAGTAGGCTGGACCATCAACACCCATGGATTTTGTTTCTGGGTGCTTGATTCTTCTGCGGGATTCGTAAAAACGGTGAAAGCATGACGGAGAAAACTGGCCGAATGGCGCCTCATTACCGTCGCATGTGTCACGGATGCAAAGCCGAGAGCCATAAACCCGGACACAATTTGGGGAGGGGGGAGCATCTTTCGAAAGCCGACGACCGACGACGGGGGGCGCGTCTTGGATGGCTGGCACATGGACAAGTCTAGAGCTAGGTTGGAAAAAATAGAAGATTCCGATCACCACAGGGACAGGCAGGAGCTGCTACCAGAGTCCAGACTGGAAAGGGAAGGCAGGAGGGCCAGGAGTGGTTGACAGGGCTTTTCGCCGGGTTCCTGATGCAGATACGCGCAATGCATCCATGATTTTGGGGGGCCTGCCAAGTATTATTTCCCGTTCCCAGGCGTGCCAGGCCCGTCTCCCAAGCCGTAAAGATCTCCAACCCACCTCAGTCAGTCAGTGCGGTGTGGTGCCCCCCCCGGCCCTTTCTGGGCTCCCCTTTCAGCGGCCCAGATGCTCCAATGCGATGTCACGGTGTCTTATCCAGCCTGCCGCTTCCCCGATAAGGCACGGATAACGATGGTGCCGACCAGTCAGATTGCACCCTTTTCTTGCCAAATCATCCTGCTGATGTATAATGTACTTTTCGCTCTTCTTCTCATGCCCCGTCGTGAATTTCCCTCGGCGCGGGCTACGGGCAGACAGACGGACCCATGAACAGCCTCCTCGACCCCGTCGCCCATGTGTTCTCCCAGTGCCTACTGAGAGGGATCAAGGAGACCGGCAGACGCGGCGGGGACGACGGGGATGGCAGAGGCAAGAGAATTTACCGCGTAGAAGCAGCCAGAGACGGCATAGGTACTCCTGTTCGCAGGGACCTTACCTCATGTTTTGTGACGCTTACCCATGCGGTGCATTTTAGCTGTAAGAGTGTACCTACCTAGCGCTTTGCCCCACCATCCGCAATTGGTGGCATCCACTGCCTGTCCTGGGTAACCGTACTTTTCTCTTCCCCAGGCCCGACTTTGTGTCGTTTAGTTTGAATTTCTTTCCTCCTGCTCCTCTCCCCCGCCGTAAACATCATCGCTCGACGATACACGGCCGAATATACTCAAGCCGACGAACAGTGTCATTATTCCGTTGGGGCCATGGCTACCCCGTCTCCTGCCCGCGATCCTCCCAAGGAGGAATCACAAGTCCCAGGTACAAACGCCCTTTCCTTCCGTCTGTTCCGGCGCAACCCCGCCCTCGGTTCGTCTGTTGCGCATGTTACAGTCAAACACAATCACCCAATGTCCCGCGCCCACGCTCACGCCCCCCAAGCCTACCTACACCTGCATCCTCTTCCTCGCCGCCAACGCAGATCTTGTGCTGACCGCTGCGCTTGTCGCAATGCCCAGAAATCTCTCGCAACACGCCCGACAACACCAATGTCGACAAAGACAAGATGCCCCCTCAAGATGCGCCCGCCGTCCGCTTCGCTTCTTCCGTCCAGGAAATCACCCCGACCGTCACCACGACATCACCGACGGATACACAGTCTCCCACCGACGCCGCTACCGGAGCCTCCTTGGCCGAAGTTACGCCAGAGGACCTGAGAGCCCTTTCCAAGTCCCTTCAAGGCGCACCGTTGCAGCAGCGTCGGATGAATGTCTTTGGCTTTGAACCATACTCGCTACCTGCATCTCGCGTATGTTTCCGTCTCGTCTCTTTTATGTCTGGCCTCGGCGACACTCCACGTTGTTTGCTTTCTGCTTGGGCGTTCCTCTATGGGTTGTGTTTCAAAGTCTATGCCTACCCCTCTACACTGAGCAACACCGCCTCAATGTTTTGGCCCCTTCCCCGATCCTCCAAGACACCTCATCTACACCACGGCCATTTGGGCTTGTTCTTGATGGAGCTTCTACCTAGAGGCTCCATTGACCAGTCTCATGATCATCCCAGGTACCTCAGACCTGTCATGACAACCCAACTTCCTCGCTGCATCGCACGCACCAGCCTGCACAACCTGCTCTGTCGCTGACCTTTTACTTACAGGTCTGCTCACGAGAAGACGAGTCCGATAACAGCAGGCTACCGACCCCGAACTCCAGTGGGCCAAGATCGCCGCGTTTTGGTCCGGCACATCCGATGCAGTCACCTCCTCTGACCCCGGCGGGGACTGATCCCTCAGACCCGGCAGCAAAGAAGAACGGGGATCAGAGTGAGGATGGGAAACCCTCCTCGAGCGAGCCCTCGGTCATCACTCCCCAAGCATCTTCTTCACAGGATTCACCGCCATCATCGACCAGAAAGTCCTTGCCTATCCGAGGCAAATCGAACGAAGAGGTCGCTACACGGTCAGCGTCTGCCGAGGACCGAGACTATGACACGAGGTCCCACAGGAAGGGCATGTTTTCTGTCGGCCCAGGAGGATCAGTACCGGTTTCGCGAGAGTCCAGTCCCTCTCGAGCCTCTCTGTACTACTCCAAGCCCATGACGCCGGGCGGAGACGCCAACGATCCTTACGCCGCTCACAAACGTCAGCCGCCGCCATCGCACCCTCAGCGGGGCCAGATTGACTCGAGATTTGTGTTTTCGCGCAGAAAGAACAAGCATGGGTCGCCGTCCGGCTCGACGTCGAGCTTGGGCCGAGCAAACGACAAGCGGCATTCGGGCCTTCTGGGTAACCTAAAGGGCCACGGCGATGAGCTGCAGGTCCCTCATGACGATTCAGCAAGCATCTCGAGCAGGCAAGGCTCGTTTGCAGACCTCAAGAGGTTCTTCAAGGTTGGCGGGCATCACAAGATGAAGAGAGAAGCCTCACCCTCCTCTGTTAGGTCTGGCGCCAGAACCCCACCTACGAGAGGGTCGCAACATCAACTGCCCTTCGGAGATGACCATGGACTTTCTTCCAAGTATGGAAAGCTCGGCAGGGTGCTTGGGTCAGGCGCTGGAGGATCTGTCAGGTTGATGAAGCGAAGTGAAGATGGCGTTGTTTTCGCTGTCAAGGAGTTCCGGCCGAGACATTCTTACGAAACCGAAAAGGAGTATGTCAAGAAATTGACGGCCGAATTCTGTGTCGGATCGACTCTGCACCATGGCAACGTCATCGAGACATTGGATATCCTCCAGGAGAAGGGCAAGTGGTACGAGGTCATGGAGTACGCTCCGTACGACCTCTTTGCCTGCGTCATGACAGGCAAAATGACGCGTGAGGAAGTCGGCTGCTGTTTCTTGCAGATCCTCAACGGCGTAACGTATCTCCACAGCATGGGTCTTGCGCACAGGGACTTGAAGCTTGACAATGTTGTGGTCAGTGAGCATGGCATCATGAAGATTATCGACTTTGGCAGTGCTCATGTCTTCAAATACCCCTTTGAGAACGACATTGTACTCGCCTCAGGTGAGTAATTCTTGTACTGGAATAATGATACAAGGCTGACTAGTCCTAGGCATTGTGGGTTCTGACCCTTACCTGGCCCCTGAGGTCTATGACGAGCGAAAGTACGACCCCAGGCGGTTGACATCTGGTCCCTCGCAATCATCTTCTGCTGTATGACGTTGCGAAGATTCCCCTGGAAGGTCCCTCGCATGACGGACAACTCATTCAAACTGTTCGCAGCGGAGCCGACACCGGGCCACGACCCCAAGAAGCTCATCATGCCGTCCAAGTCGGCCAACGATCTCGCAAACACACCACAGAGAGACATCTTTGAGGACGGCAAGCATCAAGTTAGCAAACCTGAGCCGAAGGAAGCCGAAGGTCAGGCGTCGCAGGGAAACTCGACACAAAGCTCAACTCGTGCCGATGGGCAGCAAACAGAGAAGAAAGAGGTCATACGGGGCCCTTGGCGGATCTTGCGCCTGCTTCCTCGCGAGTCTCGGCACATCATCGGACGTATGCTTGAGATCAAGGTCAAGGAGCGGGCAACAATGCAAGAAATCCTGGATGAGCCGTGGGTTGCGAACACGGTCATCTGCCAGCAACCAGAGCCAGGCCGGGTGATTCACGCCGAGGATCACGTCCACACTCTTGAGCCACCACAACCCCCCAAATAGTCCTTCGATCGATGTTTGGGACAGTAACTTCAGATTGCATGTTTAATGGCGTTTCGGTTGTCAACGGACTCGGGATGGAAATAGTTGGGATGGAAACATGGCGCGGCGGATGAGATTTGTCATGATACGAGCGCCTCGACACTGAGGAAAACATTGATGTCACTCTTCTTGGAGCTTGGGTGATACAGGAGTCCACCTACAGGATAGTAGATGCCGCAAGGTCGGTCCGATATAGGTTGTATCAAGCGATTGAAACCTAGAAAGGTAGATAATATTATTTGGTATAAAATGTACACCTTGAATACCTCATGTGCTGCCTCAGTTATATTGACTCCTTTATTACGAATCCGAACAGAGGCAACACGAAAAGGCTCGAGAGGATGCAAGTAAATTGGCACTTCAGTCTATTGCCCATTAAGTTTATGGCGTATTACATGGGATGGGCATTGGATGCGGTTTGGATGGAGATAATGACTGAATGAAGCATGGCTTGTGCACAGTGCTCCCTCGGCATTGTGTATCATAAGTACTGTGCAGACCGTGGGGCATCGGGAAATACTTTGGCCGATCGGCCCAAAAAAATTGTTGACATTCTGGAAGCTCTTGGAATAGCTTCAAGGCTTAAAGTTCGTTCCCCAAATCGACTTCATCCACCACTATCCAACATCCGCCAATCTATCTCTACACGCAACACCCGCGCAATCGTCCTCGATCAGCACCAGCAGTCACAATGGTATGATCATAACCTCAGGCTCCCTCGAGCCAGCTGGCAGCATCCTCCAGTGGACCGCGGTGCTCGCACCCGAGACCTCGGCAGTTGCGCTGAGCGATGCTGCGCTGGCCATTGACAGCTCACGATTGCGAGATGTTCTTGATGACTAACTCTATGGGTGTTTTGCAGGCCACCTCCGTCCGCTCCATCCGCGCTCTCGTGCCCCTTTTGGACCGCGTCCTTGTCCAGCGTGTCAAGGCCGAGACCAAGACCGCCAGCGGCATCTTCCTCCCCGAGTCCAGCGTCAAGGAGCTCAACGAGGCCAAGGTCCTCGCCGTTGGCCCCGGTGCTCTTGACCGCGATGGCAAGCGGTTACCCATGGGCGTCAACTCTGGCGACCGCGTCCTGATCCCCAGGTATGTCGAGATGCCTAAACACTTGCTCCCCCCTTTTTGCAGCTGCAAAGCAAACCTGTAAGCCTCGGAGCTCTGCAGGTTACGCCCAACCGACCTCTTACTTGACACTCCCTTCCCCGGACTCTGTCAGGGATGATGCCAAGGTAATGGGAAGGACGGCAACGAGATCGGGTGATGGCAGGTGTAACGCTTAAGACGTCGATGGCTAACGGGACCAATGCAGTTCGGCGGCTCCCCCGTCAAGGTCGGTGAGGAGGAGTACCACCTCTTCCGCGACAGCGAGTGAGTTCCATCCCTCTATATAACTATGGCCACGCTTTTGCGCGGCCTCCCACCCCCTAATGAGATTAGATGAACTGACCGAGGTGCTTCCCCGCAACAGGATTCTCGCCAAGATCAACGAGTCGTCATAAGTCACATGCCTCAGACTGTAAAAGATACCCACGAGATGTTGGTGTGTACAATACCGTGTATCAAAAGAAATTCCAAAACATAAAAGCGAAAGGGACAACAAGACCATCCATTCTTCCAAACGAACAACGCGAGGACTGTCTCTGGAGGGATCGTGAGAATTTGGCTTTTGCATAGACATTGTTGTAATCTTCAAGCGTGTATTCTCGAGTTTTCCGCGATGTTGGGAGACGGGGCAGTGGGCAATAAGTGTCTAGGGATGAGGGGGGGTTTACTCCGTTAGTCTTCTCTGCCGCTTATGGCCATGTCATGTCTTAACCTCCGCGGGTTTTGATTCATGAAGAAACCTCTCCTCTCTGTCATTGCGCAAGTACCTTGTCAAACAAGGAATCCCGTTGCCGTGAAACTGCCTTTGATGTACTTTGCATTTGGTGTTGGCTCAACACTGGTCCGATGAGTTGTCATGACTTGAGCAACCGGTGAGGATTCAGAATTCCATGTATTACCGTTGACAACCTCGAGCGAAACCTGGGAGAAGGATGGCATTTCTCTGATAACCATGCAATAACGCTGGCTGTCGTCCAGACATGCCAGGGAATATCCAGACCGAGAGTGCACAAACCCGTCGTCTGTACATCTGTCGACGACTGATACGGACGGGGCAGTGGGAAAGCAAGATGATGATAGAGTCAAGTACGCCTACCTCTCCAACAATGAGAATCCTAACATCTTACGACCTACTCAAAGGGATTGCAAGGTGCGTAGGACAACAGTAGGATCAGATGTGTACGTTTGCTTTGTGTCTGCTGCCTCGATAGTTTTCGTCGGTCCAGACAGGCACGGAGAGACAGAACCCCAAGACAACATCGCCAAAAGTTGGGGTTTCCCGATAGACCTCAGCCGGGCCACGACATGTGCGTCATCTACTCGCTGCCTTGACGGCTTGTCCCTTTTTGCCAAGACGGATTGTTGCGCTTTTGGGGCAGCACATTGTTCTCCCTCTCGGGTGCACGCACATAGCCATTGTGTATTATGTCTGAGTGTGCTGACCCTGCCCGGACCCGCGCGTGTGGGCGGACAGAGCCTCGGACGGGCGAGTCGATAAACAGCCAACGTCATTGGGAGAGAGCCATGCAACCGCACAGCACACAAGGGGGGGGGGGGGAGGGAGGATGAGCGTACGTATGGAGGAAGGGCTCGGCGAGAGCCCGAGTCATATTCCCTTGTTTCACCACTTTTCCTTTGCGCGTGGGCTCCTGCTGGAATGGGCTGCTTGACGAACGTCAATGGGCCTGGGGGGACGACCGGTCCCTGGCACAATGGGATTGTGAATGGACACCTGGAATGGGGGCGCGGACATTGGATCACGAAACAATAAAACAGGGGATGGAGCCGCTGGGCCCTAGCTGAGCCTTGCCCAGGGATCAAGGCAGCGATGCGCGATAAACAAAAACACGACAAGGGGAGCGGATTGGGGCAATTTCGAGAAATCAGGAAAGAGGCGAGAGTGAGATTGTGCATTGCCCACAATGAAAGTAGGACAGTTCCCCACGCAAGTTATCCACGGAAATACCCACGGGAGTCCCGGGTCAAAAAAACGTAGCTCGAAGACTGAACCCACGAGGCATGAGTCCAGACGCCCAAGAGATCCCACAACGAAATGCTCTTGCCCCCTTTTCTCTGGGCCTGGTTGGTGGGGTCCAAGGGGGGAGGGGGGCAGGCCATGAGAGACTGGGAGGAAGGTGTGATAATAAACTGTGGATAACAAGGTTGGGCTGCGAGACTTTTCGGGATCCCGTCACGATCAACGGGAGCGAATCGATGGCTGTCCCTCTTTTCGTTCTGATTCAGGGGTTAGCTGTAACAGACGAGCGGAGTTGCGAAAGCTTGTTGAGTCTTGTCCGTAGGCGACCAAACGCTGCAGTTGGTGCGATGCTGCGTCCTAGTTTACTACTCTGTACTCCCTGGTAAGAAGGGGGCGGCGGCGGCTGCGAGCTGGGCGGCAGCGTATGCGCCGTGTAAACCAAGTGTTTCTCAGCTGCCAATCGGAGCAGAGGGGCGTCGGTATGCATGTTCATCCCGTCTTCCCCTCCATGTGTCCTTTTCTCTCTTTCTTTATCGTCGTTGTCTCTGGCTCCGACAGCACGGCGGCACGGCACATGTGGCATGGTCCAGCGCATGTGGGCTTGTTGCGCGTGGCGCCTGGTCGCCAGCTGGTCCGGAACGAGGAAACCAAGAGCTGCAACCCTGCGAAAGTGGACTTGCGCTGCATACTGGAGTAGCAGCAGGGAAAAAAGAGTTGGAAAAAAGGATGGGAACGTTGCGAGGGAGCTGGAGCCATCTGATCGTGGAACTGGCTCTGGTTGTGGTTCTGGTTCTGGTTCCAGTGCTTGGGCTCCTTTCCCCCTCTCCCCCACCCCCTTGCCCCGATTTTTGTGTTTGCAACATGCGCAACTTTGCTGTCAAGCTTAAGGGCTTTAGGTGTTTATGGTGCCTCTGCCGAAGTTTCAAAACTGTTTACCTAAAGCGTGTTAACCTTACTGTGCTGGTGTGTGTTTTTGTCAATTAAGGTAGGGGTGTTGTAAGCTTGTGCTGTAGGTACCGAAGCCACCCAGGCGCGTGCGTGTGTGCCTGACGGGAGGAGATCAGTCGTCAGCCCATAGTCAGGAGTTGATTGAAATGTCTCGCCTCAATAATGGAATGGTTCGTCTCATTTTTCCACACTTCGACACAGTGACAGCTGTTTTCTTATTCCCCCCCCTGGGCCCCCTTCTCGCCGCCCCTTGCGCTAATGGCAACCGTCCGACCTCTAACCAACAGAGACCAGCCCGCATGTTAATAAGTTTTACGGACGACAGCTTCCTTATGCCGGCGTCATCACCAAACAAATCGCCCGGCTCGGCATAACGAGGCCAGAAACCCCCAAAGGCTGGCGTTTGAAAGCTGGCTTAGCTGACGGCGCCTCTCGCCCCAACCACGCTGAGCCAGGGGGCGGGCTCTTCCCGCTGTCTCTCCTTGAATCAATCAAGTGATTGACTTGTCTCGTCCCGCGAACCTGGGCCATTTGGGCTTTTTGGGAACCAGCCGGACTGGCTCTAGTGCCTAGGGAGATCGGCAGATCTTAAACGGTGTCTGAGTCTTGATTTGACTTGTTTCCTTACTGCTCACCCACGCAAGCGCATGTGGGTTGTACCTACACTCACACAACATCACCGTCATCAGATGTCGGGCATAAAGCCTCTAGCGCGGCGTGGCCAAGAAGACTCCATCTGCAGCTACCGGGCTTCCTCCTTCCATGACGATGATCCGTCTTGGGGAGAATCTTTCCGGGAGCCAAGACTGTGCGCGTTGTCATAGGTACCTTGGTGGTGCTGGCGCGCCCCCGCAGGTACAGTCCAAGGGCCTCCCAGGGCCGGAGGGCACTTCCTTTTCTCGATCTGAATAATGATAGCAACACTGCGCGTCTAATTTGTTCACTCGGCTCTTTGTCGATCATTTGCTTCTCTGATTCGCTTTGCCTTGGATTGCTACACGGTAATTCCCCGATGGGACGGGCAACTACTTGACCACGTTCGGGGCGGGGCGGGGGGCCATGGGCGAGGGTGGCATGGGATGGGACGGTATCCGTAGCGCCGCCCACTTTCGTTTCATGTTGCCCTCTCCGTTTGCCCGCTAACGCACGCCACGGGACCCTGCAATATGAGCCTCTCTCAGCGTTTGCTAGAGTTCGCCGTCTTGGCGAGGCTAAGGCTTCCTTCCAGTTGGCCAGGCCTCCTCGGTGCTGCATCCCAGGTTCCCGACACCACGATCTGGCATCCTTGACTCGTCCTTGGTTAGAGTCGCCGACGGCGCGATCCCCTTGCTCTTGGAACGTCGCCCAGCGGCGGCAATTTTCCTTTTCGAAAGCTTGCCTTTTCGGCAGAGGACCGCGCTAGCGCTGCTCCATGTAACATCCCCTCCTGCACGGCGGGAACTTGGGGCGGAATCCAGTACACGAAAGAACGAGGGGGGCAGAGACTTGGATTGCTGCAAGGTACCAAGAGGCCCCGAGATGAGATGGAGAAGTGCCCGTCCATGGGCCTTGCAGGAGCGGAGCTGCACGTCTAAAGGGGGGCGTGCAAGGCGGTTGTGCCTCTCGCGCAAGGTCAGTAGAGTGAGAGTGCCACCATCCGCTGCGCAAACCCCAGCTAGCCCTCTTTTTTTCTTCCAACAGGATGACGGAGCCTCGGAGAGGGTCAAGGGCCACGGCCCAGGGGGGGAGGAAACGGCCTCCCTTCTTGGGTCTGGTCTCTGCCTGTCATGGAGGGCTGGGGTTGTGGACCGTTGGTTGGTTGATATAAACCCTTCGCAGGTCCTCGATAACAGGCCTGTTTTGTTTCTCGACCCCATCGCGTTCTGTACACAGCTGGCCGCTGATTCACACTCCCTTCTTGTTCGCTTTCTTCTTTGAACGAACGTTCCATTCCTTATACCAACCCGAGCCTCGACAGTCTTGACTTGTTGTTGCTCCCTTCAGTCTCTACTCTACAACATATCCACTGTTGAACAGTCCACTCCTTGATACAGGCAAAGCCCAAAGCTTTCACCTCAAAACCAACTACATTTCAGTCCTTTTAGAACAGTCGATATCGGCCCTCTAGGAACTCAACTCGATTTCATCCATCTCGACCTCAGCAGGCCTGCCCTCAGTTACACGCAGAACCCCATCGTCCACAAAAACTCACCAAAATACCCAACTTTGCAACCATCAACATGAAGTTCTTCACTGCTGTCCTGGCCCTGGCCTCCGCCGCCAATGCCCACACTATGCTCTCCGAGCTCTACATCAACGGCGAGTCTCAGGGCGATGCCACCTGCATCCGTACTCCCAAGGACGGTGCCACCTCGACCTCGCCCGTGGCCGGGCTTACCAGCCAGGACATGGCTTGCGGTAAGGCAAACACCCTTCTAGCGTCATGACGCTCAGACTTGATTCACATATACTCATCCGATTCACAGGCAAGGATGGCCAGATCGCCGCCGCGTACACTTGTGCCGCCCCGGCAGCGCCAAGCTGACCTTTGAGTTCCGCCAGTGGCCCGACAAGCGCGCTGAGGGCTCCATTGACCCCTCTCACAAGGGTCCTTGCTCCGTCTACATCAAGAAGGTCGACGACATGAACTCTACCGCCGCCGGCCCCGGCTGGTTCAAGATCTGGGACGAGGGCTACGATGAGTCCACCCAGCAGTGGTGCGTTGACAAGCTCATCGCCAACAAGGGCCTCCTCACCGTCGAGCTCCCCTCTGGTCTCCCCGCCGGTTACTACCTCGTCCGCCCCGAGGTCCTCGCTCTCCACCAGGCCGTCAGCCTGCACGACCCCCAGTACTACGTCGGCTGCGCCCAGGTCTACATCCAGGACGGTCCCTCCGGTGCCCTCGATATCCCCTCCGAGTACGCCGTCAGCATCCCCGGCTACGTCGACGGCTCCGAGCCCGGCAACAACTTCAACCTCTACGACAACCCGCAGTTCCCCTACCCCGTCCCCGGCCCCAAGCCCTACAGCCCCACCGGCACCTCCTCGGGCGTCAAGGCCGCCTCCTTCGAGGGCGGTGTCCCCAGTGACTGCCTGATCAAGAACGCCAACTGGTGCGGTAAGGCTGTCGAGAGCTACAGCACCGAGACGGGCTGCTGGGCCGGCGTCGACGCCTGCTACGCCCAGGGTACCGAGTGCTTCGACTCCGCGCCCCCCACCGGCGCCAGCAACTGCTACGTCTGGAACGACAGCATGTGCAAGGGTCTCGAGGCTCAGTGCCGGGCCAAGAACTTCAACGGTCCTCCCCAGATCGAGCTGGAGGCCAAGACCAGCGCCGCCCCGGGCCCCATCCCCGGCGCCGTGAACCTGAACCTCCTCGGTGGCTCTTCCAACTCCAACGCCGACTCCGCTTCTTCTGCCGCCGCTGCCAGCCCTTCCAAGACCGCCGTGGCTTCTTCCGCCGCCGCCTCTTCCGCTGCTGCCACCCCCGTGCCCGAGTACGTCGCTGAGGACCCCGTCTCCACCGTCGCTCCCGTCGCATCCGTTGCCCCCGTCTCCTCCGCCGCTCCCGCCCCGGCTTCTTCCACCGTCGCCGCCCCTGCTCCCTCCGCCACCAACGGCCTCAAGGTCTCCACCGACGGCACCTGCGGTGGTGAGACCGGCTTCACCTGCGAGGGCAGCAAGTTCGGCGCCTGCTGCTCCTCCAGCGGCAAGTGCGGTAGCAAGATCCTCCAGTGCAGACCCTCTTGCGGCTGCCAGGGCAAGTTTGGTCTCTGCCTCGAGCCCAGCAGCCTCCGCAAGAGCAAGCACAACTAAAGACGCGCGCCATGCTGCTCTTTCATCACATCACGACAAAAAAAAAAGAACGTGATCATGACGATTATGAAAAGAAACAACCACAACAAAGGGTTACCTTCACTTCGCTTCGAGCTTTTGCATTAGCTGCATCAACTTTTTCTCTTTTTTTGGTCCAACGGGGGGGAAAGGAACAACGGGTTTGGTGAACATAACACGGTCGGGGTTTTCAAGGGGAGGTTGAGTGAAGAAAAAAACGTCGGAACAGGACGTCATGGTCGTTTTTTTGGGTGTTTTTTTTCTGGTGTTGTTTTACTCCTGTGACATTCTTGTATATAGTCTGTACAAATCGATCAAACAATTGATCATTTTGAATCATGTGTCATCCTTGCTTGTAGTGTTTCTGACTGCAGTCGATGTTGAACTGTCTGGCAAGCAGACTTCTTGTGGCAATAATTCGGCTTGGGTGGAGGGTTTATGGCCTGCATTGAGACAACGTCCTATCCTCTGGGCCGATACGTGGGCGGCCATATCTCTATAGTCTATTCAGTGACGCTTTCTGGCACATGCGACCCCACTGGAGGATTCGGGATCCCGTCCGCTCTCTCACGAATAAGCCAGTGAGGCTCTTCTAGAAGAGCAGGATTCTCTGTTGACTAGCCCGTCTATGCTTTAGATATGGCGTTGACGTCGTGTCTCGCGATATATCGACGTCATGAAAGAGATCGTCTACAGCGACGGCCCCCGGCGGTTCTTGACCCTGCTGGCTTGGCTCTTTGATCGCCAGGCCGAGCTGAACCGTCTAAGGCAGCTCGGCGACACTTCCGGACGCGACCACATCCAGTGGTCGCACCACCCCGAGACCGGCAACCCCGTGATGACCTTCCGCGGCCTGCGCCCACAGGCCTCCGACATGCGCGCCTTTGCCGCGGCCCAAGTCGATGCCACCGAAAAGGCGCTTCTCACTCTGTTGATGCTGCCTGCCCACGTCGCCGGCCTCGACGACGCCGCCGCCGCCAAGCTCCTCCCCGCCTTGCCGCTGCTGACCGAGGTGGCCGACAACGTTGGCGAGCTGCAGATCGGGTACAGCTTCGTCGATCATGAGGCCAACCGCGCCTGGTCCCGCCCCGCGCGTCACTACCTCGCGGACCGGTCGAGCGATGTCGCGACGCCGTTGAGCAATTTCTCCACCGACCAGAGCCCCAACCTTTCCGCGATCCTCCAGTACCAGCAGGCGACCAACGCTTTCCTCCGCGCCCTGACGCTGGGGTGGCCGTTTGCGCTTCCCATGGCCGTAAAAGGCCGGGCCGCTTGGCTGTTCAACGGGGCTGGAGGTGGAGGGAGGAGGGGCCGCGTAGCGTTGCGGTGGCTGACCTTCTTCCCGGCGCGTAACGACATGGGCTTCCTCTCGGATGTCGACGGTTGGCTGTGACCAGAGGCTTTGTCTGTACTAACGCCAGCATTGCTCTTTTGCCGGGTCCAAAGGAATGATGGCGGTGTAGGCATGTAGATGGCCCAGGTAGCGAGCCGCAAAGGAACATAGGATCCGAACTGCGGCGCAGACAAGCAAACAACCGTCTTTGACTGTTGCCTTTTATGCTTTAGGGTTCTTGACCAGCCCCTGGTCATCCCAGTCGGGTAATGAAAGCAGTTTTAGATTGTGACATTTGAAGCAGACAGTAATCAGAACAGTAGCAGAGGGCAGTACAGGGGTAAAGAGGCATGGATTGACTCCGCAATGTATGGCTCGACTAGCAAGCCCTACCCCTCTGCACATGGGTGTATGTCTTCATGTTCTATTTACTCAAAAGTTGGCGGATGGTCTTCCCAAGGCTTGGAATTCTTAAGGACTGTTGCCGCTTTTAACCAAAACAAGCCAGAAATTCACCGAGTGGACAAAGCCTAGACAGAAGCGGTGGACGATGTTATGCAGCTATTCGCTGGCTATACAGAAGTATGCCACGCCTATAATTCTGAATGGTACAGAGTATTTCAGAGATCGACGTATACTGGATATTCATAGTGTTGGACCGGGTCATTCATTGAGTGACCAATGCGCTGTAGAGCAGAACGATAACCCTTGAATGCACCAATGTGTCGTGACTGAATCAATCGCGGACCTTGTAAATCGGGTTGTGCCAGGACCTCCGGAAAATATCCCTTGCCGCAAGGGGTGAGTCTCTTCAGCAGTTCAACGGCATCTATGCTATCTTCTGGTAAGATCTCGTAGTACTCACTGCGTTTGCCTGATAGCCTCGTGATCGTTGAGAAGAGCACTGCTTTCGCCGAACAATGAGGAAGGCGGTCAAGTAAACGTTTCGACTGCGGCTTCAATACAGACAATTTAGAAGCTTCATGCAAAATCTGCTGCAAGATGAATGATTGGTTTACTTCAAAGTAGATTGACCTCGTGGAGGTGGCGTATAGTGGCGAAACATAGTAAAGCTGTTGGGTCTCAAAGTCGGCAGTAAACTGGACAATGATTTCCTGTGGATCATTATCTAGGAGCGCGCCTGCTGAGACAAAATGGTCCATGGTTTTCAGAGCCTCGGACCAGTATTTCGGGTTCAGAAGCGACCGTTCCCAGCAGGTGAATTGGAAGCTATCAGAGAGCAAAGCCTGCCACGCCTGCCTGATGTCATCCGAGAGGTGGTGAGTGTTTGTATCGTCGCATGGAGCTGCTGATCTGGCCTTGTCCACAAAGTGTTTCTCCAGGAGACTTTGTATGAGGCGGTGGCGATCGAGGTCGGCCTCGACTACGTCTTCAGGACAGGATTTGCGCAAGCTGGGTATATTTGAAAAGGATTCGCATAGCCTCCTAACAATGAAGCCTTCCATCTGAATGTTGATGTTGGTCCTTTCGTACAAAGTCTCATGGATCCATGAGGTGAAGCCTGAAAAAGCAGCAAGACATAGCAATTGCTGTTCCTTGCCGAAACTCCATGGCTGCTTCTTGGTCTTTATGTCTTCTGCATCCAAATTGCTGGCGCATCGTCGCGTCAAAGATAGAAGCCTGTGAATCAACTGCCAGGAGATATCTCTCTTTGCGGAGACATAAGGATTCAAGCTGCTGTTGTGGAATATTGGCGTGCGCCAATGCAATGGGAGGCACCGCAGAATTAGCGCAGTTTTCGACATCCTGGAGAATATCTGTTCCCTTCTTGGCACATGGCTGGCGAAGAGCTGCCTCCCTTCTTCGCTGTTTGTAATGAAATCAATGGCTGTCTTGTGGGTGAATTCCACGTGCTTGTGACTCCAAGACTCAAGTCGAACCACTGCAGTGACCTGCGGAACAGGGTCGCTTTCGACCTCGTCCGATTCCAAGAGCCCAGCACACTTTGCAGGCAGTGTTTGATACATGTACTTGCACCTCTCCAATACCCTCTCGAAATCAGGTGGTTTAGCAGTGCAGGCAAAAGCTTCCAGTAATGAATCGTCCGCAGAGATTGTAAACCCTAGCAGGCTGTTTACTGGAGTGTTGTTCCAGATCCCTTTCTTCGACTCTATTACTAGATAAAAATAGAGCACTGCTGTTTCGATATAGAAGTCGCCGTCATCATTCAGCTTCGACCACATCTCTTTGTACAGACTTGTGAGATTTTGGGGTAGAGACTGAATGCGTATTTTCAACATCGCTAAATCGTCGTAGTTGCTGAGACCTCGCTTTACACTTTGTAGGACAAGGACAACCCATAGAAAGACGCCATCAGATTTCTCCAGGATCAGGTCAGAGATTCTGTTGACAGCTTGATCGGAGTCGAGTCCTGATGCTTGGAGGAAATCCAATGTGTACGTCTCGATATCTGGATAGTTGAAATCCTGCATCTTCAGCCTCGGATACTTGTCAAACTCCCGTTTCAGGAATGGCTCTGGGCGACTAGATACGCAAACTTTGGCATGACTAGTGGCGACAATCTCTTTGATTAGACGGAGAAGCCGATCAACCCCTTCCTCATGATCTGTGGCAACTTCGTCCAATCCATCCAGAAGGAGTAAATAAGTAGAGGATGATGTCTGAAGAGCCCTAAAGAGCGTCTTCTTTAGCTCCTTGATGGTCCAATCGGTATCTGAGTCCTTTCTGGAAACCTGACTGTCTACCTTCAGGATGTTTGTTGCAATCTGATTGTCTTCGGCCAGTATCTGATGAAGCAAAGAGCAGAGTAAGCCCTTGATGTTTCGCTGCATGAAGGTTCCGGATTTCCATAGGTAGTGAGATATGAGTCGAGTGTTTGGTTGGCAATAAGTGAGGGTCGATCTGGACGACTCAACGAACCTCATGAGAGTGCTCTTTCCGGACCCAGGCTTCCCACTAATCCAATAGAGGCTCTCGGGACCAACCCGTAGCCATTCAATAAAACTAGTCCATTCCAAGCCTGAGTTCTGACGCCTTAATGAACTGCTGAATATCCAGCGGAATGTCATTGGGTGTACATCGGTGATTCTGTTCTTCCGCTCGTTCATTCCGGGGTACTTTAGGCTTTTTAAAAGTGTCCGATAAGCCCGTTCTTCCCTAGTTGAACCATCTAGGGATTCAACCACCTGGTTAAGTGTGTTTTGTATACTTGTGTCGGACGCGGAGAGGTTCTTGTCGTTGGAGAGTTTATGTGACTGAAGCGTCAAGGTGATGTGTGACTTTATTGCTTCTTGTGTTTTGGTTGACTCCGCTGTAATATGATCTTGGACATCTTTGGATTGGCTCTCGATCAGTTTGATGAGGGTGCCCTCGGAACTCGAATATCGGGCAACAAAGTTGTTGAGTTCTTGGCTCATCGTCGTAAAGTCCTTCTTGTGTTGCTCACAGGAAGCCTCAACTCTGGAAAACAACCTCTCTAAAATAGACGTATCCATAAGCTTCTGTGCATCTGCTAAATTGGTTTTAAGTCGTTCCAGTCGTCGTTTCCTCCAGATAACCTTCGAAGTAACACCCAAGGCCTTTAGTTTCCCTGGCTGGCTAGACGACAGGTAAGTCATCTCTTCCTCAAGGTCCTTCGCATGCTTGACACAATTCAAAGCAAGCTCCAACAAGCGTTTATCCATCGTTGACATCTCATTCGCACTGGAGGCAGCCGCTAAATGTTGCGGTTTGAGTGTCTTTTCTAGGCTGTTGGAAACCTTAAAAAGGTTCTTTGCATGATCAGCGAGACTCGGCTCCGGTGAGCCACTCTCATGAATGCGTCGACACATGGAGACAGCCTCGTGGCCAAAGCTGATAAGCTGCATGATGTTGCAAGCAAGACCTAGGCCCGCAATGCCCTCGAAACCGGACATGGCGGGCTATGTACGAAGCCACGAGGCGTCGGATATCTGACTGCCTGGTTTCCTATGAGTGGAAGACGTTGTGAATTTGGCAGTGTGAATGGGTGAGAGTATGGTCGACATTCAGCTTCAACGGGCAAGGAAGGCACCCGCAAGGCGAAAATGGAGGGGTTGGAGGAGGAGAATACCATCCAGCAGGAAAACAGGGCAAGACGGGGAATTGGGGCCCGTCGAACATAGTCATTTGCAAGCTAGCCTACTCATTGCAGTGACTTACCCCCTCTCGTAGAACTCATTGCATCTGCAAGTGAGGGCCAATAAGACCTCCAACCCGCGCCCCCTGCATGCAGGTCGGTCGCTTGTCTATAGCTTACACACCACAAATTTAGTTCGCCTTACCAGGGGCAGGCAAATGACAGGCGAACGAACAGGCGCACCGATGTCGAAGTGCTAATAATCGTGGGGCAAGGTTATGTGTGTGTAACTGTCACTATCTTAACACCATATATTGCGGTGGCATACACCTTTTCCTACTACATCCCCCAGACATTAATCACTTGGTTGCAAGTCAGCAAAGATTACTGTAGCGCGACAGCCAAAATTTCCACGCAATAACAACTGCCTACAGCACCAACACTTCAAACTGCACTCCTACTGTGCACAAAGGTGTTGAAATCCCATGTCTGTGGGTTAGCCAAGGCTTACAGTGCTCTACGATGCTCTTGTTGCCTCAGTTCTCAGCAAAGGAGCCTTCGAGGCAATGTGTAGAATAAGCAGCTGTTTAGGGGGATATAAGGCCTTGTTTAATATTGCATAACGTCGCATTGGAACAGAAAGTAGTAGACACCTGTTATATAACCAACGGGTTGACTGTATGTGGCTTCGTGATCTGGAACTGGTATGTTGACAGACGTGCCTGTGACTAGGGTTCAAGTCTCACTCCACAGCCACGTGCGTGCTTGCAGCGCAATGATTATAACATCCCGACACCATCAGCCTAAGTTTTTTGATCGGTATTAATATTTATGCATCAGGGCAACATCCCATCCTCTGAGTTTATACGTAAGCGGCCATGTGTCTACAGTGTTTCCAGTGACACTTCCCTAGCACATACGATCTACAGCACCATACAAAACACCAAACTGCTCGAAAAGAAATGGAGGACGACATGATACATAATGCAATCCGCTTCTTTGCTGAAAATTGCATAGGACTTCGAGTACATTACGCAGAAAGTAGCAAGCCGCCCATGTAGTAGGTCTGATGGACGTGCCTGCCATCATTGAAACAAAAATGGGTTCAAGGTGGCGGGATTTGGGTTCGTGGTTCTGAGAACCGTAACAGATCCCCAAACCCGTGGCTGAACACGTTCTGCAGCGTCAAATCGAAATCGACAAACAAACCAGTAACGATTTCTCTAAGTTTTCTGGTGACCAATTTTTTGAAACATGCCATGCCATCTGTGTATTCTATGACAAAAGCCGCTGATTCTGTTAAGATGTAATTGGGTTTTATATGTCATTCGAGAGCAACTGATCGGAATAAGGTGGATCCTACTGATTGTTTTCATGACTCCTGCGGAAAGCAATTCCCACTTCTGGTGTGTCATAGTTCATTGCTGAAACTGCAGCAGCGCAACCTTTTTGAAAAAACAGTGCTCTGGTAAGCTCGATTGCGACCCAAAGTCTGTGAAGTTGTAAATCAACCCTCCTGTCACACTATCCTAGCAGTAAAGGATGTTCGATGGCTTAACGTCCCTGTGTACCCTATGGGCTTAATTGTGGAAGTGTTTTACCGCGCTTGCTAGACCCACGATCTGAGACCATAAGGACGACCTGCAAGCAAACAGATCTTTGACCTGGTTGAAATTCCTAAAAAAAGCCTTCCAAGGTTGCCAACGGCGAGCTAAAAAGCCAAAATGAAGTGCTGTTCCCCTTCATCTTCAATGCTGAAGACGGCTAGTGTTTCGACAATGTTTGGCTAAAAAAGACCTTGGGCCTTGTTAAATGCGTCTAGGTAACTTCCAGATCAAGAGCTTCAGGATTCTCTGACGGCATTATTGTGATCAACCCCTACCCTGCGATGGTTTTAAACGATCTCGCAGGGAAGCAAATCCGAGAAAAGTGGTGGGCAGCAGTTAACAGAAACATCATAATATTGAAGGACTGAAGCTGGCACTCAACTGCTCGTTCGTCTCCTCATTCGGTCTGTAGATGATGTCCAATGAACCTTGGCACCCTCTTAAGGAGTGAGGTTTGCCATGTCGCTTCCGCTAAGTTCTGCCTCACATTTTAGACTATGGTTAATTGAACATCCACCCGGCACTCGCAACAGTCTCACTTGACAAGTCAAGCCCAAAAGCTTGACAGATATGCAATATACCTTTTTCCAAGTAGTTATCAGGCATGTACTTTAGGGGAAACAGCATTATTCCTTTCCAAAGAAAACATTTAGACTCAATATTGATGACTCCTATCTAAAGAAGCGGAAATCATTACGAGATGTAAGTTTCTGGCTCGTCGACAATTGATCCGGTTCTGACTAATGCCCTGCTGCCTTGTGAAAGTGTAACCTTTCTGTTTTCACTGTGCAAGACCTTCTGAAAGTCAAGCTTGATCTTCAACACCTGCTCGATATGTCCCATCTCAAGTTTGTGGCCTTCGAATCTCGCGATTGTTCTTGCCGTGTTAATGGCGTTGGATATCTCCCGCCCATTGAGTTTGTGCTCCAGGACGTTGGTGATGGCATCATTCAACTCGCCAAAATTAGTCTCCTCTTCTGGAAGCTTCTGAATGCATCGTATCCAGAGCTTTTCGCGGGTTTTGATGTCAGGCGGGGAGTAGCCTAAAGCTAGATGAATCCGCGAGTTCATTGCCATGTCAAACGAGGCCAATCGGTTGGTAGTAAGAAATACAAGGCCAGAAAAGTACTCCAGGTGTTTGAGAAAAACTGCTACAAGAGCATTGCGTTCTACGTTTCCCGCCTTTTCTTCGCGAGCCTCAAGAAAGATGTCAGCCTCATCAAGAAGAAGCACAGCATGCCACTGAGTAGCATAGCGCATTACCCGCCGAACCTCCGCCTCGAACGCATATGGACTGAAACCCGTTAGTCAATACTGTGAATGAGTCCCGATGTAGACCGAGGTCTTACTTATTTTCACTATTCAGGTCTCCCATTGTAGCTGAAATTAATGCTGTTCGTCTACCCTCTGCCGCTACTTCGGCAGTCAGAGTCTTTCCAGAGCCCGGCGAGCCGTGAAGGAGAATCACAAGTCCTTTGCCTTCTTGATCGGGTTGATTGCGCGAGTTTTCTGGAAAGTGATGAGAGCTGACAAGCGCTCTTATTACCAGCTTCTGGTCTTCTGGCAAGATCAAAGAATTCCAAACGGTATCATTCCATTTGACTTCCTCGATAAGATCGACAAAGAAGCGGCACCAGCCCTTTCTACTCAAGGAAAATCCGACTAGATATGGCGGGCATGTTGATGGGTTCAGGTTCGGAACGTTGTTGACCATAGCCACGCTTCGGTAATGATCCTGTTGGAAGGTCTTTCTGTCAACGATGATCCGCCCGGATTCCTATGTTATTGGTTATCATCCAGTCGCAGTTAGTGCTGGTACCTGCACAGCACTTACCGTGTATGGCAACCAAACATCGTTCATTAAAGCCATGTCAGGATCATAAAATCTGGAAGGTGGGTATTTCAGATATTGTGCAAGAACCTCGTAAGCTTCCACGGACATTCTGACGTAGGAGAGAAACTTTCGCCCTCGTTGTTCGATTGTTGCCTCTAGCTCCTTGTTATTTTTGACGAAGCTCCATGGGTGAATTGGCAAGTCGGTGACAAAGGCGGGGCTATCACCTCCAAAGGCCTCCGTCTGATAAATCCTCATCGATTTGGTAGCCTTGCCAGCGGTTGTACCATCGTAGTCTGTGTATGTACAAGTGACTGTCAAGTATGGGCCACGACTATTGCTCTGCTCATATGCAGTCTTCTGGCATTCCAACAGCCAAGGGTGCCCCATAATATCCGTATGGAGTGTTGTGCCTGGCCGGAAGATCACCCAGGCCGTTGAAAACGTGACCTGTTCATTTTGCAGCATGGAAAGCAAGGCGCCGCGTTGACTCCCAAGCTCGCAGTGCATGAACTCAAGGAGTAAGCCGATGTGCAATCCTTTATCTTTGTCTTCCGCCGTTTTCTGATATTCTTCTAGTTCTTCCCAGTAGTGAATGAGCATTTGAAAAGGGTTGGTCAAAGACAAAGGTGACTTAAAGTCCGAAGCTACCATAGGGTAAGATTTGATGACATGGCGAAAGACTTCAAGAATATGCGGTGAGTTAACTTTCAAAGTCACTGACGTAGGCTCATGAGAGTTTTCGGCAGTAAAGTCTCGAGTAATAATGAGAGCATATAGTGCGTCTTCTTCTTTGACGGTGTGACTTTGTGACGTTTACCGAAATGGTCGGTGATCGGATTGACAATCTTCTTTCCATCCTTCTTAAGCAAGGTATGATATGTTCGAAACTCGCATTGTGAGCCCTCTGTAGGCGCCATGGTTGTCAAGATGTCCCCTGACTGTGTGCTGGCTGGCTTGAATAGAAGGGCAAAGGATAGAGGTCTGTGTCAAAGGGGTTGAGGGGTTAATGTGCTTGCCTGATAACCTCTGTTTGAAGCTCTTGGCAAAGCCTGATTCTGATATCGGCGCATCAAGATGGGAACTGGTGTGAACACCTGCACCTCCATATCATCATCAAGAACCAGTAATAATGCTACCGAAATCATCTTATCTCAGGTGTAGGCCTGAACGATTTGTTCAGCTCTTCATTGTGTAGGGTACGTAATTTTCATTATTGGCTGACAACTATCGATGCTCGTCAAGGCTTGTTCTCCCAATGCATAATCAGCATCACACAAGTCTTACATGCATAATATCTTCGGTCAGTAATCAAAAGAAGGCAACCAATACGAGCCTCCCATTTCCCAGCCTGATATCAAACCTTCTATGAAGTCTATCAATGTAGGTGATTGCCCTGTTCCCAAATACATGGAGGCTCTCTCCAAACCTTTCCCTAACATCTTTCCCCAGGAGTAAAGCCTTTGCCCTAATTACTACTGTTTCAATCCCCAAAGAGCGGTCACTTCAAACCTCATCTCCAATGCTGCCAGCTCAAGCAGCAGCATCCTCCTCCTTTTTGGGGGAAGGTCAAGACGAACATTTAGACGGTTCTCTCTTCAAGGCCATTGAAGAATTCTTGGACAGCATTCGAGAGAAACAAAAGACAGACCCGAGGAATCCATTCTTGCTGGAGCTCAACGAGATGCAGCGAAAGCGAAAAGCTTCCGGCTCAACGTTTGACAGCGAGAGTTATGCCACGCAAGCTTTCACTAAGCTGGAAGATTGTATGAGTCGGCTTCAGAAACAAAGGAGAAACCGAACCACCAGTCGTCTTCTTGCAAAGCTAGGGCCTTTCCTCCAGGGGCTTAAAAACTTAGCAAGGGTTGGCGAGGCACTTGGCCAAGCTGTTCCACTTGGAGCAGGGGCGGCATTTGCTGGTGCTCGTATTGTGCTCACGCTTGCAGTCGAATATAACGAATATTTCGAAAAGGTCGTAGAGTTTATGGAGCGTATTGGACACTATCTGCAATGCTATGCAAACTTCGAGGCTGCGCTAAGGACTGAACCCCAATTCCAGGCTCGACTGGTTAACACTTACCGAGAAATCCTTGAATTCTGGTACAAGGCCTCGCAAACCTTATCAAAGCCTCGGAAAGCTTTGCCGAGTTTTACAAAAAGGCTCTTAGAAGAGATCAAAGATTCAGCCGAGGCCCTCAAGGCAGACAGTGACACAGTCTCTCAACTGGCCATCGCAATGACCATGCGGCGGTCAGAAGATGAACGAAAACAAAATGAGCGACAATTGATCCGTGACTGGATAGCAGGAAAACCAGAGGAACGAGTCATAGTTGAGGACAATTTGGACGACAAGATCAAACACAGGCAAGAGAACACGTGCCAATGGATTTTGGAAGACCCCAGTTTTCTTTCCTGGCGCAGTTCCAAGGGCAAAGCCTCTCTATGGTACCATGCACCGCCTGGTTCCGGCAAGAGTGTGATGTCATCAGCTGTTATCGAACATCTTCAAGAGCAAGGGGAGAATGTTGTTTACTACTTCTTCTCTTACAGCGACGGAATACGGAAACATGCAATCCACGGATTCAGGTCCTTGATCTTGCAAATACTAGACCTGCCCACGGCAGAGATTTCGAAAGAGTTTCTACGGAAAAGCCAGGAAGGTTTGAAAACACGCAGCCTGAGGGAAAATAGCTTAAACTCTGGACGTTTAGCTCTGGAGCTCCTTCAATACCTCATAAAGCGGAACGACGTTTATGTCGTTCTTGATGGGCTTGATGAGTGTATAAACATAGCCCGACCAGGAACAGATGAAACGGCAGATGATACGCCGGACCTGCTACCTGACCTCGAGAAGATGATGAAAGAAAGGACTTGGGTACGCGACAAGTGGTTCTTCACTAGCCGTTACCATAGAAAGATACATGATGTCATGAGAACGACAGGGGCAGCTATAATTGAAGCCGACTCCAATATCATCATGCGAGACGTTCAAACATATCTTGCGGCGCAATTCCCAGATCAAAGCATTCTCGGAAACTATATTAAGGGAGAGGGCAACTTTCTTTACGCCAGAATTTTACGTCTGAAGCTCCGGGGTCTGAGCCGTGCTCAAGAAATCGAAGAGGCATTGCAAGGCTTCCCTAGGGATCTGAACGGTTATTACACCCGATCTTTGGAAGTTTTGGTTCAAATCGCCGAAAAGAGACGGGAACGTGTCCAGTAAGTTATTTTTATCAATCATTTCTATTCGAACTACAACAAGCACTTGAACGAAACAAACTGATCCGATAGTGTAGCCGTTTGTTTACGCTTCTTGCTGGGGCATTCCAGCCTCTTACACTCCATGAAGCACTTGAGGCGATCTCCATCATTCCCGGAGTGGATGATTGGGAAGATGCCAATATCAACTGGGAATATGACCTCCGAGATATCTGCAGTCCTCTTGTCGAGCTTGAAACTCGAGAAGGTGTCCCAAGCGGCAACAGCACGGTCAGATTCTTCCACAAATCCATCGAAGACTATCTACTTCAAGATCCTGCCAGGGATCCCAAGATTCCACGGGAACTTCACGGACTTTTTATTACCCGTGAAAAATATGACTTGGAGGTAGGGCTGTGCTGTCTTAGGTATCTAAAGCGTAAACGATACAAAAAGATCCAGGACCTGGCATCCCTTTTGAACAACACTCCTAGGGGGCATTCCTTCTTACGGTATGCAGCTACTTTCTGGTTCAGGCATCTATCCCAAGCGAAACCAACCGCGGAAATTCTTGAAGAAGTGGAAACTTTCCTTCGAAGCAAATGTTTCTGGACCTGTTTGAGTGTACAGAGCCAGGTTTCCCCATTTCTATTCGGCTCTTATATGCACCACACGCCAGGAATGTTTGCTATGGAAGCGAGAGGGCTACAGGCTCTATAGAAGGATATCATTTCGGGTTGCCGCTCCCAGGGTGGCTTAACATCTATTCCCATGAGCTGGACATTTCCTTCTGTTCCTTTGTGAGCGAGTGGAGAGAAGTCCTTGCCATAAAGCCGTTGGGTCTTTGGAGTTGTCGACCCTTGAGACATTTCGCAGACACTTGCCACCTTGTTCCACTCGATAGGGCTAAAACGATGGGAGTCGTTGTTTTACAAAACCTTTGCAGCCCAAAAACTATGTCTGAGGTTTACATTTTCGAAGTTGTATGCAACGACAAACAATTCGCAGCTGAGCTACTGTTCCGCGACAAAAGAAGCCCGGTAGACCAACTGCAACAAGACCGCTGGGTGTTCCTAGATTCTGAGAGGGCCGAAAGCAGCCGAAAAAGGACACCAAATTCTATCTCATATAAACTTCGGATCGAAGATGACCGAAAAAATTGGTTTGATGTAATTGGATGTCATGATGCAAACCGGGGGTCTCTGGAATGCTGGCAGATCAATCATCAGACGCTACAGATTAGGCGCACAGCTTCATGCTCATGCTGCCAGCAAGACTTGGATATGAAAGCGCCCCTGTTTCCACCACTACGAGCACCGTCGAAATCGCAGGGTCGTTGGGAGCTGTTGCATACGAGCGTGGCATCCAAGAATACCAAACGTTCAACACGTATGTTTCACATGGCCTGGTCATCTCTCAATAGCAACATCCCTCAGTGGGGTGACTCGGACTCGTCTGACTTCAACCCGGACTCTGATTCGGAGACGGACCCTGAATCGGAGACGGACGACGAAACCTACTACTCCGGCGACAACGAGACGGGGACAAGTTTCCCACCTAATGGATCTCAACGCGAATCCCCACAAGCATCTCCTGGTCTTGATTTGGAGGCCGATGAGAGTGAAGCAAACGCTACTGACTGTTTGATTTTGGCGCGACCTGGTGAGCGCCCGACTTACATCCTCTGGTCTGATTCATCCGTTTGGAAGAGAATTGAATCTGCAGACCATCCAACTCTACCAATCGTGGCGGTCAGTCATTCCGTTGCTCAGTTGAGGTTGATCCACCTGGAGACTGGGACTCAAAAGGTGTTGAGTATTCCCGAGTTCAATGGCATTACGGAAACGCCTGACTCTTATGTTCGAGGTCAGTTTCAATTCCCTCTTCTGCATCCTTTGCTTATTGTGAACCCTCCAGAACTTCGCTTTTCGTCCTGTGGCAAGTTTCTTCACCTTTTATCAATTTTCTTTTTCGGTGGAAGGCACTTCACCAGATGCTCTGTCAGAGTTTCAACTTTCCAATTCAACGACAACGGCAGCAATGATGGCATACTTATTCGCAACAGTCAGCCACAGAGCTGTAGCTACATCACCCCTGTGTCACTGAGGGAGATAGGTGCTCTTTTGGCACTGACGTCCTGGACTGAAGCTTTCGTTGTGGTCGCCCTTCCACCCCTGACCTGCGACCCGAAAGTGTTGAGGATCAGCCTCAGTGTTGACGAAACGCGTCCAGACTCAATTTTCACACTCTCGGAGCAAATATACTTTCCCACTTCGGTTCATCGGAGATGTGTCCAGTTATATTATAGATCGCGGCAGAAAGGTTCAGACCGTGTTTACCTCGCACTTGGGCCACTTCTTGGTGTTGAGGCTGACGGCAGAGAGGGTAGGAGTGCGAACGGTAATGATCAATCCAGTCCTCCAGTCGTTCTTTGGTGGAAAGTCTTACATAAGACGGGCTGGAAAGCATGGGACGACGAGACCGATCAAAACCCCGAAAACATCAGTGAAAGAAGCACTATGCTCCGACGACTGAGAGGAAACTTTATAGAGAGTGATAAGTCGTTTACTGTTCCGATCCGGTGTGGTCTAAACTGGACTCGAAAGGGCGTTTTGACATGTTTTTAAAGGGTTTATAAAACTATCGAGTCCGCTTTCGGGCGCATCTTCCACTGTTCCTTGAAGATTACTTCCGGTATCGACTCATCCAAGAGCAGACAGCGAGCAGCAGCCGCAGCTACCGCTCCTTGTGGAGCGACCATGCAACAAAGGGTCCTAGCGTGGGTCACTCCTGCGTGGTAGTTTGAATGAAGAGGTGGCAGTTCGGTAAAATGCTTGCAAGAAGATGTATCAGTTGATGAAGAGCCGGTGTGGCTCATGCGATACGTTCCACTCAGTGTCTAAGTTGAAGGGCGTGTGTAACCGATACTGTGATGAGCTAGACTCTACCTGACATTCAAGATCTTGCAACGGGATGACAAGAGCTGCCGAAGAGCACCCAAGAGTAACTCTCAGCAGAGTGCATAATATTGATTGCGCCTATTTTTGGTCTCCTCCTCGATCTACAGCGTATCCAACGGTTCTTGAATCGAAAAGGCCAAGCAGGTGTTTGTCGGAACTGGTCACATCGGACTGTTGTTCCCGCAGACGACGACATCCAACCCGCAACGCCGACGTCGTCATCACGAATGCTGACACAACCACCACACATCACGAAAACTCTTGCATCAATCTGTGGTCTATGAACATGCGTCCAAACAGGACAAAGCATCATGCGACCAAGTCACGAGAACGTAGGACGTCGCTGCAGGTCCATCGAAAACCAAACAAACGCCCTCCCTGCTCCTCCTCCCACATCCCGAACACTACAACCCTGACAACCACGCCTTCCCTCTCCAGCAAACCAGGGCCCATCACCTCCCACTCGTCACCTCCAGTCGTCAGTGCACGCAAATCCACGCAACGGCATTGGTCCAGCAGCAGCGTTCTCCTTCTCATTTGCCAGTGACAGTCGAAAGGCTAGTTCGTTACGCGGCAAGTGGTGGGCGGGCGGGCGGGCAGCACCCTCCGGGTCCTCGAAGCTTCGGTCGGCCGGCCCCCCCAGAGAACTTCCAGCATGTTGCCGCCGGGGCCAGACGAACCGAGACTCCTGAGGCTCGTCTCGAAAAGGGGATAAATAGATCAGCCCGGAACCTCCCACTCCCTCTTTCGAGATCGCAGTCTTCCTTTCTTGAAAATCTGTGCAACCGTTTCGAGTGTCGAAGCGCATGCCATCTGAACATGATGATCGCCCCCCCTTCCAGGATTATGGGGGCTTTGCTTACCGCGACCCGACAGAGTTGCAAAGACAGCAAACCAAAAAAGACCAACATCGGACGCAAGAGGTGCACTCCAATCACCCAAAGCGGCCTAGTGGCGTTCCCCCCTCTGTGCCCCCCCCCTCCAGCGAGCGCTCTACCTATCTCAATGCTACAGGCCTCTTAGCTCCCTCCAGCGTTGGGCTGAACGGACCTAGGGGAAGGCTCGCACCGGTCATCGGCGCCACGGTTCCCCGACCGAGGAGTGGTCGGAATTACCCTTCGGCCTATGAGCTCATGGTGGTTGCGGGCGCCCGCCAAGCATATTTGCTTTGCACAGGTCCCCTGAAAGGGATGAGATGATAACAGGGGAAATTTCTGGCACCGACATCTCGACAAGTGTCCTGCCGCTCGCAAGGGACTCACCTGCGAGCTTTCAAACTGAACAAACCTGCACACTCACTGCGCCCGGATCCTGCAGCCATTGACACCCAGAAACTCAATCGCTTGAAACGCACAAGACACAATGGCTCGCTCTTGGAAGCCCGTCTTCTGGGCCCTTTTCCTGCTGGTGCAGCTGGGCATTGCGTCGTCCGTGGCCGAGAAGCTCGGCTTTGCAGGCAAAGCTGTCGCCGACCTCAGTCTCGAGGAGCTCGATGAGCAGCTGCAGGTGAGATAGCTGCCGGTGGTGACGCGATTCTGTTGCTCGTGTGCAGAAGGGACACGCAGACATGGAATACTGACAACCCGCCATTGCACAGCAATGCTCCGTCGTCCAGAGCCTCACGGCCGATAAGCTGTCCAAGCTGAGCGACAACCCCTCCCTCCTCACCCGTGCCTTCGGCGTCCTCTTCCCGGGCTCGCCCGCCGTCAACGCCATTCTCGCGACGCTCTACATCTCCGGCCCGCCCAACTTCCTCTTGGCCTTGTGCCCGCCCAACATCGACCCCTCCTCGCTCTCCGTCATGGTCGCCTTCGCCGTCGGCGGACTCATGGGCGACACCCTCTTCCACCTGCTTCCCGAGATCTTCCTCGGCGAGGATGAACCCGAGCGCGCGCGCCTGGTCCTCGTCGAGCCGAACCGCAACCTGCTCCTTGGTGTCGCTATTCTCGTCGGCTTCATGACATTCGTGGCCATGGACAAGGGGCTGCGGATCGCCACAGGCGGCGCAGGCCATTCTCATGACCACGGCGGACACTCGCACGCTGAGACAACCGCCGAGGGCGCGTCGTCAGCAGTGGAGAAGACGGGCGAGCTCAAGTCGCGGAAGAAGAAGAAGGCCGAGGGCGCTGGCTCCGGTGCCGCGGCCGAGAAGACGGAGAAGGAGATCAACCCCAGCGTCAAGCTCGGCGGTTACCTTAACTTGATGTACGGCATTTTCCTCGGGTCCTGCTGTAGGGCGACGACTGGGTCCCGGATTACGGGTCTTGGCGGCGGCGTTTCCGATTTTTGAGTATTTGGCTAACCCCGGGTCCTGTAGCGCCGACTTCACGCACAACATCACCGACGGCCTGGCCATGTCAGCCAGCTTCTACGCCTCGCCGACCATCGGCGCCACGACAACGGTCGCGGTTTTCTTCCACGAGATTCCCCACGAGGTCGGCGATTTCGCTCTGCTGGTGCAGTCCGGCTTTAGCAAGAAGGCGGCCATGGGCGCGCAGTTCGTGACCGCGCTCGGCGCGCTTCTGGGGACCCTCATTGGCATCGCCGTGCAGGAGCTTGGTGGCAGCTCTGGCGAGGGCGCCATGGCGCGTAACGCGGGGCTCTGGGGGACTAGCTTGGTGAGTGCGGCAGTTATGCTGACGCCCACGACTATGACGAAACATGCTGACAGTGCTTGCAGACTTGGGGCGATTTGCTTCTCCCTTTCACGGCTGGCACGTTCCTCTACGTGGGTACCGTTGCCGTAATCCCGGAGCTTCTGGAGACGGGGCCGAACAAGATGGCTGAGCTACGTAAGACGCTGGTGCAGTTCGCTGCTATCGCCGTTGGCGCCGGCATCATGCTGTATATTTCGTGGCACGACTGAGACTGCCCTTGCACGGCTTGCATGTTCTGGAAATAGACGTGTCTAGACGGACCCGGACGGTTCCCAAGTTGAGAGGTGTAAACATAAAATATAGATTGCGGAGGCTGTCACTCGGCTTGTCGTGCACGGGGATACGGTAGACAAAATTGAACGCGGCCAATGTCCATGTTATCATACGCATGAGCTGGAGACCGCTTCCATACGTACGGCACAGTAAGTTTGGTGAAGATGGCTTACCCTGACTGAATGGCGTAGACGTGGCAGAGACCGCGTGCGCTGGACCCCGACAACTTGGTTGACGGATCCTTAGTTCCGACCGTCTTTGGTAGAGATGCGGGCGCAACAGATGGCTTTCTGGAGAAGTCGGGGTAATGTACACGAGGTATAGGAACATGCCGTCTCGAGTACCTTGGCTGGAGTAACAAGACTTGCTGCGACGAACCGAGACTGGCGGAGTGAGTTTGCGGTGAAGATACAGTGTTACCATGACCCTGCTTCAGATGGCCTTTGATTTGAAAGACAACAACTCGGCTCAACCCCCCCTGGGACCGAATGTACATTATGCCATGGCCTCGTGAGACTAGTGTATTTCGACACAGCACGCAATGAGGTCAAGCCAATAACTGGGTTGGCGCAATACAGCCCCGGAGATGGTGTTTGTTTCAGCCCCAAGAGAGGATTATAATTCCCGGGATGAGATAATCGTCAATTAATCATCCCGGGGTTGGTAAGCTGATGAATTCTGTCATTGTTAGGACTCGGACATTGTCCAAATCAAATGCAGAATCCAGTCCAAGGCAGTTGCTAGCGCAGCAACCCGATTGACATGAGGCGCCCTGCAGGGCGCGGTGTACAGGCTTGTGCCGTAGGGCGCGTGAGTCAACGGAGAGCTTAGCGCTCGACTTGGGATCTGTGTCAGCATCTAGAAGTCCGGTCACGACCTAGAGAGCATAGCTAGCACCGAATCGATCTCCCGTCCCCGATTGGAGACGGAATCCGTCATAGGGCGGTCTGGCCATAGGGTCGAACAACAAGCCCATGTGCGGAAGTGCGGTTGCGCAGAAGTCTTAGGTAATGGATCCGGCCTCGCGTTCCGAATGTGGCATGTCACTAGCGCTCGCTCTCCAGCAAAATTGCATCGTGGTTCGATCGACGGCCAGAAATCATTCTGCCCGTGTTCCCCTGCGGATGGGCCAAGAGATGGCGCTTGCAGAGCTCCACTTGCCGCCACAAAGGGACAGGAGATACCCGTAAAACTTTTTTTCCGTTAAAAACTTCACCACCAGACGCCGTGACGTTCTGGCAAAAGACGACATCATTATGCCGCGGCCACCCATGGCTCGTTTGGCGTCGGCTGAAAGTGGATATGCGGATTGCACCATCTAGTACCGTCCACAATCGCCCACGAGAACCCACATTTGTCTCCTGTTTCCTAGACACATGTTGGCTTGTGTCCCGTATGCACCCCTGATTCGGGACGGACAGTCGACGAAGCCTTACAGCTTTAGCTGCTGCTCACCTCAGAGCCGCAAGACATGCAGTGACGCGCCGTGTGCTGTAACCCGATGAGCCCCATTTTGTTCCGCAATGGAGCCGCAAATGTCTGAAGATCCGCCTCCTTCTGTGCTTTGGTCAGGCGTGCCTGGCGATTCCAGCCTTCCATCGGGCGTTCCATGCCTTCTAGCGTCACTGCGCGGATGGAACTCATCAGTCAGAACCTCGCCATCGTCGTGCGGGTGTCATCGACGAGACATCCAATTGCGACCATGGTAGGCCACAACGTGGTCAGCTGTATGCTCGGGGGCCACTCCTGCAGTTCCCGAGAGAGTAGGCGATTCGTGAGGTTACAGCCTTCACGTGTGCCCTCGTGTGTGTGTGCAAGTGTGTGTCGACCATGCAACCATTAGGCGTGCGGCATTGGATGGCCTTGAAGGGCTCGAACGTGGGATGAAGGACAAAATTTTCACTTCACGATGCAGTTGCCGCAGCTCGGATGGATCCCATTACCGTCGGTTTCCCCTAACGTCAAGAGTTCGCGAGGCACACCCCATCGGCGCATCCTTGAGAGTGGATCGTGACACCCTAGACCACCGGCGTGACAAAGCGTAACGACCGCTAACGGGAGGCCGAACCGGATGGCCGATGTGCCTCCGCCGGCGGAATCCACTCTCGACCGTGTACGTTAAGGGGACCCGATGGCATGGGTGTCGCGTTGTGCCAGCGCCAGCCGCCAGGCACCTAACGGCAAGGCGCCGCGCCCCTGGATGGATCTCATTAGACATCGATTCCGTGTACGTAAAGCCCAGCCGGTTGTCGTGTGTTGTCTCGAACTTTGCATCTTTTTTAGTTTTTTTCGTCGTTTGTCCACCGAATGGCGATATCCACCCTTGCGGCTGTTTGAGCGTGAAATCGAATGGCCCCGAGGTAGAGGTACATGCGGTACTTGATGTACATGCCTTGGTCGTACCGTTCGCCAACCTGTCCAGGCCGCCCTTGTTTCCTCAACCGGCTGGACTTTTTTGGGCAACGACACACAACCCGCTTGCTCTCTGCGCCCAAGCATGGAAAGGCGGTCGTGCGTGTGACATGAAAATGCAGCCATGACGATGCGAAGAGCTAGGGGGAAGAATTTTCCCCACCCTTGCTTGCAGATGTTGTGTAGGGTGACGACCTGTGTTGAATGGTTTAAAGTTGCCGATTGGGACAGCGGTGTCGGACTGACGGCACATTTTGAGTCGATCATTGAGAGGACATCGATGGGCTTTTCCTCGGGGGCAGGCAAGCTGCGGTGACGCTGCTGCGTCGCGTGTGCCTTGTCACCGCAGCATTGTTAACCGAAACAGTCGAAAAGGCGACAGGGCGCGGCTGATAAGAGAAGCTGGGAGGTTGACGTATCGCAGCCATTGGCAGATGTATGATGGGGTCGCAGATCTTGATTTAATCATGGCTCCCCGCGTGCCCGCATCCCGTCCTCGGTTTGAGTTGCATATTGTGTGGTGTCGCGGGGGGCGGCTGTCTTAGCTCAATCCCCAGTCCGGAGATAGCAAAGCAACAGCTGGAGTCTGGACCGGCTCCGATAGAGGTCCGAGTTGGGAGGTCCTCAAAGTCACAGCTACATAGTAATCGATCAGTCCAGTCGCTAGTGTGGTCTCGGCTTGGGATTGCTGAAGCAGTTCAACGTGCTGGAAGATTCTCTCTGGTGTGTTTGGGTGTCGGACGGCAACGAGAATGTTGCAGGGCAGTCGAGCCATGTTGAGTGGCACGAACATGCAGGAGATAACAAACTTGATTGCTAGGCCAATCGAGTGTAGTATTGGGCCAACTGCAAAGGGCCTCGACCATGGCCGCAGCCAAGGTGCTCGGCACACTGCTTGTTGGCTCTCGTCGTCCATGGTATTTCTTGTCAATCAACGATAACCGCACAGATTATCGCTTCCAAGAGGCTTGGTAGTTCCCCAAGTGGTAGGCGCTGATGTCACAGCCGCGAGCAACAAATCGACACTTGGGGACGTCAGCCGACACCCCAGAGAGATGCTTTGGCGGCGGCAGGGAGGCTGGCATGTCAGACAAGATCTAATGCAATCCATAGGAATCATCGGCAAACCGAAAGTTTCCCGTTTCTTTGTATTGAAGCCAGTAAAATTTACTGTCCGCTTCGGTGTCGGTAGGGAAGGAGTCGGCGCAAGTGAAAGCTTCAACGGAGGGTTCGCTGACAGGGAGCACGCAGGGAGCACCTGCCGACCATCGGCGCCGTCTGAGAGGAAGGAAGGTCCAGTGGTAGAAATTCATGTCATCGAAAGCGGGGCCTTGCGCCTTTCAACAAGCCTCGACTTGACATGATGACTCTTCTAGCGACCAAGCACACAGCGCTAAAGAATTGGGGAGTTGTTGGATTACCAATCTCATGAAACGTGAAACTCGGTGTACGTCTAACTCATCTGCATCGAGCAGAACGTGGCTTTTGAGCAAGATGGTCAGGCAGGGCCTGGCTGTTGGAACTTGCCGTCGAGGGGATGCATCGCATGTACACTACGGAGTGCATACTGATACATTGCATGGTTTGGGTCGGATTTTCAGGGTCTCTGAACAAGTCATCTTGTGTGGAATGGAAAGGCCTAAAAGTCTCTCAGTGTTTTCACCTTCCTGCCGTACCCAGGTAGGTAGGTAGGTAGGCAGGTGATTTGAGTGCTCGGCAGATCAGCATTATGCCATTCAATGGTCCTGCAGTACAATACGCCGTAGGCTCGGAGACCAGAGTACCCTGATGAGCTCGGAGAAGCTGCGGAGTAAAAGTACGAGTCACCAAATGTCATTCACGCCTTGCACACTGGTCAGTCACAACTGGAGTCTATTCATCTCCCATCCGACGGGCTAGCAGCGTGTAATCAACAGGCTACGCCCAAGTTCGCCCTGTGACACCTACCAGGGGCTCCCGGGGGGGCGGGGAGGGGACTCCACCTGCGCCCATCAACCGCTGGGCTGCAGGAGGAAGCCACCGCTGTAGAGCTGCTCCCAAGTTTGACCAGAAGGGCGTCACTTGTCTTTCGCGCGCTCCTTGGTGCGCCAGTCATCAGTCATTCACCACCTTTGTGGGGGGGGGGGGGGATCCTTCGCATGTCGGTTTCCAGTGGGTTTTTTACTCGTCCTCGTCTCCACTTTTCTACCACACACGCACCCAGACAGCCAGACTCTCGTCCCATCGGCCATAGTCTTGTTTCTTCCGCCCATGCCTAGACAAGGTACCTTGGCTAGGTATCTCATGTACCTTGGTCATGTACCGGTACGTTTTCCCACCTCCCTCCATCTCGCGGGCTGAAGATGGGGAGCCCGCCTTTTGCGAGTGCAAAGGCGTGGAGGGTTCGTTTCCGGCCCTGGCGCTTGCTCTGCCATGGAATTGCTCAAGTCGAGTCGAAGCAGAAATCTTCTCCTCCCGGGGGACCTGCCCATCCTTGACGCGGCCCAGCCTTAAAGAGACACGGCTCGCCCTTCCTCCTGTCGTCGAATTGCCTATATCTCTGCGTACCACTCACAGGTTTTTGACTTGACTATTACTGCAATTCCAACCCATCCGACTCCATTCAGTTCCCATTCGATATTTGGGGGATCTTTAATTGAGCCACCATCTATATCTAAGCTGTACCCCGCCAAAAAGACATCTCCAAAGTCTGCATTCCCGCGCTTGGCCAACATTGCTTGCTTCATGCTCGCTTGGCTTACACCACACCTCTCGGCTCCCCTTCCAGCGGCCTCCGGTCACCCATAGATAAGAAACAACGTCGTGTTCGATCACCACCGTCAACGATCGTCAACGGTATCATCTCGGTACAAATCCTGCCAGAATGTCGAGCAACAGTGACATGAGCTCGGTCATCACCTTCGCCCGGCAGCCCGCCTCCTCCCGGAAGCAGAGTGTCGAGGTCAAGATCAACGACCACTACCACTCCAAAGTCTACACGTCTGGCAACTCCATCTCCGGAGAAGTGACCATCACCCCTGGCCACGACAGCCGCTTCGACCATGTTCAGATCATTCTGATTGGAACTTCGAGGACTCGCCTGGACGCCGTCCAGATTCCCCAGCTCTCCTCACACACTTTCCTCAAGTTGGAGATGCCCATCCCCGAGTCCACTTACCCCGTTCCCCGGATCTTCGAGGCCGGCAGGACTTACACCGTTCCCTTCAACTTTGTTATTCCCCACCACCTGACCATCAGCGCCTGCACTCACAAGGCCCAGTCAGATTACATCCACGACTACCACATGCGCCTCCCCCCAACAATGGGCGGCTGGGAGAAGGACGACATGGCTCCTGACATGGCCCAGGTCCAGTATGCCATCAAGGCTCGCGTTGTGCGGCAAGACGAGCTCGGCGGCAGGCCGATAAAGCTCATGGAGGACGCCCACCACATCAAAGTCCTCCCCCGCTCCCCGAGGATCCGCCTCTGAACATCACCAAGCAGGACAGGGGCTACACCCTTAGCAAGACCAAGACCATTCGCAAGAACCTCTTCTCTTCGAAGCAGGGCCACATTACTGCCGCTACTACCCAGCCAAGCGCTATCCATCTGACCGCCGACGGCCGCTCAGCGTCCGAGGGTTCCATTCTGGTGAACCTGAACTTCGAGCCTGCCTCTGCCGATATTCCGCCTCCCAAGGTGACCACCGTCTCTGCTAAGCTCCAAGCTCAGACATGGTACGGTTCAAGCCCAATGACGAAGCTGCCCAACATGGGTGACAGCCACGAGACCTATGCCCTGTCCCAGCAGCTTGCCTACACCACCTCGGTCTCGTTGTTCTCGACGTCGGTGGGCAAGGTGGCCTGGCGTCAGCAGCTCACGTCGACCACCCGCCGCGATTCCGGATACTCTAGCGACGGCCTGCGCGAGAGCAGCAACTCCGACTCGGATAACCAAAACCACGACCAGAACCGTCGTTCGAGCAAGGACGGCTCGTCGCCCATCTTCCACAGAGCTGCTCTTCAGATCCCTTTCAAGCTGCCGACGTCCCGAAAGACCTTGATCCCGACTTTCCACGCTTGCCTCGTTTCCCGCACCTACACTTTACAGTTGACACTAGTGGTTGCCGACTCGAAGATCAAGCTGAACGTTCCCTTGCAAATCGCCCTCGAGCCCCCCGTCCAGCAGGATCTCCTGGACATGGGCCTTCCTAGCTTCGATGCTGCAATGGCGCAGCAGGAAGAGGCGGAGGCGGATGCGTACTTCCAGCCCCGACTGCTGCAACAGCCGGCACTCGAATTCCAAGGCAACGCTGTTCTACCCTGCTACGGCGACTTGGCGACGAGGCGGCCAGCAGTCCCAACTGCATGATACAGCTGCGCTTCAGCGAGAAACCAAGCCGGGGATGCAAATGCAGATGAATTTCCTTTGTAACGAGTTACGACTGATGGAGAGTTATACACACGATACCACTTCTCGAATGTTTCCTTTGTTCTGTTTTCTAAATCAATCCAAGGGGGCGACTGAAGCTGTAATTAGGCTGCATCGTACTGGAATTTGCGTACTGGAATTTGCGTACTGGAGTTTGGGCTAACAAAAGGGATAATTTGTTGAAAAGGAGTTACCGTTTTTTCTTCTCTTTTCTGGAAGGCCGTCAATAGCTTATCTGTATTGAAGATACCCAAAGAGCAAAGGCAAATTGGATACACAGAAGCAATAATAACAGCGAACATTGGACACATTGAAGGTCTCAAGCGTCAGTGACATGCGGTGATGCTTTTTGCCTGTAAGCAAGCAACTGCTTGTTGATTAGCAGTCGAGGACTCAAGCCGCCATCAGTTCCGACTCAAGCCGGCGACGGCCCGTTTCCTGCGCCATCAGATATCGTCTTCCGGTTTGGAAGAAAATGCCGAGCTGACCCTCCGACCGGGGACGATAGGCAAAGATGATGCCGCAATGGGCCGGATCAATCTGCCGGAGCGGAGTGGAGAACCCGGGGGTCCGACAGGGCAAAGTGGAGGAGCCCAGAAAGTTCTGGGCCAACGGGTGGCATCACGGTGATTTCCTCTCAAATGCGGTGGAGTCGCTTTTCCCGATTTTCCGTGCCTTGTCCCGACTCCCCCGGCCCCCAGACGCGAAAGAAGTGCTTGGACTGGAAGGTGACTGGGCAGATGGGCGGGGAGTGTTTATTTTTTGCGGGGGACTTAGGGGCGAGCAGCTGCATTGCCAGTGCAGGCATTCCAAGGCACGTATGACCCTCTCGTAACATTGAAGATGGAGAAGTGACTGGCGTGGGTGTGTTGGATGACGATGCCTCGGTCATCCCTCTCGCTCAAGGTTGTCCGACGGGATGTTCGACAAGAGGGAGGATGAGGTCTGCTGCGGTATTTCTATTGATAGCAGTGGCTTCAGCCGCGTAACGTGGACTGGTCGGCAAGCGTCGATCGTGTCCACTCAAACAGCAGCTTGTCCCACCTCCTTTGTGTTGAGTCAGTGACATACAGCACTACAGCTGAGTAGAGGCTGAGAAGGGCGCCGAATCTGAGGTAAGCCGTGCAAGCTCTTTGAAAGCGACGAAACAACGAGTCGACTCCTGGTGGCTTTCGAGAGATGACGCTGCCCGTTGGATGGAAAAGGCACGTGATGGCGCCAACCCCCTTTCATCTTGGCTGCATTTCAAACCCCCGAACCCCCCGTGTCGGTTGGATTTAGCTTCCCAACAGGACGCCTTGATTGGTGCCATTGGGTAGCGGGCAGCGGCAGATATAGGGGCTGGAGGACATAGTCGGCGTCTGCAGTTTACACCTGTCTTACAATCCTTCCCGGACCTAAGTGTACTTGCTACAGTGCTGCAGTAGCGATCGCGATAAGCCTCCGCCGAGTGTCTTGGGAGAAGCACGGCGAGATAAGGGGGGCCCCTTGGTTGTATGGGATGCCGAATCGAAGAGGGCGGAATGGACACTCGACGGCTGCGATCGAATACGACGTCTCTGGGGTCACTGAAAGCAATGTAATGATGAATTATTCCGTGGCCTCTCGGGTGGTTAATAAATTGTTACATTGAACCGTGCGCCCTGCCCCATGTCATCCCCATTCCCATTCCCGCCCATGCCGTCCCGTCTCCGTCCAGGTCTCGCTCAACTGCCTCTTCTTCCTCATCCCCCCCTCCCCCCGTCTCGTCTAGAGTTTGTGTGACTTCTTCCACTCCTCTCCCCCCGTTTGCGTGTGTCTTTTGTCTCCTGCCATTCCTCCCACATGCACTCTACGCGCAGACAGCAGCCTCGCACCAAGGTTGATCCCGTTTCCAAGAGCATTACGGTGGCCGAGTTGTGTCATTCCCAACGAGACTGCCTTCTGGACTCGGAACTTGACACTTTTTGACTTCTTTGGGTACTTGGTACCGATTCCACTCGTTTCTCCCGCCTAACCCTTTCGACTGCCCTGAACTCTCTCCCACGTCTAGTCCTCGGTGCTCCCCTCCCTCAATTGCGACGTCGTGGCGCATAGAGACACCGTGCAGCCACGGGCACTCGACTGAAGGCGACCGACCGACCGACCGTCTCACCTTTATTTCGATTGCGATCTATTGTACTCAACCGCTTCAATTCCTTGCCACCACCCATTGGACAAATAGAAACCGAACCGTCCGCCTTCCTTGCAGACAGTGGTCTTCCCTACGGAGAGCTGTCACCACGATACATGCGAACGTAATCGAGGACTCACGACTCGACATATCACGATGCGACAGGTGCTCAAGGCAGGCTTGGGATGCCTCGTCTCCCTGCTGCTCGCTGCACCAGCTGACGCCTTTTACATTCCAGGTTCGGCGCCCCCAAGGAGTCGCGGAACATGATGCTCCCAAGCAACGGTGCTGACAATCGCGGACAACAGGCTGGTCGATTAAGAGCTACAAGGACGGCGAGCAGATCCCCCTACTGGTGAACAAGGTCTACTCCGACAACACCCAGCTGCAGTATGCCTACTACGACCTCCCCTTCGTGTGCCCGCCGACGGGCCAGCGGAAACCCGGCACAGGCCTGCTCAGCGGACAGAGCATCCCGCTGAACCTCGGCGAGGTCCTCCGCGGCGACAGGATCAAGACGTCCGACATCGACTTGGTTGTTGGCCAAGACAAGCCGTGCAACTTGTTGTGCAACCGCGAGGTTAGCAGGAAGGAGATGCGCAGAGCCAAAGACATGGTACAGGACGGTTACGTCACCGAGTGGATCGTCGACAACCTCCCCGGTGCGACGAGCTTCGTCACCGTCGACAAGAGCCGCAAGTACTACGCTGCCGGCTTCAAGGTGGGTTTCACCGACTACTCGGCGAAAAGCGGCAAGCCGCGTTACTTTATCAACAACCACCACACCATTGTTATCCGTTGGCGCAAAGCGCCTGGAAAGGCCGGCGAACGAGGCGGAAAGGTCGTTGTGGGGTTCGAGGTCTACCCCAAGAGCATCGGCCCCAACAATAAGCGCGACGAGAACGGCTGCCCCGCCGACCTGCAGAACATTGACCAGAACTTCGAACTGTACCTTGCCCCGAACAAGTCGTCCGATACGTCGAAGCAGAACCTCGATTCCTCCTACCACCCCGAAGACGAAGAAGACCTAGACGACGATGCCAAGCTTACTATCCCCTACACTTACTCGGTGTACTTCCGGGAGGACAACAACATTGAGTGGTCGCGACGCTGGGATCTGTACTTTGTGAACCAGGAGGAGGGCCAGAAGATTCACTGGCTGGCTATTGTCAACTCGCTCATCATCTGTGGCCTTCTCACGGGCATTGTCTTGATGATCTTGGCTAGGACGATCCGCTCAGACATCAAGGGCTACAAGGAGGTTGCCCTCGAGGACGGCAAGCCGAAGCTGAAGCGCAAGAAGACCGGCAATAGATCTCCCAAGCTGTCGGAAAAGACTGGAGGACTCCTCGACCAAGGGACCGACGTCGACAACGACGCGGATGTGTCTTCGGACGACGAGGCTCTGGAGGATGTCACGGGCTGGAAGCTTCTGCACGCCGATGTCTTTAGGACGCCCCAGTACGGATACCTCTTGGCGCCTCTGGTCGGATCGGGAATGCAGCTGCTTTTCATGGCTGTGGGGCTCGTTTTGCTGAGCGCGTTGGGCATTCTGAACCCCAGCTTCCGCGGTGGATTCATCAGCGTGGGTGTCGGTCTCTTTGTCTTCGCCGGCCTCTTCTCCGGGTACTTCTCGGCGCGGGTCTACAAGACTTTTGACGGACAGGACTTTAGAAAGAATGCGCTTGTCACCGCCGTTCTGTTCCCAGGTCTCCTCTTCGGCGTCGTCTTCATCCTCAACCTTTTCGTGTGGGCGCAGGCTTCCAGCACAGCCATTCCGTTCGGAACCGTTGTGGCCATTGTCTTCCTCTGGCTCTGCATCCAGGTCCCTCTGGTGTATGCCGGCTCCTGGTTCGGATTCGTCCGCGGTGGAAGCTGGGAGCACCCGACCAAGACGAGCGGCATCCCCCGACAGATCCCGCAGCAGGCATGGTATATTAAATCGTGGCAGTCGGTCCTCCTCGCCGGACTCATTCCCTTTGCAGTCATCTTCATAGAGCTGCTGTTCGTCTTCCAGTCGGTCTGGCAGGACAAGAGCGGCTACTACTACGTCTTTGGGTTCCTCGCAGTTGTATCGGTGATTCTCATTCTAACGATCGCCGAGGTGACGGTGGTGACGATCTACATCCAGCTCTGCTCGGAGAACTATAACTGGTGGTGGCAGTCGTTCATGGTCGGCGGCGGCAGCGCCATCTGGGTGTTTTTGTACTGCGTGTGGTACTACTTCTTCAAGCTGCACATCACTGGATTCATCAGCAGCATGCTCTTCTTCAGTTACAGCTTCATGGCGTGCTGCGTATACGGTCTCCTGACGGGCACCATCGGATTCCTGAGCGCGTACGCATTTGTGAGGAGGATCTACGGGTGAGCTCTTCAACCTCTCTTCAACCTTGGAATGTCGAGGGCAAAGCTAACGCGATGACAGTGCTATCAAGGCGGACTAAGCCGCGGCGTCAGCCATGTTGGACATTGACGTGCCCTAATGTTGGACTCGGCACGCAGGAACGATAAGAGGCGCTTTTTAATGCATTGCCCGGGGCGTCAGACGTTTGGGAAAGTCCAGCGGGTGGACTGGCGTTTACTGGAAGTGAAAGTGCTCCAAGTCCCCGGTTCGGGGCGGATTGACAGACTATTGAACAACGTACATATGATGAATTGGGATCCCAACCGGCAGGGTGTGTCAGGAATTTGAGTAGCTGCGAGTATATAATCAACATGGTAGTTTCGCATGTCTAGATGACGTTTCGTTGGTCAGCCAATACGCGCGACGATTGTGTGCCAAACACGAGTGAGCAGCGCGGCAAGCAGTGCCGAATCGTCAATGACGATCGGTTCGAGGTGACGAGTGGCATCCAATCAAACAAGACCAAGCAGGACCTGCCTGTTTTGGGGGAACAGACCCTTGGCGCCGATACCTAGGTACCTAACTTGCTGGTGTGTGGGGCTGAAAGCGGCCGCCGGGTACGGTCCGACACCGAGCCAACCTTGAAGATATCCAGTCAACTATGGTTCGCAACAGTGGAGGGCAGTTTAACGTGGAAAGTTTCTGAATAATGCAACACGTAATCACTGTCTGGCAGAATCGAAACGCAGACTTGGGACCAAAGAGCGACAGACGAGCAGAGATGGGCTTCGTTTGATAAGCGGTGATTGTCGGAGCTCGGGCTATGTGTTTGTGGTTTCCTGTTTCACACCGCATATTGGAGGAACCATGATGCTTGAATGCCGGGGGGGCAGCAGAGAGCATAGGACAGGGAGAGATGGGCAGAGGTTGGTTTGCAGTCTGCTTTGCTTTGCTTCCCGCATAGTCAAGCTTTCGCCGGATCCAATGGGAAATGATCCCCCTCGGTGACAAGCCACCGCGGGAGCTAGGAAGCGGTGGCATGGCATGCTACAAGGGGAACCGACGGCTCACCGTTTGAGGCACTCCGGGGTTGTTGGGGATTTTTTTTTCGGTTCCCCTTGGGGGGTACGATACCGGAGGGGAATCGGGTGAATGAATCTTGAACAACGAACGTTCCCAGCGCGATACCGCGTACCTCACCCAGTCAGAGAATGGATGGCTGGGCACTTCCCTGGAAGCGCTCACCGACCGAAACGTAGCGTCGATTCGTTGGCATCTTGCGTGTCGCTCTTCAACAACGCGACAACACACCGGTGCCGCTTCCGAAGTGTCTTGTTTTACACCACGTAACCCCCACCAACGGTCCCGAGCCGGCAAAGATGCCTGCGCGCGGATGTGGACGCCTCAATCTGGCTGTCACCACCGTCACAGCCGCTAGGTCGTTCTTTTCTCCCATTTTCTCTGAGTCTTATTCGTTTCTCTTCCTTCGACGCAGCTGCTGGCAATTGCAACATATGGATGCCGATTTTGCACCATTCGCCCGTTCCTCCATCCCTGGGCCATTCTGCCCAAGGCTGTCCACTCACCTCTCGGCAACGCGAGGAATCGGCCCCTCCCCGAGCGACCGCGGGCGAAGGTCGTGAGTAGCGATGGGGGACGAATGCATCCGCCGGTGCCTGCCTAGCCGGGGTAGCCTAGCTTGTCTGTTCTCCCATTTGCGCAGAAACAGTGAAGCGGAATCCACTTCCCTGGCGGTGCTTGACCACCCCCTTTGCTCTCTGATACCCCCCATGCTGCTTCTGCCGTATCTGATCACTTACGAATCCAACGGTCTGGGAGGTCCAATCCACCATCTTCAACATTGGCTCTGGAGGTCGGTTTTTTGTTTTTTTTTTTGCACTTTCTCTCTTGGTCTTTTGGATCTGTCTTGACTTGCTCCTGTTTCCTGCCCGCTGCCCTTAGACCAAGCCGTATACCTCATCGCTTTAAACGTTTTGTCACACGTTGTTCGCTCCCCACCAAATCACTCATGACGTGCTCGTAACAATCTTTAACAAACCCGCCCATTCCCACATCACGAAAGCGCGAGGAGTCCGGGGAGACGCACGACTTGGACATACCACGTCGCCTCGCGGGACCCCGCCAACCTTTGCCGTTCCTCGACGATGATGGATTTCTTTTACGAGCGTGCCTTTGTGCTCGCCGCCACGGCGCGCTCGCATTCTCAGACCCTTCTGGTGAATATCCAGAGGTGAGTGTTTCTGCCTGCATTGCGTATCCTTGTACCGGTGAATATCCTCCAGCCCGAATCGGCGGCGCAAGAGCGTTGCAGCCCCGTCGCAACCGTCGCGCAACTTTCCCGCTGGATAGATGGACTTTTGATGCGTTTGCCCAACCAAGCCTCGTCTTTATATCCTTAACGTGCATGCGCGCAAAGCTCTCTCTCTCGCTCATGAAGCTACTCTCTCACCCTCACTCAACCCACTTTACCCCAGATTGAAGCCCATGGGCCCGAACAGACTGACAAAACCTCAAACAGCCACGGACAACTCTCCTGGGTCGACGACGTCACCCAGTTCGCCGACTCGGACTACCTCCAGGTTTCTGTCCTCGTCTTTTCCGCCCTCTGGACCGCCTCCCGCCTCCTTCGCCGCCGCGCCAAGCCGTCGTCGTCATCACCATCACGGCCCGCCATCCGTGCCGCAGCCATCCGATGGCCCTGGGAGCTTGCCTCCCAGCTTTCTCGCGCCGCAGCCCTGGCCTTTCTCGCCCTCGCCAGCGCCCGCGGCCAGACTCCATGGATCAACGCCTTGGCGGTGGCCTACGCCTTCGTTCTCGGCCTCTTGAGGCTCATCAACGACCTGCAGTGGCGGCACATCGCGCTGCACCAGGTCAACTTTGTCATCTCGGCCGAGCTGCTGATCCTGACCGCGTCATCGGTCTTGCCGTGCATTGAAGCGTCGACCGAGTGCGCCATCGCAACCCCGGTCAGGGGCGGCCTTGCGAGCTTGGCGGCTGCCGTCGTCATCGCCATCACCACGCCGCGGGAATGGGTGCCTCCGTCGCTGACGCACGACGTGCCGGAAGGGTACGAGGCCCGCGGGCCCGCGCCCGAGGAAATTTGCAGCTGGGCAACGTACTATCTCACCTTCGAGTGGCTCACGCCGTTGATGTGGAAGGGCGCGCGCAAGGAGATTGCGCTCGACGACCTGCCCCGCCTGCCGTGGTACGACGAGCCGCTGCTGCTGCTGGACAAGATCAAGAAGGCGAGGGTCAAGGGCGTGACAACGACGTGGACGCTCTTCTACTTCCTGCGCAGCGAGGTGACGCTCATGGCCTGCTACATCTCCACTGCGTACGCCTGCGAGCTTATTGCGCCCTACGGTCTGTACCAGCTGCTGGCTTACCTCGCAGACCCCAAGGGCGCCCTGATTCGCCCCTGGCTCTGGCTGCTGCTCATGTTCTGCGGCCCGCTATCGCGTTCCGTCTTGTTCCAGCAGTATGTCTTCACGTCGACTCGCTTGGTGGTCCGCCTGAGGTCCGCCTTGACTCAAGAGCTGTACCACCGGGCCATGGGTTCCATGGAGCTTGAAGAGGATATATTTGCGCCCAAGGGAGACTCCGAAAAAGACAAGCAGAAGAAGGATGCGAAGCCGGGCCAGTCCACGACCTCGGCCGGCCGCTTGGCCAACCTCATGGCTGCGGACGTACAGGCCATCTTTGGTTCGCGAGATATCGTCATGGTCTCCATGGGTGTGCCCACGGGCACCATCATCGCCTTTGTCGGCCTCTACAAGATGCTCGGATGGCCCGCCCTCGTGGGCACGGCTATTCTATTCCTCGCTGCGCCCATGTCCGTCTTTGTGGCACAGCTGATGGCCAAACAGACCAGGAAGGCAAGAAGAGCGCAGGACTCTCGCATCTCGCTCGTGTCGGAATACCTTGCCTCCATTCGCGCCGTCAAGTACTTTGCGTGGGAGGATGCCATCATCAAGACCATTGAGGAAACGCGTGCCAACGAGCAGCGGGACCTCTGGCGCGTGTCGCTCATCTACGTGACGCTGAACCAGATCACCGCCCTCATGCCCTACATTGCCATGATTTCCATGTTCACCCTCTATGTGGGCGTGCGCGAGCAGCCCCTGACGGCCGCCACGGCCTTCACGACGACCTACCTCGTCAAGACCATCCGCCGCAACGTGACACAGCTCGGCTTCCTGTCGAGGAACATCACGAGCGCCATGATTGCCATTGGCCGTCTGGATCAGTACTTCCAAAGCACAACGCCGCTGGAGCAGTACCCCGAGGGGAGTCTCCATATCCAGGACGCGACGTTCCGGCGGAATAAGGCAGCCTCGTTCCAGCTCAAGAACATGTCGATTGATTTCGTTGACGGCGGACTCAACGTCGTATCTGGCGCCAGTGGTAGCGGTAAGACAACTCTGCTGCTGGCGATACTGGGAGAAACGATCAAGGAGAGCGGCACAATCACCCGGCCCAAGGACGTCGCGTTTGCGTCGCAGACGGCGTGGCTCCAGAACGAGAGCATCAAGGAGAACATCCTTTTCAATAGCCCATTTGAAGCGGTGCGCTACGACAACATCGTCAACGCATGCTGTTTGCCTGTCGACTTGCGGGAGATGGACAACGGTGACCAGACCGTCGTCGGTGAGAACGGTGCCTCCCTCTCGGGAGGCCAGAAGGCGCGCGTGGCCCTGGCTAGAGCGCTGTACTCCAAGGCGCCGCTGCTCCTGCTCGACGACATCTTCTCGGCCCTTGATGCGAAGACTGCCGCGTCGCTCTGGGAGCGGTGTTTCTGCTCCGACTTGTTGAAGGGCCGGACTGTTGTGCTGGTAGCGCAGCAGCCTTGGGTTGCCGCACAAGCCGACGTGGCTGTGACGCTTGAGAACGGCGCAATCAAGGACATTGCACAGAACATTGGCGTAGTCAGGCACCCCGTTGCTGTCGCCAAAGACATTGAGGGCGAGAGCACTGATGTCTCTGACAATTCGGATACAGAAGTCGAGACGCAAACGGATCCTCTCAACAATAAGAGTAAAGTCGCGGATGACAAGGGGACCAAGGACGTGGTGGCTCAAGAGATGAAAGCTAGCGGGAAGAGCGCCCGTTTGATGTGTAAGTGGTCTGTCAACGGTCTCGAGAGGACGAACTAACATTGGCGAACAGTCTTCAAGTACATGACCTACTTTGGCGGACCGTGGTACGCCATATTCTGCATATTCATGATGCTCATTTCGCAGCTCGCCGTCATGGGCGGCTCCCTCTGGCTCTCCGTCTGGGTCGAGGCCTACAGCAAGGACGTCGCCGTCGACATCGCCTTCTACCTGGGCATCTACGCCGCCTTCACCGTCACCGAGTCGGTCCTCTACGCCGTCGTCTTCCTCGTGTTCGAGAACGGCGCCTGGCACGCCGCCCGCAAGCTGCACAACGACTTCATCCGCGCCGTCATGCGCGTCTCGCTTTCGTGGTACAAGAAAACGCCCGTCGGCCGCATCATCAACCGCTTCTCGAGCGACATGTCGTCCCTTGACCTGACCGTCAGCCCGCAGCTTCGCGCGTTCCTCGAGAGCAGCATCTCGTTAGTGATCCGCATCTTTGCGATCAGCTCCATCATGCCCATCTTCATGCTCCCCGCGGCCGTGACCTGCTCTATCGGCATCGTTGTGGGCGAGATATACACGCGCACCGCCGTGACAATCAAGCGCCTGGTGGCGTCGGCGCAGTCGCCCATCTTCTCGCAGTTTGCGGATACGTTGGCCGGGCTGGCCATCATTCGTGCGAGGAGCGGCATGTCGCAGACGTTTGGCGACACGCTGGCGGACAAGATGCGCGTCTGGTCGCGGGCGGCGGAGGCCAACTTCAACTGTAACCGATGGGTGGCCATGCGTGTGGATGTGGTGACTGCCCTGGTCGGCCTCAGTGCAGGTATCATCGCCGTGTCCAAGGCTGGTGTCGTGGGCGCCGGTCTCGTGGGCTTCTCGCTCCAAAACGCCACGGGACTGAGCCAGACCATCCTGCAACTGGTTCGCAGCATGAACGACCTCGAGGTGGAGCTTCAAAGTGTGAGTGGCATGTATTCCGATGCATGAATCCTCAAGTGCTAACGAGAAGCAGTTCGTTCGCATCAAGGAGTACGCTAGCCTCGAGGCCGAGGAGAAGGCGGACGACTCCTATCCCGAGGAGGGCGAGTACACTGACGACCCGTCGCACGTTGTCCCCAAGAAGTGGCCTTCGACGGGCGAGATCGAGTTCCGCAACGTCACGATCCGATACGACGAAGACGGGCCCAACATCCTCACCGATGTCAACCTTAAGTTCAAAGCCGGAGAGAGAGTTGCCATTGTAGGCCGCACCGGTAGCGGCAAGTCTACGGTACGCTTTCTTTCATGTCCCCGTTAGAAGGAACATCGACTGACCCTTCACTGCAGCTCGTTCTTTCCCTCCTGCGCTTCACGCACATCGTCTCAGGCCAGATCCTCTACGACGGCATCGACATCACCAAGATCCCGCGCCGACGCCTCCGCGAGGCGCTGACCATCATCCCGCAGGAGGCCGTGCTCTTCAACGGAACGCTGAAATCGAACCTCGACCCAACGGGCAAGATCGCGGCGCCGGTGCTCGAGAGGGCGCTGGAGTCGTGCCAGGGCATCGCGTCGTTCCAGTACCACTCGGAGGCGGACGCCGACGCCGCGGCGGCAGCCACCGCGGCGCTGGCGCCGGATGCATCCGGCCTGGCGCTCTCGACGACGGTCAACGCCAAGGGCGAGAACTTTTCGCACGGGCAGCGCCAGGTGCTCTCCCTGTGCCGCGCGCTGGTCCGGGGCAGCCGGCTGATGCTGTTGGACGAGGCGACAGCGAGCATGGATTACGAGACGGACAAGGGCATTCAGGCCGTGCTGCGGCGGGAGGTCGACGACGAGCGTACGCTGGTGACGATTGCGCACAGGCTGAGGACGATTGCGGACTACGACACGGTGGTGGTCATGGGCGCCGGGCGGGTCGTCGAGGCCGGCCGGCCGGTGGATCTGTACAAGGCACGGGGTGTGTTTTACGACATGGTGTATCACAGCGGCGAGAGGAGGGACCTAGAGGCGCTCTTCGGAGACGCGAAGGAGTAAGAGACGTGCGGTTGGTAGTAGACGGAGAGGTGGGAGGGAATCTTCCACGGAGAGCTTGGAAACGGGTTCCAAGACGATTGGAGGCGCTGGGGTATGATGACTAGATGCGACGACGCAGAGTTGTATAAATGGGGCACTTTTAGACGAGGGACATGGTAGTTGCGCCTCCTAGCCTAGACATGAGCGTATAATGGATTTCAAAGTTGCACGATCAACCTTGTTTTCAGTCTGTTGTGGTTTTCTTTGTTGCAGTCTTTCAAGTGGTACTCGTACGTGTGTTCGTGGGATTCGATGTCATCATCTGGCCGAGAAACAACTCACATCGATCTTAGGCTTGGTCTGAGACTGGAAGCGGACAAGCTGAGTGCGGGGATGTAGAGCTTCGCATCCATATCACTATGCGTGGATCGATTCGACCTCCTTAGAGTTAAGAGGGTGGCTTGAGTAGGCTCTAAGATCACAAATCATCACAATCGATAGGAAGTTGCTAAATCGGTATTTTCACCGTCGCTGCCCTCCAAAGGTAAGTTTTTGGACTTGTACCCCTAGCGAACGAAGGTTGAGCGACTATCTGCTGAGTCGTGGTAATGCTGGTCTTAGCTACTTTGAGACCCATCCATCCATCCATTCCTCAATCCAATGTTCTGCTACCAGTCTTCAAGCAAGAAAGTTATCCTACATGGCATTATCTTGAGCCATTAGATCCTTCATTGCTGCGAGTCGGTCGCCCTTGATTTGAGCTATCTCCTCAGCCTCGGCCTTTTGCAACTTGTTCATGTACTGGGTGAATGCATTCCCAAGCTTGATAACATTGTTGAAATGGGATGCGTTCGGCTTGAGTCCTTTGTTTTCTGCCAGTGCCAAAGCGCTCCTGACACAGTTGCGGATTTGGCGGCCGTTGAGAGGTTGCGAAGCCCAAGAAGTTACAACCTCGCTCCCTAACGCACGGCACTCATCATGTGACAACAGGGCCGGCGAGCCATCACGACGGTTGCGGCCGAGATCTTTGATGAAGATCTTCCAGACTTCCTTCCGAAGAGCTTCATCAAACTCAGGCATGCCAATTGTGATGTGAATCCTGGACTGGAATGCTTGGTCAAACGCACCGACGCGGTTGCTGGTGAGGAACATGATGCCGTTGAAGTATTCCAGCGTTCGGAGAAAGACTGCGTTACAAATCAGCAGTCGTCAAGCTATCGCGTTTTGACTGCCCAAATAGTGCTTACTTGATACCAATGCATTCCTTTGCAGGTTGTCGTAATCTCGGTCTTGCAGAAATATGTCTGCTTCATCTAGCAGCAGTATGGCATCCCATGCCACAGCATAATCGAAGATCTTTGACAACTTCGACTCGAGTGTCTCAGGATCTGTTCCGAGATCGCCGGCAGTTACCATATAAAGTGGCTTCTTGAATGATTCTGCGACGCACTCTTTGTACGCTGTGTCAGAACCCGTTTTGACCCTGTGGACGACATTACGTACCTGCAGTCAAGGTTTTGCCCACGCCCGGGGGCCCATGAAGCAGAACAACCAAACCATCACCCTTTCCAGCAACAAGGTCCTGGAACCCAGTGCTGTGGTTGAGATAGGACTTGACCATGGCCCAAATGACGTCTTTGTACTCCGTTTTCAAAACCAGTCGCGACCATGCATTCGCTGCAAACTGTACCGGTTGAAGGCTGACGACGTTGTACCGACCTTCCTATCGATCAGTTTTAAAGAAGTGAAATAATGGGTTCGGATACCTACTCCACGATTTGTCACGGAGGCTGAAAGCAACTATGGTGCGGGGGCAAAGCAAGGGCCAGTTCATCTGGCTTTCTGCTTGTCGGAATGCTGTCGTAATCGTGGAACCAGTTGTTCGGCATCATATCCCCTCTTTGGTCATTATTCCCTGATTGCTGTGCTGGATGAAAACCGACAGCTGGTTCTTGGTCCTCAAATCCTCCGACAGCCATGCCGCTCCATTTTTCGAAGTTTTCCGGTTCAACAAATCTGGGTTGTGAAAACCAAGATTGATTCATCGCATCATTGGCCTTTGCATCCACGATCACTCTCTTCCCGGAAAGCCCGTCTTGGCTATGCTCTTGGGAGGTCGTAAATTGTCGAAATCTAGATGTTGTATTCATATCCCAGAAGTTTTGACCTCGAGACAGTGCGTACGCCTTGACATCGTGGAGATCTTCCACAAATCTCTCCGGTACATAACGCAGTTTTGCGATTTCAGTTCCGCCGTGAAACCGGCTAACACAAAGTGTTAGACGCTGTTTCTTGAAGGCGTTCGCCTTCCAGTCGTAATCTATGGTCCAACAGTGCAATTCTAGTTGCAATTGGCTGGAACTCGAAGATTTGTCGTGTTGATGGCCTTCCGTATTGAAAGTTGGATAGTCCACCATGTAACAAACCGTATCTAGCCCTGCAATCCTCTCAAAAATGAGTTGGCCCGGTTCGTAGAGCATCCAGATATCGTCGTATTGAACCAGTGTGCTGGGACTTGCAGAGCTCAACGCCTGAAGCCTTGATCGGGTTTCACAAGCATTTTCTTCGAGAAACCCTAGAATTATCTTTGTTATGCTAACATTGTGTGCCGAAGCTGTGCCGTTGCTCGCGGTGGGAGACCTTGCCTCCGTTGTCGATGCCTCCCTCTCAAGCGCGTCTAGGCGCAGAAAAAGCGACACGAAAGGTTGGGAAAATGTTGTCCCTTGCTTTGACGCTTTCTCATGGAGGGGAAACTGTTTGAGACTTTCTAGAAAATCGCCAAATTCCCACCAATCGACCGTGATTTTGTAACGCTGGACGTTCCCGAATTCGTCCACCTCATGGAGGAAAGTGACTTGTGGCACAAGATCTTTATCCACATGTTGCTCACCTTTGGACGGAATTCCAGCTCGCTCGGTCTTCCTCAATTGTCCGTAACGATCCCGGTAAGACCGTATCGTGATATGATCGATTTCAACACCAAACTAAGACTTATGAGAGCCTTTCTTCAATGACCACGCTACGCCACACTTACTTCATTGGCGCCTCGCGGAGAAGTGGAACGATTCATTCTCTTCCTAATACCACCCCCGGGTACTGGTAAGCCAGCAAATGTACCTATGAAGTTGTCAGCCTCCATGTGTCGGTTGCTCCTGGAAATTCGGGACCGACGGATATTGGGTGAAACTGATCCGCTTGAGGACAGTCCTAGGTCGTTTTCCGAGTCCATGGCGGCGGTAAACTTTGACGTTCATAAAAGGTGAGCGTTCAACACCCTGAGACATGTTTTCAGTGGGGAACGAGCCGCGCAGGCCCTTTATTTATATGGTGAGTACTGGTGCCTTTCTTGACATTCACTAGGTGCGGGATCTATCCGTTCTGGGTAGCTGGTATTTACAGATTTGAAGCTTGCGTCCACCAGTAAGACCCTAAAGACGGCGTTTCAGTGCTCCCTTTGACAACAAAGAGTTCCGCTTGGCCAGTCGGAAGAAACATCCTATTTAGCCCTCGCCTGCATGCATATATTGGATCAGCTTCTTGGCACTGGTCAGACTGCATCTTTCTCTGAAGTCAAAGATACCATCAATTCTCTGTCCGTGTACCTCGGAGTCTTATCGTTCCAGCCAGATACTGTACGCAATTGCTCGAATCCTGTCATTTTCTACTCCCCCACCCCCCGAGAAAGCTCCGCTAGTGTGGACGGAATGCTGCCGTTTCAACATCTTCATAGATGTCACTGGTCAGCCTGATTTACGGCTGTCACACATGCTGCATATGCATGTTGCCATCAGAAAGTAGCACGACAGGTTCTAGGCTCAGGTAGTTGAGTTCGTACAGATTAGGGCTGATAGTATGTTGCCACGTCAGCGATGGTAAGCTGGGCAACCATGCAGACCATGAGGCCATACACCATCCTTGACGGAACTGAGAATGCTATCAGGCTGCGTGATTTTGAACAATCTTCTTCAAGGAGATATAGACTAAGCTGGCCATATTTCCGCTAATTTCTCCTCGATATCTACACGAAGAGATCACACCTCGCAGCGATTATCTTGATCACGCGTTGCGAAGAACCATTGCAAGCAGAAGGATCGATCACGCCATGAGCGACACGCCATTGAATACCGGCGAGCCCCCAGACCGGGATGGCTTGTTGAGGCGAATGATCAGGCTGGGCCATCCATCTCCGGACACACCCCCAAGACCCCGACTTCGCGATGGAATAATAAGTCATCTTCTGGCGAAGACCAAGCCCCAAAAGTTCCAGTCTATGGAGGAAACAGAGCTAATAGAGTCTTTGAAGACCTTTGAACAAGCTGAAGAGAGGAGGCCAGACGCGTTGTCATCTAGCAGCCTCGCCAGTACCACCGACGTGAACCGACCTGCCTGGTCGCTCTCTTTGGCAAAGAATCCGTCTCTTAGAGCTGGATTTGAACAACTGGAGGTTGTAGTAAGGGAATATAATGCTGTGGCCTCTCAACAGAAACGCGACGTTGTTATCAAGCAAGGCTGCGAACTCAAGGACGTCCAGCTTCAGGCGAAAGTCTTGCAAGAGACTGTTTATCCAAATGAGGAGGCCGGAAGCCTCGGTAGCAATATCCAGACTGGTTTACAGCAGTTTTGCAAATCGACTCTTCACTACGCCACAATAATGGACACACTGGCACAACATCATCCCGAATGGGTCAGCCTGGCTTGGGGGACGATGAAGTTGTTGCTGGTGATTCCAATTGAGTATCAGAAGGTTAAAGAAGGTATCGTCACCAACCTTGGACGTATAGGCAGCAGACTTGAGCTCGTGGGCCTTCTTTTGTCTTTCTATCCATTTGAAAGAATGGTTGATGCTGCATCGGCAATTTACGCTTCCATCGCGGATTTCCTGGTACTCTGTGTACGGTATCTGCGTAGTAACTGTTTAGGTACGGGAGCGTCGCACTAACAACGTGATTTTTTGAAGCGTGCTAACTATTCTATCTTACCTACCAACAGTAAAAACCCTCAAAACGATGGTCACGCCTTTCGACACCAGGCTTGGCCCAATTCTCAAGACCATTGACGATAACCACGCCATCTTAAGGCAGGAGGCCGAGATTCAGTCTATGATCTATCAGTTTGAGAGGGATTGCAGTCTGCAGAGGGATCTGGTCGAAATGAAACAAGGTCATGGGCGAATCATTAGCGTACTAGAAGGTAACACAAAAGTGCAAGAATTCGTTCAAGACCTTGTTCAATGCTTACATGACCAACAAAGAAATAATTCGTAGGGATGACATGAACCGCAAACGAAGAAATCAAGCGATTGAGAGTTAGTGTAGAAACCGGAAAACATAAGGAAATGCTCTAACATCCTTGGTTAGCATCCCACAATATCGACCGGACACTCCTCAAACCGCCCAGACTTGAAATATGCGAAGACTTTTTCCAAGACCTCCTTCCACTGAACAGCAATCTCCATCAAGTTCAGCTCGAAATGGATTTGTTGTCAATGTCTCATCTGTCTGAGGGCATTAAAGTCCTTCGCCTCCCGTCATTCTGCGCATGGCTGAGCAGTAAGCACTCCGGCCTTTTGTGGGTAGACGGGTATGAGGTCCCCTGCCGCCCCAGCTGGACGACAGACCTGTCTCTCAAGATTGTGCGCGCAGCTTCGGAGAGCGGATACGATACGCTTTCCCATTTTGGTAGCCTACATCGTGGCAGTGGTGGCGCCGACTCCCCAAAGCCACGCGCTCTCGTGCAGAGCCTCCTATTTCGCATGCTCGAGAGATTCCCAGCGGTAACCTCACATGGTGACCCGGAGCTTTTCAATACCGAGATTTTCGTCGCGGCTAAGACAAACTTGGATCTCTCGTGGAGAATTTTCGTGGAATGTTTACGCCTTCTTCCCTCTTCAATCATTTATATTGTGATCGAGGGTTTCGACCATGTCAATATGGTTGCAGATGGGAAAGCCGATTTCGAGTCTTTGTTGCGTCGTCTCAGCAACCTTTCAGCTGATATTTTGGATGAAAAGGTGATCAAGGTGGTCCTGACGTCTGTTCGACCGGACGCAGGATTTCAAATCTTGTTTCCCAGTCATGATAGACTCGAGGTTCGGCTAGAACACAATCTTCTCATACGCGTACCAGCCGCAGCAACACGAAGTCGTAAAACCCGATTGGAACGACACAAAAGAAAACTACTCACCCTTCAATCTCCATATCCAATCACGAACCAGGCACCAACTATGGCTAGCGACTATGCTCCTTCTGACTCGAGCGGAGATAGCGACGCCAGTGTAAGCGACTCAAGCTCCGATTTCGATATATTTGGGAAAGACAAGGGGCTTGCAGCAAAGGCAGACAGTGCGAGATACTCTTGGTCAAGCCCGACTCTTGGACGTAATCAACCAAATCTTCTACAATTTGATGACACTGAGAGAAAGCCAAAGTCGGTGGCTGAGGAGGTTGCTGATGACTCCGACAGCTCATTCGACATCTTTGAGTTGCAGACAGAGTTGCCTAAAGAAACAACAGCTAGCGGATCCGACTTATCAGATTTTGCACCCTGAGAATTCGAGCAATGACCAGGAAGCAGATATCTTATTATCAAAATGGAAACACCCAAGAATGATGTGTACCCAATTGATAGTTGTTCAGAGGTTCAATAATAATTTCTGTTTCTTGGCTCTGCCTATCCCAGGAGCAGTAGGGGTCCGTTATTAACGCACCGTCTAAAAGAACTTTTCTTCTTGGTTTCTTTCTATACTTTTCCCTAAGAATTTGAGGGAGATTAGGGGACAGCTGTAGCAGTGCCCTTTAGATTATGCCTGTATCACTCTAATACCTGAGAAGATATATACGACCGCTTATGCAATACATCTTAGCGTCAGTGTCAGATGAGAGGCTTGGGGTGCCACGCTTACTATACCCACCTTGTCTATTTCGTTTGACTCGAGGTATACTTAGGCAATGTAAATTCGGCCATAGAGGTGAGCAGCAAAGGAAGGCGACTGTCATTCAAACAGAAGGTTAGATTGCCACTCGAGAACGTTACACCCAGACTCTGAGAATACAGTCTTCAGGGCTAAGATGGAGTCAGGAGCAGAAGTGAACTTCAACTCTCGAAAGCGCACGATTGCGCCCTTGTTAGAAACTCTACAGATTCACAAAGCAATAGAAACGCGTTGTTTTATGGACTATCGATTCGACACAAGCTGCTCACGACGGTCCTGTAGCCGTGTTGCGGAAGGGAAGTCCGCAGAGAGGAATGTGACTACCCTATTTTGGCGCAATGCAACACGACCTTCCATTCTTTACACCTACTAACACACCCTAAACAGAGAACCAAGTTGCTTGGCTACTGTGCCCTCGTCCAAAAATCTCGTATTGACACACTCCTTCATGCGGACTTCCGTACCGTCTCTCCCGCCCCGCCCCTGTCTAGATCGTCAGACTCGACACGGGAAGTAAGCGGCAAGGAACATCTCCAGAAACAAACCACTCGGAACGCTATGTCCATACGATTGTCAGATATATGCCATCAGGGTTGTTATTTTCTCTATGCTACGGAGTAATTATATTTTTTTGATGCTCACCAATTCTGTTAGGAAAATCGTACTTATGAAGAGTCGAGAAAGTTAACAACCGGTTACCTAATTACCCTGCTCCAGCATTTCACCATCACCCATTTCTTACTATAGAACTCTAGATTCCTATCCCCTTACCATTAAACATAATGCAGCTATCAATCCTCATTGGCACCTCATCTGTGGTCACTGCCCTGGCCTCCCTTCCCCCAATCAACCTGGGATACTTCAGCTACCCGCATACAACGAGTTCGTCGCATGGTCTCCCTTCACCCCTACCGCCACCCAAGAGGTCACAGAGGTTTGCGACGCACAAGGCGGGTTCAAGGGCTCCGCGACGTGGAGCTCTATCCGGACGGACAGCACCTATGTCTGTGAGCCTATCTGCCGCAACCCCTTCAACGTTACCGATGTTGTGACCAACACTACCTACTACGACCTTGAGCTGGCGTGCGTGGACGACAACATTGATCTTGCCGCCCGCCCAGAGGTTACCGCTATGTTTGATAGGGTTACCAATAAGGAGATTGAGACCTGCGTCCCCGTGCTGAAGGATGGCGCATCTTGGTACGAAACCTGCGGAGATTCCCGCTCGGGGCTCGAGTACTCCTTTGCATGCTCTGCATAAGCAATTATAAATATATCTCGAGAACATGTTGACAGGACACAAGACACAGGACACAAGACACAGGACACATAAGGCTGCCTACATACATGGTAGTAGAGTAAGATGTGTTGAAGAATGAAAACGTCCCTCAGCGCTCCCATCTCAGTTCCGAGGGGACGAGCAAGGGCCTTAGAATAGGGTTAGGGTAGACAGTCCAATATTATCCCCTGCGGCGATCTTATAGCCAAACTTGCCAGCGCCGTGGGACAGACCAGGGTCTCATAAGCACTAAAGAACAGATCATGAAATCATACAAATAAGGAAATCACTCATTACAAGGTCCAATTGAGGGAGCTCTCTGGATGTTGCAAGACCCTGATGAGGAACTTGACGTGCGGATAGCTAACCACCAAGTCAACAATTGGCTGGCACGACCTACTTAGTCGCTTGAGGAATAGCATCGAGAGGAAAACTGCAAAATAGGAAGCTTTTAAGGAAGAACAGAATAGGGGATAAGAAAGAAACGTTGCTAAAGTTAGGTACTTGACAAGAAACGTACGAAGAGAACAAAAAACTGAAAACTGAAACATGGTTGTAATAACAGATTGAAGTAGTCTCTGGGCAGTGTTTCGATCACTGCATAACCGACAATTCCAACTTCGCTTGCCCTGCTTTCCATCCTCATCTTGAGTGAATCGATCTCACCCTAGCTTAACCCTAGTCTCACCCTTAAAACAACGTACTAGAATGAGCCCCAAGAGAACTCTAATAAATATTTATTCCATGTGATTTGCTATTATTGATTACAAAAGGCCGGCGGAAGACAGCATCAAAGCGTATGCTTTTCCCCACCACTCACAAGGCTGAACGAAACACTCCTATTCTTCCATTTTGATGCTTCAGTGTCCCAAAGCTGCCTTTGAAGCATGACACTGTTTTCGTGGAAGACTATGCTGTCGACAATCGGACTCTGGTCGTTGTTGATGACACCGGCGGACGCATTTTTATCAATCCACTCCATCATGACCAGGAATGCATGGGTGTCCAAAAGACCGTCACGTCGCGGATACTCCCTAAAGAGCTGGACAATCTCACTTCGCACTTCGGGAGAGGTGCACACGCGATAGCAGCAAGCCAGAGGCCAGGTCGGGCTATCTTCCAAAGTGAAAACCTCGCTACCTGGAGCAGCTTGTTGCTGAGCTGCCTGGGCCGCGAGGAGCTGCCTACTGAGAGCAACCATGTCGCGGAAAGTCGGTGTAAGCCTTTCTGCCTCTTTTTTGTCGGTCCAGCCCGCGCTGCACACGCCAGTCCAAAGGAACAAGTAGTGGATCCTTAAGCTGAGTGACTTGAGGTAATCTGCTACGTTCGTCTGCTTTGTGGACTCTGCCTTGATGGCGAGCGGGAGAAACGCAACGTCCCACGCGTCCAGGTAGCGAACAAACTTCCGGATGTGTCTCGAAGACTCTGGCGAGCCGTAATCTTTTGCGGGCTGAGCCACCTTTTGTGAAGCTCCCTTGACTTGAAAGTTGGTGTACAAGGGCGCGTGATGCTCGACGTGATGCCGGACAATGTCCCACCAACGACGAGCCGTCTCTAGTGTTTGAAATACGATGGGCATTTCTTGGACAGCATATCGCGCTTTTCGCCCACGACAGCACCACGGTACTCTCTCATGTGTCTCTTCCAAATGGACACCGTTCAGGGCCCAGTTTTGTAGATCGAAATGCCGGAAACTGCTTATAACCTCCTCCAACAACGGGTCGGGTTCGTCGACTTCAGTGCACTGCTCCAGAATCCGGAAAGCATGGTTGATGTGGTTCAACCCAGCCGCTCTATTGCCCCGGAGACTCTCAAATATGACAAACAAGAGACACACCAGCAAGACCCTTCCGGGAGAAACTGGCAATGAGTGTAAGAGACTCAGTGCCTTACCGTAGTGCGATAGAGCGGCCAAGTTAAACCTCCCTTTTCCAAGGATGCGTTGCTCTCGCGTGTCACTGCTGAGGGCCGCAGCGCCGATTGCGAGGGCCGCGTGCTTAATTGCGGGGTCATTCCAGGAGAGTTGCGGAAAGACTTGGGTAAGCAAGTCGGAGCGGAACAGAACGGTGCTTTTTACAAACACCAGCCAGTAGTCGAAGTGATCTTTCTCGAGCTGGTTGGAGAAAACGAGAGATGCGTAGTTTGGCTCTATCAGCAGGCCGTCTTTGATCTCGTTTCTCGCCAGCTTTGGGCGGATGGGCCGGTTGTTGTGGGCTGATGAGGGAATTTGCGTCTTATTAACAGTGTATCCTTCACAATAGCCCAGGTATTTTAGGCACGCCGCACAAGCTGGTCTCCCTTCGTCGCACTTTTTATGGCGGCGTCTGGAAACAAGAGGTTTTAGTACATATTGCTAATGCTACGACGGCTTTTAAATAATCCCAGCTTACCTGCAGGTGATACATCCAGTACGGACCTTGGGATTGCTGGCTCTTGTGAATTTCGGCCTTTGATTGACGACCAACCCCGTCACCTTGAATGAATTGCGACTGGTCATTTCTTCAACTTTCTTAGTTCGAATGTTGTTTTTTCTCCTTCTGTTTTCCCCCCTTTATATGAGGAGTCGTGTATCATGATTTGCTGGCCCAATTCGTGTGGGCGCTGCATCTTTTCGTTGTTAAGCCAGCCTGACTTTCATGGTGAGATGTTCAAAATTTTGTCATGGGTGAATTGAGTGGTGTGAATAGGTAGAGGGCAAAAGTTGTGGTCTGCGACCTTAAAACCAAATTGCCTACTTGTCTGCCTAATTCATACAGATGGTGGCGCGTGCTGGGGTAAGCAGTAGGCAATTTCGGGCCATTGATCCTCGCCTGCTAATGCCAATCATGGTAAAGATAGCATGCGCACCCTGCCTGTCTAGACCGGCCTATGCTTGATTTGAAATAGCTGAGAGGGCGATATGCTAGGACAGGCCCCCCAAGTTTATCAATTGGAAGTTGAGGCTCACGGTTGGACGCACTGTCAGCCGTTCACTCAAACCCAGAGCACTAGAACTCGTTCAGGTGCCTATCAACTCCTCTCACTGATTCAATTTCTCAACCCCCGGTTCTTAGATAAGGCATATCGCCGTACCAGTGTCCTTCGGACAGGCCAACTATGGTCGATGGCTGCTTGGAGGTGATATCGAAGACCATGCTGCTCCGGGAACTGTCTTGTGCCAGTAAATCTACTACAACTCGTCTGCCCAAGTGTACTAGGTTGTCGCCGCCGTGGTAGTTCTCGTACACCCTCTCCTTGCCACGTAAATACCCTGCATTGCGGTCGTCGTAATAGGAACAGAGCTAGTGTACTCACTGCTCTGCAACGTCCAGCTTGGCCTGATGCGCTGATGCCGCGTGCTACATAGTAGACGATGCACCTATCCTTGAAGTGCCCGAGAACCCCTTGTCAAAGGATTTACTCGATACCCCTCTTATCGGAGGCACGTTGACTATTTTGGTGGGTTGAGTGTACATGATTGATGGATGGCATGACGGGGTTCGACAGATGCGTTAGTAAGGTCAGCCAGATAAGTCTTGCAGAATTGATTCAAACGGCTTTCGCCAGTCACCACGTGGGCCGGATCCATGTCTCGATTCGGCAACAACGGGTAGAACACCGGAGGTCGTGCATGGCGGATGCATCTGGCCCATCACAGACCCAACATGCTGCTCTCCACGAAGATGACGACATTCCACTCACTATGCAAAGCTATTGTATGCAACTCTATCATAGATTCGGGATCGCTCTCCTCCTCCACCTGTGTATATGTTGATAGTTGTCTTGGCAGGTCATTCTTACTTGCAGACTTGCTGCAGCTATCATCCGTGACTCAAGATAGGTGGATTCGCTGCGGCAATCAAATACGCTATTTTCGCTTTCATAAGGTGTAACATGAAAAACCCCCATAGAAAAATGTGTGTATTCGTGTAAGTTCTTCTGAGCTGCAACGCAACGAATACGACGAAAAAAACAGATGACAAAGTTGTGGAAATGTGCACCCACAAGATGCAATAATTCCGGAAAGCCACTAAGACGTTTGTTTCTACAGCAAACTCGCTCCAGCAGAACCAGTAAGGAGACTATAAACACCGTATATAAGGGATCTTGAAGTGTGTCGTTGAGGCGTAAACGTCACTAACACTAACTAACCGAGCTCGGTGTTGCTACCAAATTGCTTCTGCCTCAGCCGTTGCGATATCATGTATTAACTCTGGACAGCTCTTTGATAAAATACCCTAACGATGTCTTCTCTGAGTAGGCCATGATATTCCCACAGCGAGTAGGTAACGTCACTCATTGACTTAACCAACCGCAAGCCCAAAAGTTGAAATGTGTACCGAGTGAGCGCGCAAGGAAACTTGTCGAGTTTGGATATTCTCAGATTGTGAAGGTCAAAACTTTTTAATTCTTTACTCATGATACCCAGTTCATGTATGTACGTTAGGGATGCTATGTACCTTATAGGAGAGTTTGTGCTCCCATCCAAGCGACAATCCTATTTCCCTTCCATCATTTCCTGTGCGAAGACTTTGCGAAAAGTCAATAGTCTGAGAGTCATCACAGAATGCCATCTGTGCTTTGTTTTCCCCGAAGAAATGCATGTGCAGATTACTTGTCCACCTCGACTGACCATTATAAATGTAAAGCCAATGCTGTGAACGCCGAGAATCAAATGTTTTTCTAACCAACCCAAGGCTTTAGAACATGGCAAAGGCAATCATACCAGCGAGCACAGCAAGGCTGAAGCTCGTCGTGGTGGCACTGCTGCCAGGGACAACAGTGGGTGCCGATGTCGGCAGGCTGATGGTACCATTAGTACCAGGGCGACCGGAGCCGGAGCCTGAGCCCGAGCCCTGAGAAGCAGAAGGCGCAGCACTAATAGTAGAAGTGGCGCTTCCGCCGGAGCCGGAGCCGGAGCCGGAACCACCGGTTGACACGGCAGTCGTCAAGGTGGTAGCAGTGTCAGCAGCGGAACTCTGTTGGCTCGAGCCCGAACCAGAGCCAGAGCCAGTACCAGTGGTAGTGGCAATGACAGAAGAGGACGCAGTACCGCTGGGCTGAGAAGAAGCACTGGCAGAGGCAGAAGATGACGAGCTGGAGCTGGCCTTGTCGCATGAGAGGTCGTATAGCGGCTTGGTGGTCAGAGTTGAGCCAATGACGCCGAAGCTAGGGTTGGGAGTCGTGGGAGAAGAGTCCTGCAAAGTGTACCACCAGACGTTGGTCTTGCCGAACATGGGGCAGCCGACATCATCCCAGAACGTCTTGGCGTTCTCGAGCGAGGGAACAGCAGCACCGACAGTCTTTCCGCTGACAGGCCAGCCAGTCTCCGTAACCCAGACAGGCTTGCCGCCGACGGCCCCCTGAGTGGCACCCAAGGCATCGGCCCAGCGTTGCTTGCTGTCGGAGATGGCGTTGGGCTGGGTGTTCTCGAAGTAGGGGTAAGCATCCATCCCGATCCAGTCGCAGGCGTCAATGACTGCCTTGTTGCTGCCATTAACCCAGGCAGTCCACGTGTCGACGTGGCCGAGAGGAGCGCTGCTAAGAGGTGAATCCTTGATGACCTCGCGGACTTGCTCAAAGTACTTGACGAGAGTGCTAGGCTCAGCGCCAGAGTATTCGCCATTGGCAATGCCGGTGGGTGAATGGCGGTAGAGGTCCTCGCTGCCGATAGAGATGCCGGCAATCAGGCCGTTGAGCTGACTACCGTACTGAGAAACAGTCTTCTTCAAGGCCTCGAGCTCGTTCGCAAAGGAGGCTTCGCCGGCAGAGGCCCAGAGGCCAAGCAAGAGGGTCGTCTTGGTGGAAATGGCGGCCGGGATAGCCGAGATGGGGTCGTTGGTGCTTCCACCCTGGACCATGGTATAGAGGCGGGCAGATGTGAAGGCGCCATTGGTGCCCTCGAGGCTGGCTGCGGTCTTGAACTCAGACTCAAAGTCAGACTGCGTCTTGGCTCGGCCATCGGTAAAGGTAGATCCGTAATTGAAGCCTTGGAAGGCGCTGGCTGTGGCGGCGGCGTAGACAGCCGCAAGGGTGAGAGAAGCTCGCATGGCTGCGGCCGAAACACTGAGCCAACCTAGGGTCTTGCGGTGAGGATACGAGAATGGTGAGAGTGGTTGTTCAGCGGAACGGAGAAAACGCTGAAGGTCGAAGTCGAGAAGAAGATATTTCTATGATACTGGTTGAAGAAGAGAGGGGATGCTCTGGAAGAGGATGGACTACGTATTATAAGATCTGGAAGGCAAGTAGGTCCAAGGTGCGTGTGAACGAGAGACAGATCAGATGGGTTGGCCTAGAGCTCCGCAGGTATTAAGAAGGCCGGGTATCGTGAACAAGTGTGTAAGGTAGGAGGGAGGCCGTGAAAGAAACGAACGAGGCCCGGGTGATGGAGCAGTAGAAAAGGAAAAGCTGGTGGCAGTGCCCAGGCAAAAAAGAGGGATGTTCAAACAAATCACATGAATAACATGCGCGAGTGCCCAGCAGGGTTCCGGCCTGTTCCTTGGACCTGGCAGCAGAACAAACTCCCCTTCCTCTCTTGGTTTCTCTTGCCAGTTTCCACACCCTCAACTAGCAAGCAGGCTTGACCCAATGAAGAAGTGGTGGGCACGCAGAAAGTCGGAAAGGTACGAAAAGCTTGACGAGTGGACGCGAAGAAGGGTCTGGAAGAGGCAAGTCAGGTCACTCGAGTGGGTGGCTCCACATTCCCCGAGTTGACGTGTTTGGCGCCCCTCCCCCTCCACCGAGGCCGTCAGTTACTGAGCAGCTCATGCAGGAACCAGGTGTACCCCGTATCCAAGCAGCACCTCTAGATCCGTGTTGGCCGCCTTTGCCCGGCTCCCCCTGAAGCGACGGCGGCGATGAGGTCACCTCAGTGTGCATGGCAACCACTTCGGGGCAGGGCCGGTCGAAACGAAGACCCAATCACAGCTGCCATCCCAATTTTACCGGCGCCCCGGGCTCCCAATCTGGTGTCTTTGAGCAGCCAGGTCCCTGTTGGCCTGCCATTTATAGCAGCCGATCCCACTATCTGCACCACCAACTCCCTGCTCCATGTTGTTCGGCTAGGCCGTGACGCCCCTCCCCCGTATTTTTCCCCAGCGTCCACGGTGCCGCGGCTGACCTCCAATTAGGTACGATGCCGCGGCCTGAATGCATGAGATCCGCCCGGGCCGGGATTGTTTTTGACGTTTTCTGGTCAACTTGCGCAGCACCTGTGTGCCGTGTTTGCAGATACGAGGCCTCGGTGGGCTCGTTCTACTGTATAGTCGTCGAGTGTTCCCGTGACGTTTCGTTTCCTGCCTTAAAAGTCAACTAACCATACGATCAACGGCTGCCGATGCAACCCTCCATTCCTGAACTATTTATTTTTGTTGATGTTTGCTGTGAGGCCATGACGTTGGTTGGTTGGCGACCTTTTGCCAGCAGAAAAAATGGCGCCACCAAAGAGTCTTTCAGCTCTTTGCGTCAAGCAGGCGCTGGTACTCGCAATGAAAGGCAGGCAGGTTGTGCTTGGGGAGCAGTGTCACCAACGCACAGGCACGGATAAAGGGCTCACGGACCGAGCAAGTTGAAGAAGGAGAGCAATGAGAGGACATGGCAGCTGCAGGTACCAAGCGCCTGCTTCCCCGCCCATGCAAGGTTCAGGGGTCGTGATGGCCTCTGGCATGTCCTCCGGCCCCATTCTCCAGAAGAAAACAAACATCATTGTCCGCATTCCAACGAGTAATCCCGAGCCGTATGCCAGGAACTCGGCATCTCCGGGCTATTCCGTTGCTGAACGATATCGGAATGAATGAGTTTGCACCTGGCCTTTCATGAAACCAATGCGAATCAATGCGCGCCTATGTAGACGCGTTCTCGGGACTTGGCAAAACATTAACAGAATGGACCAGGACATTGGTATTCCAGCGAGATCTATTTTGGATACCCGTGCTTTTGCGGGTTATGCAGGCCTGTTTGTTTGTATAGCTGACTGCTGTTACAGCATCAATACCTAACCTTGCCTACTTCTACATCTACCTTCGATTAACTCATTGGACGTGACACCGAAGCCAATATGGCAACTGCCACATCCCAAACGTACTTACGTTCCTAAGATTACCCTATTTTCTCTCTGGGAAAATTTTGTGTCTCCTTTTGATAAATCTTCTGTGTCTGTCGCCTCTGTATTAATGCTTTCGACAATGGCGTCCGCTCTTGAACATGGACGTTCACCTGCAGATCCAGGATCGGCTGTTCTGTTACTGAAATGAGGCGGCATGCTACTGGAACAACTGCAAATGGTCGTCGCCTATCACAAAGGCCTCGGCGGCGACAGAAGCTGCTGCAACGGGTGGACAACGTTCTCGCAGAAAAGCTTCTGGAACTCAAAGTTCCACGATAAGTTCCTTTTGACGCACTGGACGAGGCATGCCTCGACGGCATTCAGATGATGCGGCAGCAGCTTGTCGTCGCTAAGCTCCAGCCAGCGGCTGGCTGCTTGCAGCCGCTCCCCAAATGTCACCGTGCTACCTTGCTGGTTCTCCGCAGCCCAAACCTCGATTGATTTATGTTGCAATATCTCTAGCATCAGGATAGCGAGCTCTAGCACTGTTGCTTTCGTTGCCTGCGTGCTCAGGCTGGGATCAAGTGGCTGTACTGGTAACAGCGCAGGATCGATTGCCTGCTCCACGAATGGCGCCCCTGCTGCCACCCACCCATTTCCCTCAACCAAAAACTTGATTGTCTGGTTGTTTAAAGGAATGCCGCACCAAGAGGTGTGGTGAAGTTGGAGGACGGCCGTGGCCACATCTAGAGCCAGCAGACTCTGTTGTTTTGGCGTCATGCGGGCGTCTCGGTCCTGTGCCGCAGCTGCAAGGAAGTCTCTCAGTGTCATAGTGGATTTGAATGACTGCTGTGACTTGATGGCTTCTTGCCTCAAGTTAAGCACATCGGCCGCGAGTTCGAGGGCAAGAGTATGGCCCTGTCTGCGGGCCTCGCGAGCGTTCTCGCACATGTGTGTAATGCGGATACTGGTGGGTTGCGAACTATCATCATATGTTGCTGTGACTGAGATGGTCGGAATATTCCCAACGTGGCGATTTATCCCCTCGGAACGGTTTGGTCTGCTGTGTTGTTTAGCATATGCACTTCCGTGGCTCTCTAATAAATGAGCAAAACAAACCCTATCTGCCAGTTCCCGGCGTCGTTCATATAGATTTCATGGGCGCGAGTCATCACCTCAGCCTCTTGTAGTAAGGCTTCTTCGGTAGGAAAACAGACACGAAAGACGATGTGCGTCGGCTGAGCACTTTGGGGCGAGTTGACAATCCGGTTTTCTAATCGAATCATAAGCGTGCCTTGGTCGTGGCAGTCGCATGTCCAACATTGACACGCCGCTCTGTACAGTGAAGTAGCACTGATCCGGACTTGGGCAAAAAGCTGGGCCATCTTTGTAGAAGCTCTTGAAGGTTGCCTGGCTTCCCAATCTCGCTGCGTCTTAACACGTTTGAGGAGTTTACCGAGCGAGTATCTCTCTGTCCGGAGATCCTTAACTAAAGTGTCCAGGCTTTTCCGATCGATTGCGAATTTAAAACGGCCTTTGACTAAGGATGGTCCCTGGGGATTCGAGCTCGCACGAATAATAGCATCTAAATCATCCTTTGCCGCCTGATGAGCAGGAAACTGTTAGCGGTAAACGTCATTTCGCTTCATAGGTGGGTGGACTTGCAGTCTTAAGTCGCACAATGTTTCCGAGCTTAGATGTGATGTCTTTCAAACACTTTTCGTAATAGCCCAATATCTCGAGAAACTGTGGATAGAGCTGACCCAGATACCTTGTCACCTCGTCGCCGGTTTTGGAATCCCTTAGGACAGCAACACACCTCGCTTCAGGAGGGTCTACGTCGTCAAGTATCTCGGGCACCCTCGCTTCCCGGAGCAGCTGCAGAATGTCCAGATAGAAAGCCGTCTTCTGTGTCGAGAGTTGGTGGATCAGATCATCGATAAGTCCTTGAAATTTCAAAAGCGTGTTAAGAGTCCCCTTTCCGTCTCTGTAGTCGGCCAAAGCGTTGATTACAAGCGGAAGCACACCGAGGATGACGCCAGCGAGCTCAAACCCAGACATTGCGACTTTAAGGGACAAGTTGCATGTTCCTCCGAATTTAGGATGTGTGTCTGGTTATCGGTAACCAGGCAGAGTGTAGTTTTCAACATGCTTATGAAGCGGGGTAAGTCACATCATATGGCAGTGTTTCTATCGGTGGTTGGCTTAATGCCCGACACCCTTCGAACACAGCCTCATGCAATGCATGCTTAGTCAAGCCTAAGGGTGACTGATTCCTGCCTCCCCTCTTCGAGCGGATAAAAACATCTTTCCTCTACTATGGTAGATTTTGCCTTACTTAGCTCAACATAACCCTTGCTGTCAGCACTCGCCATGGCCGTGGAGAAGCCGCACCAGCCCGAACTCCAGTCCCGAGGACTTGAAGTGTTCAAATGGTTTCAAGAATTGACTGAGATGCCCTGGATAAATGACGAGGCTACGGTCATTCCATCGCGACGGAGTATCGAGCTAGAAGACGAGAGGTTCAGGCTTTGGTCACAAAGCATGGGACTCATGCAAATGGGGCACGCATCTCTCGACTATCGAGTTCGGGATTCATCGGTAATCAAGAATTCACTGGCCAGTGTTTTATCTGAGCTAGTATTACATCTTGAGAACCGTAAGTGCTCCGCCCGTCAGCCTAATCAAGTGCTAACCAACCGAAGTTGCATCAATCATTCTCGGCAATCGGCCTCCAGCAGAACAAGATCGCGCGGCCGGACATTGCAGCAACGCCTCATCCGACGATTCCGACGAAGAGGCCTCTCTTTCCTCCTTTGGCAGCGGCTCTTTTCATGAAGCCGATTTTCGTATGGCTAGCGTGGTGGAGCGGCTTGACACTCTGTACAAGTTTGCAGCCAAGATACGAAACCCTCGAAATCGCCCACAAAGGCCAACCAACGATCTGTATAAGCACATTCCAGAGAGTGAGCGAGCTGAGTACAGAGAGAGCCAAGAGCGGATCGAAACTGCACTCATCACCTTCGTACAGCAACGGCATCTGCTGGAGTCCGTCACGGAAGCACAGCTCAAGGTCCTTGATATGAGTCAGGAAGATCTCCTCGAGCGATATGCCTTAAGTACACATTGGCTGGTCCGCAGGATTGGCTTGGCCAATGCGCGACGAAAACAGCAGTTTGTCTACTGGGAAAAGCATGCCGAACTACTCGCCCGCGACGTCACCATGAAGGCACCCATAGTTCGTAAAGAGGCTACCGCTGTTTCCCCCGTTACAGCACATATAGGAAAGCCAGCACATTCTGTGGCAACTTCAGCAACCAACCTTGTTGATGCGAAGTTGATAGGGCCAGACGATCTTAAATCTGTCATCTCCCATCACAGCCGTGTGTCTACAGTTATTAGCCCGCAGGGAGAAAAGCTGGCATGGCCCCCAGCACCTCGCCGTCTCGCTGGAAACAAGTTCTTTTCCTGCCCTTATTGCAAGGTGTTATGTCCGGAAACCTATCACTCTCATGAAAAATGGCGGTATGTGTTCATTTCTCTGCCCTGACAGCATGTTTGTCACACGTCACTTACTGTTTGCGTGTGCCTCAGCCAACACCAGGCGTATGATTTGCAGCCTTATCAATGCACATACGAGGACTGTCCAGACCCTCATCGGCTATTCGGCCAACGACAAGAATGGATCGACCACGAGAACCAACATCGGCGCGTATGGTTTTGCCACACACATGATGAAGAATTCGAGACACTGCCAGCATATCATCAGCATATTGATCATAAGCACCGTGATGAAGGTTCGTCCCCAGAGTTGGAGGCAGTTCTCGTGGGGTCGTCCCTGCAGCCACATCGAGATTGTCCTCTCTGTCCGACCGCCTTTTCCGACCTTACCCATATGCGAAATCATATAACGTATCACCTGGAGCGATTGGCACTTTTTGCACTTCCCAACGCTGAGCAAGACACCCATAACGAAACCATGTCAGGGCATTCTGCAGACAGCAACCGGGTTGTGGAACACCAGGGACGTCGAGACTCTATGAGTGGTGATTTCAGCCAAGAAGAGAACGTATCATTCGCCGAATTTACAAAATCAACAACAGAAGAGACGCAGGACCCCAGCTCGTTCACGAGCACAACACAAGCCAACCGAGAGCTAGTCCTCCAATTGGAATCACAAAGCTTGAAAACCGATATTGATGCAACTGTTAGCCAATGGCTGTCTCTCATTTCAGACCACAAGCCTCTACTAAGGTCTGACGAAGAATGGGTTCCAACTGAGGATCAAGCGTGGAACAAGGACGAGCAGGCAACAGAATTGTTTTCGCAGGTACCTGAAGAGGAGATTCCTGGTACACTCATGCGCATGGCCAACCGGGCGTACAGGTTTTGGGAACAGGGCCGGTGGGAGGCGGCAGAGAAGCTGCAGGTGCAGGTGGTAGAGTCAAGTGAAAGGGTACTCGGCAAGGAGCATCCTCGTACGCTCACCAGCATGGCCGACCTAGCGTCGACGTACCATGACCAAAGACAATTAACAAAAGCAGAAGAGCTGCAGGTGCAGGTGATGGAAATAAGTGAAAGGGTACTCGGCAATGAGCATCCTCGTACCCTCGCCAGCATGGCTAACCTGGCGTTAACTTATGCTATGCAAGGCAGGTGGAAGGAGGCTGAGGAGTTACAGGTGCAGGTGATGGAAACAAGTGAAAGAGTACTCGGCAATGAGCATCCTCGTACACTCGCCAGCATGGCTAACCTGGCGTTAACTTATGCTATGCAAGGCAGGTGGAAGGAGGCTGAGGAGTTACAGGTGCAGGTGATGGAAACAAGTGAAAGGGTACTCGGTGAAGAGCATCCTGATACGCTCATCAGCATGGCTGACCTAGCGTCGACGTACTATGACCAAGGACAGTTAACAAAGGCAGAAGAGCTGCAGGTGCAGGTGATGGAAACAAGTGAAAGGGTACTCGGCAAGGAGCATCCTCGTACACTCACTAGCATGGCCGGCTTAGGGTCAATATACTATGACCAAGGACGGTTGATAGAGGCAGAGAAGCTGCAGGTGCAGGTGATGGAAACAAGTGAAAGAGTACTCGGCAATGAGCATCCTCGTACACTCGCCAGCATGGCTAACCTGGCGTTAACTTATGCTATGCAAGGCAGGTGGAAGGAGGCTGAGGAGTTACAAGTGCAAGTGTTGGAGGCAAAAAAGAGGGTACTTGGTGAGGAGCATCCCAACACGCTCACCAGCATGGCTGAGCTAGCGTCGACGTATTATCACCAAGGTCAATGGGACGATGCTATTCGACTTCTGGAAGACTGTATACGCTACAGACAGCGATGCCTTGGTGCAGGTCATCCGGACACAGTATCGTCTATCTCAGCTCTATCGGAATGGAAAGTAGAGTTCGAAAGAGGTGGGCGAGAATCCCATAACTCTTCTATGATCCAAGGAAGATAGTGCTGCAAGCTTGAGTATAGGACCTAATTGTAAGGAAACTGTGCGTAATTTCCAAATTGGGGGCCCCAAGAACCGATTTGCTTGATGATCCGTGATAAAATCACCTTAGTAAAATGCCGTCTTGCATGTAGTTATGCTGGAAGAATGTGCCATCTTTTTCCGCAGCCGAGCTTGTAGTCGCTTTTAGGGAAGACCGTTACAGATACCATTGCCATTCCCGATATTCGGCCTCTCTATTGTAGCCAGATTTGTTGATAAAGACAGTTTAGTAGGACTCTGTCGTGAAATTAGGTTCCAAGACGAGATATTGGCGCAGGTGGCTAAGTTAGCCACTTCTCACACGACTCATGATACTCAGCAACCTATATAAGAGACTACTTCTCGTCTCGTAGATAGTTTCTAAGATAACCACTTTTCTACCTCTTGAAGCACAGATTGATCTTTTCACCACAGACTCCTAGTGGTAACGTGCGGCGCACAAGGCTTTTGAAGCTGCTATAGGAGTCCCTAATACTTGCGTTATCAGGATGTATTTTAGACTAGGCCTCGCAGCATTCATTTATAGTTTCATGATGGTATGTTTAGCAGAATCGGAAGAGCTGAAGGCTCTGACGAAGGACGAGAGCACAGCTGGGTGCAAGACACATCTTTGATTGAGGTGATGCCCCTGAAGATATTACCAGTAGGGGCAACAGCAAATTCTGGCTATGTGAAGGATTCCTTGTAAATTCCTTCGTCACGATGGGTTCCATCTGCGAAGCTTTGGTCTGTGCCACCACCGCTAAAAAAAGATAGTTCAAAACATCAGTGACACCCAGTTCGGATTTTACTGTACAGCGTACTTCAACAGAATGTTACGTCCGATGCTGTGTTGATTGTGTAAACCGAGTTGTTCTCTCCAGTCGATCAGTCACTCACCGGCTGTGTTACTGCTGTTGCCAGCTGGCAGGTTTGATATAGCACCACCCAATTATAGGTATTCCTCCCATCTGCGTCTTCCGCGTAAATTACGGAACATGATGTCTAGGCAGCTTCGGCACCAACCGTCATCAACAACCCGTCCCAAATGATACCTAGATAGATGTCGAACAAACATGGCGAGGCTTAAAGAGATCCTGCCAGCCAGCCCTCAACTGTGAGTTGATGCCCATCCGATATTGGGTCGGTATTTTTAGACCTGACAATGATTCAGGCTCGCCTCTCCAGAGACAAGCACCAGTTCGAAGAGTGAGCCGGGCAGGAACAGCAAAGTCAAGCTGTCTCGCACAAGCACGCGCAAAGTGAGGACTGGTTGCATTACCTGCAAAAGACGTCACATCAAATGCGACGAGGCAAAACCGCACTGCGGTAACTGCCTTCAGAGTCGAGGCCACTGCGAGGGTTATCTCGTGGCCCCAAAGAAGACCTCCGGGCCTGCGCAGATCTGTTGGGACTCCAAACACGTCATCCGCCAAGCCCCATCGCCAGCAACCCAGGCGAGGCTGGACGCCAACGCCCGAGACTTTCGGGATGACGCGGGCCTGAACTACTTTCAAGAGTTTGTCGGTCTGCTCAGAGGGCCTTGGATGAGCGCAGCATCGAGTGGTGACTTGTGGGTGGTCACGTTGCCTCAACTTGCCCGCAACAACGGCACGCTTCGCTCCGCCGCAATGGCAATAGGCGCGCTGAGCGTGTGGTATCGCCAGTCTGCCTCCGGGTCACTCCGCGCGGTGACAATGCCAGATCAACCGACGTGTGAGGGAGACGCCCACTACTTCCGGGCGGTCGCCCACTACTGCGACTCGCTAAGGGCACAGAGAAGGCGCTCATCTGTACAGGATGCCGTCTTCTTGTCGGTGCTTTTATTATTCTTCGAATCCCTCCGCGGAAACAGAAAGGCTGCCCTAGACCATGTCAACCACGCACTTTCTCTGCTGTTGGCCATCATGACGGATGCAGATGCGCAGCTCCATCTGTCCGATTTGGCGCCCAATCCGCGGCCCGTCATCGGGACCGTAGCAGACGTCTTCAACCAGTTGGCCAGACAGGCTCGCGCCGTCTTCCGGGGGAGGATTCTCGACGGCCCGCCTCTCCCCAACCTCCAAAGGGGGTTGAGGAGCAGCAAGCAAACCATGGAGTCCTTCATGATCCTCCTAAGTCAGATGCGAAGCGATTACGACATTGGCAGCTCGGTGCCTCCTGTCTTCAGTAGTCTAGACGAGTTCGAACAGACCTGGCCCATCCTGCGGCGTCACCAGGCCGCGATGAGCGCGATCATGGAAGACGCCATCCAGAAATCGGGCATCTATGGCTCTCATGACGATGCCGCCATTACGAAATTCCACCTTGATCTTCTCGGGAACCCGCACATCAAGGAGTACTGCACACACTTCCAAGAGTCCATGGATAAGTTGCACGCCGCGTTTCAGCCCCTATTCAAAGAGATAATCTCATCCGACATCGGATCGCCAACCTATCTGCGAGCGATTCTTCTGCGCTTGGAGTTCTTGGAAGTCTATACCACCAGCAACGCCACAAACTTCATCGAGGCCGACTCCGTCGCGTCGCTGTCGCCTCTGTTCCGCGAATATCTCTCCCTCGGCCACATCGCGCTGAGAACGACCAACAATGAGGTCCGGAGGAACCCGGCACACAACTTGTCTCTGCAACGTGGCTTGGCATGGTACCTCTTGATCGTGTCGCTGTTCAGCCGTGACCCCGTCATCCGCGACGAGGCCGTGTGGATGCTGAGGGACTACCCGGGCCAGGACGGACTATGGAACACGCGCGCCCTGTACGCTCTGGCCCTCAGGAACCGTCACATCGAGCGCGTGAATGCTGTAGAGGGCACGCCTGAAGAGCAGTGGCGGCGGTTGTGGCGGCGGGAATTCCTATTCGAAGACGGCGGCGACCGTGTTGTGCTACGGTACCTGGTCAAAGACGAGTCGACGGGAGCATGGCATCTGGTAGAGGAATTAGCCGAGATACAGGGCGAGGGCGATGCCGTGCAGTGGACGCCGCGACCCATCACGGGTCACGGTGGGCTGCTGGTCATAGATTTGTATACAGCGTGGAAAGATATGGAACTGGTCATGCCGACGTGGAAGGATGCAGGTGTAGAGGCGTAAGAAGGCTACGCAGGGGACGACGCTGGAGTCGAGGTAAGTTTCTAATTACGATCTAAGCGAACTATCTATAATGCTAGCTTGATACCCTCAATGAGACGTTGAGACACAATGGAAACTGAACAGAAACATGAAAACACGACGCCTAACGAGGATGATTGTACCGAGGAGCTTTGCGGTTTCGCTTCGTTTACCTTTGACTTTACTCCCCTTTGGCCATTACACCTGCAACCGACAGATCGGTCACCTATTGATCCAAGGCTTGAGTCTGGCACTGCAATCGTCTATTAGCATGGGACCTTCGAGAGCAGAACAGGGGGAAAGCTTACCATCTCCCAGTAGACGCCCTGTTTCCTAATAAGCTCGTTGTGAGACCCCTTCTCCACCACCCTCCCTCGCTGAAGACGAAAATGACATCAGCGTTCTGGATGGTCGATAGCCTGTGGGCCACGGCCACCACGGTCCGTCCATCACGCGCCCTCTCGAATGCGGCTTGCACAATCTTCTCTGACTCAGAGTCCAGCGCCGATGTGGCTTCGTCCAGCAGCAGGAGCTTAGGATCGCGGATCAGGGCACGCGCGATGGCAATGCGCTGCTTCTGTCCGCCAGACATGGACACGCCCTTGGCACCGACGTCGGTATCATAACCCTCGGGCAGAGAGACGATGAAGTCGTGGATGAAGGCGTCGATACAGACCTCGTGTATCCTCTCATCAGAAATCGAGCTAGGATTCTCGATGCCGAAGAGAATGTTATCGCGGACCATCCCTCGGAACATGATCGGCTCCTGAGCGACGAGTGAGACGTGCTGGCGGTACTCATACACGTCGAGGTCGTGGATATTGACGCCATTGCAGAGAATCGAGCCGTGGCCTTTGTTCAGATCGTAGAACCGTTCCAGGAGAGAGATGATGGTTGTCTTGCCGCATCCCGAGGGGCCCACGAAGGCCGCGTATTGACCCTTCTCGATGGTGAGGTTCAGACCCTCGAACACGACAACGTCACGCGTGGGATACTTGAAGTCGACGTCTCGCAACTCGACTCGCACGCCTCCTTCGGCTTCGGCTATGTCTTCACTGCCTCTTGTCGCGGCTTGACCAACATCCGCAGACTCCCTGACGTCGAGGATGCGATCAGCAGCAGCAGCCGCCTGCGCAGCGCTGGGAGCCACGGCCAAAATTTGACTGGCTGCCTCTGCGCCCTGAATGATTGCCATGAAACAGACGAAGAATGCCTCCATGGAATACTCGCCACTGGCCAAAAGCCTGCCGCCGTACCAGAAGACCAACGCCTGGCATCCGAGACTTACACTATCTGCGAAGCCATAGAGCACGGCCGTCCACTGTGCTTTGCGACGAGCTGCTAGGATGTGTCCGCTGAGGAGCTTTTCGTACCGCGCATTGATGACGGATTCCATACCGAGAGAGGAGACTGTCCTGATAGCCCCGATAGCTTCGGTGGCGAACTGCGAGCTCTCCCCAAAGACCGCCATATTCATCTTGTCGAACTGCACCTCATGTCTGTACTTCCACAATCCTGCGCCCAGCATGATTGGCATAGTGATGAACATGGCGACCAAGCCGAGCTTCCAGCCGAAAATAAGCGCGATGGTGATACATCCGATGACAGTGAAGATACCGGAAAGCAGCATCGCCAGGTTCAAGCCAAGCAGCTCCTCTAGTAACTTTGCGTCGCCTGAGATTCTGGAGCTCAGGGCACCGTGGGAGTTCTTGTCCTCATCGAAGAAGCTGAGATGTTGATGCAGCATATCGGTGAGGTATTGCTTCTTGTATGTCGCGCTGACGAAGTACTGGAGACGCAGGCCGATCCAGCACTGAGCGACGTAAGCCAGACCAACACCTCCGGCGAGGGCAAACCACATCAGACCCCAAAAGTCTGCTCCTCTCTTGAGGTCGTCGCCAGTCAGGAGAAACACGGCGAGGACTTTGGAGAAGAGCCACGCCTGTACAGGCGTGCCGGCTGCAGTCGCCATGCAGGACAAGATTACGGCAATGTACGACGTCCAATTCGCTCTCCGTTCGTAAAGGAGCTTTCCAAAGCTGCGTACCAGACCACGAGACTTGTGGGACGCCTCGCCTTCAGAGGTATCCGTAAAGGCTACAGACGGGAGATTCACATGATCCACAAAAACCTTCTCTTCCATTTCCGACTCGAGCCCCGAAGCAGAAGCGTCTGACACTGACTTCCCCGGTGTTGACAAATTTAGTGCTTGGGCTCGTACCAAGGAGCTGTAGACACTCGAAGGGTCACTCAGAAGACTTTGGTGAGTGCCCTGTTCGACCGCCTGCCCTCGTTGCAGCACGACGATGTTGTCGGCCTTCTTGATTGTTGATAGCCGATGAGCGATGGTAATGGTGGTGCGTCCTTGTGTGACTCGGTCGAGCGCGGCCTGGACAATCTTTTCGCTTTTGGCGTCAATTGCACTGGTGGCTTCATCGAGTATGATGATACGAGGCTTCTTGATAATACTCCTAGCGATTGCAAGACGTTGTTTTTGACCGCCGGACAGTTTGGCGCCTCCGTCACCAACCCGCGTATCATAGCCCTGCAAACACAAGTTAGAAATCGACAAAAGACAGACACACGAGGATTGCATGCGCTAATATAAACTTACATCCGGTAGTCGGCAGATGAACTCGTGGGCGTAAGATTCTTGACAAGCGTCACGAACAAGCTCTCGCTTGACAGTTTCGGGCTCGTTCTCCCACTCGGTACCGATGAGGCCGTTGGCAACATTGCTGAAGATAGTGTTGTTGAAAAGGAAGGGCTCCTGCTGAACCAGCCCGACCTGAGCTCTCCACCACTTGAGGTCAAGGTCCTCTAGATTCACGCCACCGACGCTGATGGCCCCAGAGAGGTTGGGTAGAATCAGCGATTTCAGCTCTTCGTTAACGCATTCCACTGTTTCATTTTCTGGCTTTTCCAAAGACTGATCATCAACAACCCGGGGCAAAGCGTGTTGCTCTCTTAACGAGTACCACCGCTCCAGTAAGCCAACGATGGTGCTTTTACCGGAGCCAGATGGACCGACGAGAGCCACGTTCTGGCCCGGCTGGATGCGAAAGCTCAGTGAGTTGAGAACCTTGACACCGGCCCGACTGGGGTACTCGAATGTCACGTCTTCAAACACGATATCCTGAGAGTCAATATCTGGCTTCAGGGTACCGGTAGGAGGCAGAGGGGCATCGATCACTGTGAAAAGCTCGCAGGCAGCCACCATCGCCTTGCTGACGGCGATGATTGGTGTTGAAATCCTTTCTAGGGAAGTAAGAATCATCATAACGGACATCAGCACCACGACGACCACACCAGCATCGTTGAGCGCGCCGGCGATGTAGCGCTGGGTGCCGTACCAGAATGCCAGACCGAACGCACCGAATACGCCGAAAAACTACCTGCGTGTCAGTACTCGTGTACGAATTACACCCTAAAAGGTTGAAACGGAACTTACGATAAGACCGAACTGAATCGCCACAACTGGGGCAGTCTTCTGGGCCCGCTTCATAGCTTCCTGCACCCAAGATTCATAGCGGGAGATGATGTGCCTCTGCGCACCGCAAGCCATCACCAAACGAATACCTCCAAGGGCTTCGCTCGCGACGGCAGTACCCTGAGCATCAGCTTCGGTTGTGGCAGTCTCTCCCTTGACGATGATAGGCATAACCACGGCCAGGACGATCAGAATGTACAGGATTAACGACGCAGTCACCAAGGTGAGATCCCAACTCCAGATGAAGGCAATGACCAGGGCCGCCCAGATCGTGCCGTTGAACTGCAAGAAGGTGCCCAGGCGGTCGGAAATGCCGATCTGCAACACAGCTGACGTCCCCGTGATGGCAGTCGCCGCAGCTCCTGGAGGCATCGAGTCAATGACGTGAATCGACTGAGCGAACAACGACTGCAGATAGTGCAGGCGGATGGCAGACGAGAGCCGGATCCCAATCATCCTGAAGCAGAACTTGTTGATGGCGTTGAGCGCCCATCGGCCGACGAAGAGGGCCGTGATGTACAAGGCCTGGCGGTTGAGGATGCTGTCGAACTGCGAGCGGGTGATGGTGGTGTTGTCGCTGAAGTAGCTAGTGAACTGGCCGACGAGCTGGCCGAAGATGATGTTCATGAGCGGCAGGGTGACGCCGGCGGCGATGGACGCCACCGACGCGATCACGTAGACGAAGAAGTCCCATTTCGTCGCGTAGGTGAAGACTCTAAGGTAGTCGGTGAATTTTGGTTTCCGCACTAAAGTCGTCTTGGCTGGTGTCGCGGTCTCGCTGGTCCGGACTGGACTTTTGGCCATGGTGTCAGGCGCGTCGTGCCGTCGTGGTTGTTGTTGTTGAAGAAGCCGTCCTAGATTTTAGCACCTGCCGTGTAAGTTTGACAGCTTCCTTCCAGACTTTGACAGAAAAAGGGGCGTTGGACTTTACATGGGAACGGCCGGATGTTCTCTTGTGAGCAATTGTGTCCATTCTTGATGTTTTGACGTCAGAAGGTCCGACCTCGTGCTTCAAGGAGGAGGCGGACGTTCTTGGGCCTTTTGCAAGAGTGCATGCAGCAAATCGAAACGAGGCACTGCTCAACGGGTCGTGTAAGTGGAGGTCCGGGGAGCACCGAGAACTGAAGATGAGATGTTTGAAGAGACTGAGGGCAGGATCTGATGACAAGTAGATGCAGTGCAAATGTTTGCATTGCTTCTTTGGATGTTTTTGAACATTGAAAATTTCAATCTAGCCTCTCGAGAGCTCCATGGCCAAAATCTGATGTGGTTGACCACAAGAAGTTGCCCCTAGAAGCGTTGGCTAGGTACATGGCGACACTGCGAGAACCGTTGTGTTACCGTTTTCGGAAGGTTAGGAGCCGTGCGGTCGGAGACCCGAGTACGACCCACTGATCCAGATTGTATGTAAGGCGGAAAATTGGAGCCAATCGAGCCAGCTGCCTTGGCGTCCGGCTCTCCGTGTACTTTGGCACATTAGAGAATTCCGCCGTACTGGCATGTACTGACTAGGAGGTGTTCTTCACTCTGTCGGCAGCATCTGCTACAACTTTCAGCAGCGTGGCAGTGCCGCCGGACTTCAAATACGCCCGCGTCTCCGTTGCCCCCTTGTCGCGGTATGCTTCCTGACTGGACATCTGCCTTATCTTCATGGCTAGCTTTCATCAGTCCGGCGACAAGATGATTTGTTTTGCGCCTCTTTACCCTTCAACATATGAAGACCTTAAAGCTAATGAGCCAAGGCCGAAGACGTTTACCAGTCTATGGTCCTTGAAAGCCGTTACTGACTTCCTTTGACACACCAGATTCTTGTCTCAGACTTGGTTCTTCCCACTCCTCTCACCTCCCACCTGTTATCACGCAACTGTCCAAGCCACCCGGTAAAAGTAAAAACTGCGCAAGTGGGTTTTGGAAGCTCAAGCTTAGCGCCTAAACTACAAGATAAAACAGTGTAGATAACTTGAAGATCAACCATCCTTTCAGTCAAGTACACCGCTTATGTCAGTAGGCCCACTAGTCCGTATCGAAACAGTCAAATAGTGTTTTCGCTTACTATTCTCCGGGTTCATCCATCAAGTCTTACAGGCGCCGTCTTTGGCATTGCAATCTAAGTTTTGGAGACCTCATGTCCGTTGCTAGCGCGCTGCTACTACCGCATCTCGAACCAACGTCAAGCACCAAGGGAAACCTGAGAGCTCGACAGCCCAGTGTGTAGAGGTTCGGAGAAACTCAAGCCAGGACCATCTTCCTCAGGAATAAAGCCTGGATTTCAAGGGGAACCCTTGGCCCGGCATGATTGTTGCATTGACCCCAGCTCCCTGATGGGCCCAACACTACCCAAGCTTCACTCGCTCGCAACCTCGTTATGAACTTGTCCCAAGAGACGCGTACACATGAGAAGGCAGAGAACGGGTCAAGGAAACATCTTTGCGCGATTGTTGGCAGCAAAGCACTAACTCTCCTACATCGGCTACTCGGCTACTACAAAACAAAGCATGAAGGACAAGCCGTACCGAATGTGTCAATTGTCGTGAGGTCATTTACTGCATTAGAAGTCTCATTTGTCGAGACAGTTGGTGGGGGCAGAATCACCAGATATGACAACTCATATTTGAACTATGAATTTTTATGTCACAACTCATTCAAAGACATGAGCTAAGATTGAAAAATACGCCTAGACGCGGTACGCAAAGAAATATATCACAAGTCTTTGAGGCAAATTGGCAAATCAATCTCTTTTGATGTTAAATTTTGTCGAGACCCTTCTCGAACCCAGATTTTCCTAACTCTGATGCAGTACTCCTAAGTATGTAGGATCACGCTTGACAAATGAAACATTTTGATGGTGAGTAGCTTCTTTTAGCAGCACTCGCTCTCGACCTCGGCGTGGGCCTTGCCATAGCCCTTGATGCCCTCCTTGCCGCTGTCAAGCTTCTCCATGACATCAGGCTCGAATCCAGCAGCAACGTACTTGGCGCTGTCCTGATCCAAGTTCTTGCCGCTCGACAACCCATACTCGGGGGTTGAGGAACCGTTTGATGACGGACCGGCGGAAGAAGTGGTATCGTCATTGGTGACGACCTTCTCAACGCCGTCCATGAACTTGCGCGACTCATCCTCAACGGAAGTGCCGTTGATCGTGTAGCCCGTGTCGCTGGCATCGACATACGCCTCAAGACCGGCACCCTCGCGGGGGTACTCCTTCATGAGATCCTTGTGCACCTTGAGGGCAGCGCACATGTCCTTGTGGGAGACGTCATTGAGGAACTCGCATTGGCCCAGGGGCGAGGGCACAGCGGCACGCAACTTGCCGTCACGGGTCTTGAGGATCGCCGATGTCGCCTTGTCGAGCATGTCCTCATCGAATTGCGGGTGGTCCATGGACAGACCAGCACGGGAGAAGAGGTTCAGCAGACGGCGGTGCTCCTCGGAGGATAGCCTGCCGAGCACGTGGGCCAGTGTTGCGGAGAAAGCCATGTCAATGGAGATGGCGTGGCCGTGGCGCAGGGGAACGTCAGGCGAAAGCTCGTGGAGAGGGGACCAGCTGCATACGGTTAGCTTCCGAGCTGACATTTGACTCAATGAAGGGGGCACCTACGTGTGGCCGTAGGCAATGACACGGTCCAGCATGATTTCGTGCAGATTGGGAGTCTCCAGCTTCAACATTTCATGGATACCGTTGCGGTTGATCTTGTCCGCAGCCTCTCTAACCTCCTTGCTGGCACCATCGCAGCGTCCGAAACCGGTCTTGATGAGCTCCTCACAGAAGCGGTCAAGCAGGTCAAACGTCTCGAGGTGCGCGCATGTGGAGATTTTGATCAGCTCGGCAAATCCGTTGCGGATTTGGGCGGTGGGAAGTGTGCGCAGGAATGTGAAGTCAAGGAAGGTGTGTGTGGGCGCGTGGTACGCTCCAAGACGATTCTTGTAGTTGCCGTAGTTGACGGCGACCTTGATAGAGACGGAGGCATCGATCAGGCCAATGACCGTAGTGGGAATGCGAATGAAAGGCGTGTTGCGACGGTAGGCGGCGCATGCGAAGCTGGGACTTGTTAGACCATTGGACACGAGAGGTGTGAGAAGCTAACCATACCCGGCGACATCGGTAACAAGGCCACCACCAACAACAAGAACCGGCTCCTTGCGGTAGACGCCAAACTCAGTCATAGAGTCGACAATGCTCAGCAGCGTCTCCATAGACTTGGCCTTCTCTCCAATCATGGTCTTGTGAATCTTGAGCTCAATGTCGTAGTGGTCAAAGTACTCCTTCATCTCCTTGCCGTAAAGGTTGAAGATGTTGAGGTCCATGACGGCCAAGCATCGCTTCCAGCGCGAGTAACAGTCAGCAAGCTGGCTATTCTGCTTGTTGAAGACACCATCAAGGAACTCGAAGTCGTACTCGATCTTCTCGTAACCGCAGACGGAGAAACCCTTCTTGGTGGGCTCTACCGTTGCCTTCATGTCGGAGGCCATCTTGAATGATGGGGTATAGGGAGGGAAGTATTGGGGTTTGGGTAGAATGATGATATGAGGAGAATGAGAGAGACGGAGGATTGACAAGACGGAGAGGTCTTGAGAGTTGTCGGATGCTGTGTGAGTAAGGACGAGAAGGAAACTTTCATCAGAACGCTTCCAACACCAGGCTTTTGAACAAATCGCATACTCATTACGAGAGACAAGACAGCACCGCAGCCGAACGAGAAACCAACAGCTCTTTTCCGCAGCCATCCACTCATGTCCGGATCGAACTCCCCGGTAGAGTTGTCGACATCATCACTTGCGCCTCTAACGTTCATCTAGGTCCACTCCTCGAGGCCTTGACCGACTCTCTCTGTCCGCGGGGGATCGAGTACCACAATTCCGTCGTAGACGAAAACAAATGATCGGGGAAAGGACAAACACGGGCGAGAGCGCTTAGAGCTTGTGGAGCTAAGGTACAGTACTTTTCCCCCTTTGAGACTGACACTGGTCGGTAGTTGGGGGAACGGTAACAAGTACACTCGACTCGTCATCAACATCCGATTTTGGTCACATAATCGGGTCGCAGGTACGAGATCTATATCCAATGCATCAGCCCAAGGCCATGCGGCGTCTGATGAACACTGCATGAAAACCCCTCCTCTGGTTTCTTCTTTCCGTCGAATGTCGGCTGGGCATATGGTTACTGTGTTGCAACGACGGGTAGGCGAGAGTCATGATGCATATGATGTTGACCAATAGATACTATGGCACCCGCCGGAGACGTTTACATCCTATGATGACCGGTGCCGTTCTGGCGCTAGCTACACATGCCACGGGGTGGTGCCTCTCTCGGTGTAACAAGAGCCAATGCGGTTTCGCGCACAGCCAGATGGCGTGCTATATTCGGAGCGCAGTCCGTACGTTTCCGCCCAGAACAAACAGGGCGAAAGCTGGAGAAATCCCATGTTTCACTGTGCGCGAAAAGTCGATTCCATCATCGACATTCGACTTCTAGCTGCAAGACGAGCAGTCTAGCGAAGCTGGGTTAGCCTTGGATCCAACCGACAACGCCCAGACCGCCGGGCGGCTACCCAATCTACTTTACTCCTAGTTTGCCAGGCGGTGATCGACACGAATCGTGAGATCTAGATATTACACGTGGGGAAAGAAGAGGAGAACCAGGGGAAGATGATGTTCCGGCGAGCCGCATCTGGGTCATTGACACTTTGACAGCCTTTTCCGTCGGCTGGTTGGCTGGGAGAAGGAGAACGAGGGAGAAAAGCGAGCCCGCTTGAATCCAGCAGGAATCTTGGTTCATCGTGTTACCCATATTCGAATCTTGCGATATGTGGGAACATCGATCGGATGAAAGCGTAATGTCGCCTGGATTGGATCAGCGGCGGGCGCCCCCCCTGGTTCTGTGCTACTCATAGTCTTGACGCACCTTTAAAGTGGTGAAAAGGCACCCAAGGCAGTTAGGCAGTTGTACAGGCATTGAAAGGAAACCCGGGAATGGGCCGAGGGCTGGGCTGAGCTGAGGAGGAAGAGTTTGCGCCGGTGAGCTCAATTGCATCTTCGACGCGGTCTGGTGAGGTGTTGTTGGCGTCATGACTTGGAAGCGCCCAGACAACTGCCCCTCGCCGCGTGCTAGTACCCGCACCCGGTCGCGAAAGCACCTGACTTGTACCTCCGTACCGCCGTACAAGTAGCTCTCGCAGCCTTTTTACCTTGTGAAGTACCTAGGGGCGACCTGGCGCGGAGGGCAGGTCCGGTCTCCTTACCCCGCCATGGGGTTTTCCTCGGGGCTACGTACCTCTCTCCTTCGCGTGGCGCCTTACCTTTCGATAGCTGAGCTTTCCTCTCCCGGCAATTTTCACCTGCGTAGCTGGTATAATGGGACTTGGGTAGAGGGGAACTGCTAGGCTCCACAGGCTTTGGAGAAGGGAACGTTGGGGTAGAGACTCGCAAAGGTGGTCATGGTCGGCGAGAGCTGCGGCTTCCGGCCATGTCATTGCTCGGGATTCCTTGCTTGCGGGACGAGTTCGGCCTTTGGTGATGGTGGGATTCCCATCCATCGTGATGATAACTAGACCTTTCTGTCATGAGAGCTGTCTGGCCCTTATGTCTGTTTGTTTTCCTTCCTTTTTTGCTTTCCTCTCACCGAATATTTGCTCTCGTAGCTCTTTCATTTGAGACAAATCAAGCCAATTGAAACCAGAGCAGTTACGAAATCCCTGTGACGCTGTCGCAACCGCAACGAACAACACAGTTCCCCAAGATGCCTCATTTTGACGAAAGCAAGGCATACGCCGTCCAAGAAGATGTCTTCTTTGATGACGGCCGTGAGATCGAGCTCCTACACTTTGTCTACAACCAGCCCGACCTTGACGAGATCCGAGGCTCCCCCGAGCGCGTCCTCAAGGCCATTGACGACTTTGGCCGCACCAAGAAGTATCTCATGAACGTCGGCGAGGACAAGGGCAAGATCGTGACGGATTTGATCGCCGAGGTCAAGCCCAAGGTTATGGTGAGCAAACCCTCCCCCCCACCCAAAACCAGCAGGTCTGCAGTCACGATTGAGTTGTCGATCGTCCGATGATTCTCGGCTTGCATCTTGGGACCATGAACTCTTAATCGCCCGCGGTTGACTGAGAGCTGCCATCTAATCTTTGACACCCTCCCCCGCCAAACAGGTCGAACTGGGAGGCTACGTAGGCTACTCCTGCATCCTCTTCGGCGCCGCAGCCCGCGCTGCCGTTCCGGACGCGAAATACTACTCTCTCGAGCGCAACCCCGAGTTCGCCGCGGTGATCGGCTCCCTCGTCGACCTCGCCGGCCTCTCCGCCACTGTGAAAGTCGTCGTCGGCCCCAGCGACGCTTCCATCGCGCGGCTGCACGCCACGGGCTCGCTCCACAAGATCGATCTCATGTTCCTGGACCACTACAAGCCTGCGTACACTACGGACCTGAAGCTCTGCGAACAGCTTGGCATTGTCGGGCCTGGCTCCGTTCTCGCCGCCGACAACGTCATCAAGCCGGGCAACCCGCCGTACCTCGAGTACGTCCGCAGCTCGGTCGCGCAGAAGCGCGCGGCAGCCCAGGACGTAGGCAACGCGAGGAAGCAGAGCGGGTGGCACGACGACCGGACGGCGAAGCAGTACGAAAAGCGCGAGGGTGAGGAGAGGTTGGACTTGTCGCGCATCGGAAACCCGCATCTCAAGTACGAGAGCCGGTTGGTCAACAGCTTTGAGCCGACTGGCGTGCCCGTGAGTTCACACCCTCAACACAACCACAACTCGTTCTTAATGAGGATGTCTAGGATGGTGTCGAAATAACGAGATGTGTGGGCGAGGAGAAGGAATGACTTACGAATCATGAACATTGGTCTTCTACAAGTTAGCTTAACTCTCTTGTATGAGCGCATTGAGACGCGTGGTCAAGAGCGCCATGCGTGGATCAGCGACGAGTTGAAGTTCACAACATGTGACGCAACAAACACAACTGTTTATTGAACAATTGTCGTATACAGTTAGCCGCCATTCTAGCGCTCCTTCATACTCCTTGGTCCCAGAAAACTGCTCCTCTAACGGCGTATTTCATAAAAGTCCCATGAACGCTTGTTTGTCCCAGAGTGTCCCAACAACGCCAAACTCAAATAGTCTTTGCAAAAGGGCAGCCAGTCTAGATTTTGAGCCACGTCTTGGCTCGCTCGTACGTGTAAAAGGCCACGGCCGCCATAGGCACCACCTTAACATAGCCGATCGTCAAGCCCACAAAGAACCCCTGCATTCCCCTCTCTCGGAAAATCATGGCCGCCGTCTCGCTAATCCGAAGCCGGTGGCCATCTCCAACGGCGCCGCCAACCTGCATCCGCCGGCGAATGACCTCCAAGGGGTACGACGCCGTCTGAGAAATGAGGCCGGCGACACCGCCGGCAAGTAGCTCGGCCCAGGACCGGAGCGGCGCGGCCTTTCCCGCGGGTGAGTTCTTTGGCTGAGGAAGGGTTGTGTATTTGGCGAGGCTAGGATGGCGGAGAAGGTCGCCTGCCGTATCGTGCGTGAGGAAGGACATGCCGGCGTAAGGAAGCATGCCCAGCAAAGTCGGCGTGAAGCCTCTGTAAAAATTGATGAGTCCCGAACGCGGGGCGATTGCGGCGACTGCGGAGGTGGCCGTCGCCTCGGTTGCCGAGGTACTGGCCGCTTGTGCAGCCGGGGAGGTCCGCACAAAACGCTCGTTGTAAATCCGGCGGCAAATCGCGGCTAACGAGGAGCCCCCGTGTTTTGTCTCGAAAGCCAAACGGACGCGAATGACCTCTAGAGGGTATGTGAAGAAGACAGAAGTAACGCCCGCCATGGAGCCGCTGATGAGCCGGCGCCAAGGCGTCTCTTGGTCTTTCCGGCGAATAACGAGGGAGCGGATTTGTTCATAAGCAAGGAACTTGATGCCGGCGTAAGGGAAGATTCGAATCAGCGTCGCCGAATGTCCTCTAAACAGCCCGGTGACGCCTTCGTGAGAACGGATATCTTTCATTGCCGTCACAACACCGAACCATGAGCCCGTGTATTTTGCGAACTGAGGGTTGCTCGCCTGGAAGAGGATCTTGACTCGATCGAGGGGTGCGACGACCGTTTTTGCCTGCAGTGTTGGCTAGAGTCAGAAACACCATTCTCGTTTTCTGCTGAGACCTCTCCGGGATTCTACTTACAGCACAGCCTGCCAAGCCTCCCGCGACGCCGGACCGCCAGATATAATCAAACGTCCGCGTCTTCTTCCTCGTCGCTATCGTCTCATCGTCGTCGGTCGGGCACACGGGGGGCGCCCTCGTGTCCGGCTTCGGTCGCGCAGCATCTCGTTGTTTGTTCGGTGCTATCTCCGACATGGAGGCATGTTCCAGCAGCGCTGACGGCATTACCTGGTCAGCGCGACCTGCGACGCTCGCTCGCTGGTTGTTTGTAGTGGTGGAGGCCCGCTGTTACTCGAGAAGCATTCCGCTACTCGTGTTATCGCAAGGGTGGAGTTGATGGGTAGTCCTGGTAGTTGTAATGTTTCCGGTCGAAGAACAAGAGAAGGAAAAGGAAACACGCGCGAACTGGTAAGCAAGGAGGGTAAGGATCGTGGGGTGGTAGTCGTGGGGAAGAGCAATGCGGGAAGGGATGGGAAAGGGTCTTGAGCCGAAATGCGATGAGTGGGACGTCATAAAGGCGAGATTTTTAAAAGGCTCCCTCTCATTGCACTGTCATTCCTTTGGGGGAGCCGTGGACCGTACCGTGGCGCACGAGCGGTAGACGGGGAACTTCTTGGGCGGGTGGCCCGCTGAGTTCTAGTACAGGGGTCTGGGCCACAAGCCGAAGATTGCCGAGCGTCAACACGGGCGGATGGTCACTCGACACTCTTCAATGATGGCTTGTGGGGGAAGGCCTGTCTGTATTTTACTCGGCTCTGGTCCGGAGTTAGACCTACGATATCCACGATACCTCCGCATCCTCCATCGCCGTGTGGGAGGACGAATTGGGCGGCCGAACAGGATTTTACAAACACACAGGAATAAGAAAATCCCTCTAGAAAACTGACCCCAGACCGCCCATCAAAGGAGAAACGCGCCAACGCAGGGCCTCGGCAGCACTGGGCTACAGACTTGGGCTATCTCCCACCCACGGTCACCCTAGTCAAGCCCCGGGTCCGGTCAAGTGGCACTTGGACTGGGCCGGGCCTCAAATTCAGTCTCCGGGGAAGACGCCCCGGTCAAAGCCACAAAGCAAGGCAGATTGGCGCGGTAGGTAAAGGAAGAGGAACCACATCTCGATTTCTCAATCATGGTCTCTAGCCATCCGCCGCAGCCCTCCCCGGCGTGCCCCTTACCCAGGAGCATCTTATTCCAAAATGAGGACAGGTCCGTCTTCCTTATCGACATCCCCGCGTCTCTGGAGGAGAGCCAGTTGTTGCCGGGTTGCAGTGCCGAGACAACAGGTCCACAAAGACGGCTCCTCTCGGTCGACCCCATCACAACACCCTTTTCTATACCGGAACCCCGGGACCCCCTGACCAACAACCAGACACCGGCGAGCCAGCTCGCAGACCTCATGATCGAGGCGGCGGTGAGGAGCGCCCTCGACACGCTAAGCAAAGACTACACCGCGCCGTTTTGCCTCCCACGAGTGACCGGCGGCGGGAGCAGCAACGTCAGCAGCGGTAGTGAGTGCAGCAAGAAGAGCCTGCAGGATCATCCCGCATGCAATGACGCCGCGCAACATGCGGCTGCGGCTGCGGCTACGGCGCACTTTATCCCTAAAGAGTCTGCGTACCTGAGCGGCTCGATCCAGGAGACCAGAGAGGCATTCCTCTCAACGGCGCCCAAGTTTGATCTTATCGTCCTAGACCCGCCTTGGCCGAACAAATCGGCGAGGAGAAAGACTGGCGGTTACTCCACAGTCTACGGTCTCAAGGAGACCCGGTCGCTTCTGGATCACATCCCCGTCGCTAGCCATCTTGCAGATGGCGGCCTTGTCGCTATCTGGGTAACTAACAAGGCGACTTTGGTAGACCTGCTCACCTCGCCCAGAGGAGTCCTCGCTGGCTGGGGCCTCGAAGTCGCCGCTGAATGGATCTGGGTCAAGCTTACCTCTCAAGGGGAGCCCATATTCGATCCTGAGTCTGCTTGGAGGAAGCCGTGGGAGAGACTTATCATTGCCCGAAAAAGGGGCGATAACCACAAGGTGCGGCAGAAGGTAATCGCCGCAGTACCCGACGTACACTCTCGGAAACCAAACCTTCGTCACTTGTTCGAAGACGAACTGCCTCAAGGGTACCTTGGCCTCGAGGTATTTGCGCGCAACCTAACGGCGGGCTGGTGGGGATGGGGCAACGAAGTACTTCGCTTTCAAAAGTCACAACACTGGATCGTGCATTCAACGCCAGAGCAGACCGGGCTAAAGAGAAGCGAACCTGACGATACCAAAACCAATTGACATGCTTATATCTCATGCCGTCCTTTTGTGTTGTACAAGACATGCTACCCGCATGTCAACTAAGTGTTCTCCTGGTTTTTTGTACACGTAACAACCCCGCCAGCCGCTCCCCTCAATGCTCTAGTGACCTCGCCCTGCCTCATGATGACTGTCTCTTCCCCTTGGACGCCTTGACGATCTGATCCCACTTGCTGTCCAACTGCACATCGCTCTTGAACTCCTTCTTGCCCTCCATCATCTTGGCCGCCTCGCGGCGCAGCTTCTTCCGTTCAGCACTCTCCTTGTCCTTGCTCGGGTACGCCAGCCTGCCGAGCTGCCGGGCGACGTCCTCGCGGTACTGCTTCTGCGACGTCGCCTCGCGCGCGTCCCACAGCTTCTTGTTCCACGGCTCGAGGTCCTCGGGCGGGCTGGGCCACACGAAGGCCTTTGTCATCTGCACCGTCATAAACTTCTGGCTCTGCGGGCGGTAGTAGCCCGATGAGGCGCCCTTGCGCTCGATGGGAGACTGCTTCACCCACGACCGCACCGCCGTCACCTCGACGCCGTACAGGTTCCAGAGGTAGTCGCGCAGGTCGAATTTCGTAAAGGTCAGGGGCACGTTGAAAGTCGCCCAGTTCGGCGGGGCGCGGTCTTTGCGGATGAGGGTGACGACATGGTTCGGCCTGGGAAAAGGGAGGTTAGCGTTTTGCTGTCTCGAGCTGCGTGGCGCGACTGCTCGGAGAGCAGGTTCTTTTCCTTTTCGAAACGGAGTCGGGCTTGTAACTTACAGGAAGACTGGCTTCGCTCCGAGCTTGAAGTTGGGTGCTTGGCGGGCTACCGCCTTTGTCAATGCTTCCGCCATCTTGTCGTCGGTGGTCTGCTGCACTTGGTCGTAGAGCGTCGACTCGCGAGAAATCCAAAAAGTTCCCAAGGTCGAGATCACCGATTCTGAGTTGCTGATTGGCTCAATCGGGCTCACGTATTTCCGCAGAAATCACCGGGTGAGTGGAGACCGGGCCTGCGTACCTAGTGGGGCCGATGGCCGAGAGTGGCGTCTCCATAAAATGGTTCCCAGCTTGTCCGGCTCCAGACCGGATAGAGCGGGACTATTCTGGAAAGGTGCTTCGACTCAATTGCCGAAGAGAGTTAAGATACTGTTTCCACAGTAAGTGATCTTCTCCAATTTCCGAATTATTCAAATGATACCTCGGTCAGGAATCGACTGCGTAGGTATGTACACCATAGCAATTTGCTCAGACAGGTGGGGTAAAACTCAGTCACGCGACGTCCTGCCTTTTAGGCATCTCGGACTCCAAAGGTTTGAGATGAGCCCGCTTTGGATTCTTCCTATTCTGTACATATGGCTCAAACCTCCATGTAGCAATACCTGATTGTCTGTGAATGAAAAGAAGGCCGATGGGCAAACGCTTGATATTAGCACCTCCATGTGGGAAAGGAGTGCTGCTGAGACATTCTCTTCTTGGCGGAACGCTCGTCTGTCCCATGTTTTGCCTTACACTCGCAAACCGACTAACTCGGAAATTGAAGCGCTGATCAAGGGATTGCCTTGTCCGTCAAGCCTGAACCCCAGATTCCAACACCGGATGGGTTTGGTTATGTAAGACCACGTACCAACCTAAGCTGAGCTAAATCTCCACCGGTTTATGAGGGGGAATTGGAGCGCACACGTCGCATTTTTGGGTTCGGGGAAGATTTTGTAGTCATAGCCCAGAAAACAAAGCTACCGTACAATTCATTTGGAGGACATGCGCAATATCCGTGAGACATGCAGTGGATTACCTTGAAGTCGTAGGGTGCAGAGAAAGGGTCCTTGAAATGGGTTGAATTGCGACTAATAAACAGCATTGCTAGCAATATGGAGATTTCAATATCCCGTACACATCTGGAAGGCTTTTCCCGTCCTTCTTACAGATCTTCATGAATCATGATGGACTTTTACCATCCATCCGTCATGGCTAATTGACATCTTGCTCAGACGTCGAGGCCGTCGACGACGACGCCCTTGTTCCAGGTCCAGTTCATCTTGCGAGCGACCTCCTCGGCCGACGCATCGTCGACAAGAGCGCTGATGAGATACAAAGCTGCATCCACACCAGCGCTGTTTCCAGACGCCGTAATGACACGGAGGCCACCGAGGCGCATCGCAGCACGACGAGTGATGGACTCGCGGCGGCCGGAGCTCTTGAAGGACATGCTGCCCTTTCTGTTTGTTGGCGTTAGCATCGTCTGCAACAGCGGTGGGGAGATGGATGTTTGGGTTACATACCTGGCATTGGAAGGTCGGCGGCCGGTGTCGGACTTGCGGCGGACATACGGGTTCTCGTCCTCGTCTCCGAGGTCGAAGCGCAGGTTGTTGACGACGTATCGGGCATCGTCGATCACATCGGTTCGCTCGGTCAGGTTGCGGGTAGCAGCCTCACTGCAAAGGATCTCGAACTTGGTAATGTAGTCTGAGTGGGTAGTAGCCGACAGGCCGGCGAGGATTCCCTGCTTGGCGAGGAAGAGAGCACCAGTGCAGACGGAAAGAAGCGTGCGCTCGTGGGAGGGATCCGTCTGCTGTAGCTCGGAGAAGGCCTGGATGAGGGGGAGGGGCTCAGCATTAGCCTTGAGAACGTTCTCGCTGTCGCCGCCGACAACAACGAGAACGTCGAAGTCACTAAGACGCTCGTAGGCCTCCTTGAAGGGGATCTGGGTGCCAATGGTGACGCCAGAGTCGGATACGACCTTGGGCTCTGCGGCCGTGATGGTACACTCGAAGGCCTTGGAGTCTGCGGGTGGTTGGGGTAAATAGTCAGCGCTGCTGCGTCAAGGAGCCGTGGCGGGTTGGAGTGGGGAAACTGATGAGGAGGAGCTGTTGTCCTGGGAGATCGGAGTACTCACTCTTATCCTTCTGGTCGTGGAGGGCGGCAGTCAGGGCCTCCATTGGGCCTGCCATGTCGAGAAGGTCAAAGTTGGGTTGCAGGGCAAACAGAACCTCAATGGGCTCGTCCGCCACTGCAGAGCTCTTGTTTGCCATCTTGTCGACTGTTTGTGATGTGGTTCAAGGGGGGAAGATGAAGTAATACAGCTTGTAGTTGCTGTTGGATGTTGGAGTAACTAGAGCAATTGGGACCGAGAAGAAGAGTTCTCGGAGAAGGTTGGTGCTGGGAATTGGGTGCGAGTTGGCTGGATTGCGAAGCTTGTTGGTGATGATGGAAGATGAGGAGGAGAAGAAGACAGCTCAGAGCTATTTGGATGAAAAGAGGGAGGGGAAGGAGGTAATAAGGGTCGAGTCATCTGGACAAAGGAGGGGTTGTACCACCGCCCGATCTCTGTCTCTCTCTACCTCTCTCGACCTGCTTTACCTGACGTCCAACTTGTCTACCTCCTCACGCATCACCTTGAGGTGGGCGTTCAGGTACCTCACCTCACGCACGGCATGTCCCTCCAGTGTTCCGCCCTTGGATCTGCGCAGCTGGCCGGCTTCCAAGCACCCCAAAGCAACCCCTCAGCTCAGGTCACTGGCCATCGGCGACTGATCAGGTGCGTTTCTGGACAAGGCCACAACCCACAACAGCTTCGAGTGGTCCAATGGCCCCACTGTCTCCCGTACGTTTTCTGGGGTCGGGTGCATCGGTGGCCCAAGGTGCATGGCGCTCTTTCGGATTGCGGGGTTAGTCCACGAGCGTTCTCCCCGTGAGGTCACTGGTGGGCCCCGGTACATGTCTGCAGGGCAGCCGGGCCACCGAGATGCAAGTATCTCCACCTTGCAATTCTCGTCGTCCCCCCATCGCAAACCGTAGGACCCGTAGAAAGGCTAAGCGAGACCAACCAAGCGCTGTTCAGCCCATGCTGCTTGATCGGTGGCCGCTGTGGCCTGCCGCATAGTGGCCTTCCGCTGGGCCCCTCAGTCGTGCCCTGTAGTGTCCAATGACACAATCTTGTCCATTCCCGGCCTTGTACGAGAGAGGGTCCCTGGCAAAGCTTGTACCTTGCATCAGCAGATTCCGTTGCCTGACAGTTGCATGACATCGACTTTCACCTGCGCCCTCAGACGCACCTTGCCCTGATTCTTGTTACAGTTCATACCATCGCAAGGCTCGATGAAGAGTTACCGCTAACAAAATGGCGTCGTCAGCGTAAGTGGCCAGATTTGTCCCCGTCGTATTTCTCGCTTTCCCTCCAGCCTGCTCCGCTGCGTCATGCGGTGCGCGATATTCAATCCTGCAGCCTTCTGGCCTTCTGGCCTTCTGCTACTTTGCGATAAAGCATACGGTTGACTGACACCGCGCTGCATAGGTCACTCAAGGACCTGTCCAAAGCCTTGACGTCCTTCTTCGCCTCACCCTCCCTCCCGCTGTCCGACGACGTCGCCGAGGTCGTCGATGCCTACCTGAACAAGCATGAGAAGTATGACGATTCGAGCGCCGAAAGACTGCAGGACGAACTCCTCAGCATCTGGGACAAGCACGTCAAAGGCGCACCAGCCAAATATGCCCCTTTCCTCCACATCTTCCGTCTTCTGGTGTCTGCGATCCGCGCGCCCGCTCGCTTATTCAAGTGGTGGGATCTTCTCAACGACCCGGTCCTAGAGAACATCAGTCGGGAGAAGGGCCTGATGGAAGAGTCGCACCTTGCGACGCTAGAGGTTTTGATGCTAGAAAAACGCGAAGACGACGACTCGACTGCTGAACCCGTCGTCAACCCTTTCGCCAAACGACTGCTGTTGACATGGTTGGAGAAATATCACAAAGTCCAGTCTGAGAGCGACTTGACTGCGCAATCCAGTGAGCGCGCAATACGTCAAGCTTTGATAACATACGGCAAGAAAAAGCCCAGAGTAAGTTGGATTCTGTGTTGGCTGTGGTTGCGACTGGTTGTCTAACGAGATGGCAGGATTTTCTCCTCACCTTGGATACGTGCTTCGTGCGGAGTGAATTCCGGGCGAGAATCGCTAAGCTCCTTTGCGAATTCGTCCAAAGTCAGCCGCCACATCTGCACTTGATATTGCAGACGCCACTATTCAACAACTTGATGCGATGCTTGCAGCAAGACACGTCGGCAACCGTCATTTCTTTGGCCATCACCGCCCTGATCATGATATTGCCACATATGCCAAGTTCGTTGGTGCCACACCTCCCAAATCTTTTCAACATATATGCACGGCTGTTATTTTGGGACAGCGAACGGACTGGGATCGTCGAGGCCACATCAGATGAAAGCGAGCAGAAGAGTATTGCGTCGCCATCAGGATGGGAGACCTGCCCTTATTCTCAGGAGACCGACGACCTCGAAGTCCCTCACTTGGCCAACTACTTCACCATTCTTTACGGCCTGTATCCCATCAACTTCATGGATTACATCCGGAAGCCACAACGATATCTTCGACACGCAAATGCGGCCAACCCGGACGAGCTTGAAGTCCAACCAACCGAAATACGACACAAATCCGAGCGCTTCAGGCAAAGTCACCTTTTGCACCCAAACTTCTATACCCTCACGATCGACTCTGAAAAGACCGATTTCGGGCGTTGGATGACAAGTGAGCCTGCAGAAGTCGTGGCCGAGTGTATGGCGCTGCGGTTCTCTCCGGAAACCTTTGCGACTGTTGATGCAGGCCATGGCCAGGCCGCTGATGGAGACATCTCCTTGCTCAGTGACGAATCGGATCGGGATAGTCTCGGACCTGCCCTGCTCAGCGGTTCCAGGTTGGAACCTGGGGCTGAGAGCTGGAGAAGCACTCAAGATCCGGAACAGCACTCGCGGGCGAGCAGCCGCGTCCATTCGACTAGTCAACGTCAGAGCTCACTGTCTAGCCAACCTTCACACAGGAACTCACTTGAAGCCCCCAAGGCCGATGTAGTCGCTGACAGTCCGACCCTACCTCCACAGCTCATCACGTCGCCCTCCCACACACAGTTGCAAGACATGCTGCACTCAAACAAGGTCATCAAGTCCGGACTACATCAGTCGATGGCAAACGACAGCGTCCCATCACTTGCATTGAGCCATCAGGAATCTGCGGCAGAGAAGTCCAGTAGCCATATGCCCCCTCCCCTACCGGCTATGCCTGCGCCGACGTCTCTTTCCGGCAGCCATTCTCAGATTGCGCACCTGCAGCGGCAGATCCTTCTCCTGCACAATGACTTGAACTTTGAGAGGTATCTGAAGCAGCAACATATGGCGCATATCGGCGAGCTGCGGCGCAGACAGGTTCGGGAAGCTGCAAGTGAGGCTGAGACTCAAAATCTCATTTTGACCAACCGAACGTTGAGGAAACGGCTGGAAGATTCCAAGAAGGCCGAAATGCAGATTAGGAAGGAGTCGGAGAAGAGCCGCACCCTGGCGAAGAAGTGGGAGTCGGACTTATCCGCAAAGCTGAGAACTCTGCGTGAGGAATCGAGAAAGACTAAGACGGAGATTCAGTCTCTGCAGCAGGAGCTGCAGAGTGCAAGAGAAGAAAGCGAGAAGTTGAAGAAGCTGGTATGTGATGCTGAGGTTAAGGAGCTCAATTCGAAGCAGACCATGCAGTCCATCGAGATCAACGCCGCGGAGAACGACCGGCTGAAAGCTGATGTGGAGCGGCTGTCGATCTCGGAGAGGGATCTTCAAGCCAAGGAAGCGGAGAGACAGACGGCGATTACATCTGCGGCGGAAGCAGAAAACCGGGCAGAGATACTTGGTTTGAAACTTCAGGCCCGCGAGGAGGAGCTCCAGAAGACCAAAAGGCTCTTCCAGACCCAGATTGGTGTGCTGAACACGAAGCTTCTCGAGGCACACGAGGGCATGCACAGCAGGCGAACCGCCGAGACCAAGGCCGCCGTCGAGAGTGCACTTGCAGCGAGCCGGGCGAAGCAGGCTGAGCTGCAGAAGCAGTACACGAATCTGATGAGGAAATACACGGTACTGCAGTCGCAGGTCGAGGAGAACCGGTTCTCGGTTGGATCGTCCAACTCGCATGGTCGAGGCGACTTTGTCTTCCGCATGGAAGGAGACGGGGAGGGTTCGACACACTCGACTAGCCCCGTCACAACGCGAGGCAGCCACTCGGGCTTGCACAGGGTCTTATCCGACCATGACTTCATTAACCCGACGTCCTTCAACGCGACACCACCCATCATGTCTAAGCCGTCGACTCCGGTGCCTGCGGGCTTGGCGCACCTTCCGCCAGTGGCATCCAGCCCGTTGGATATGGACGAAGGCGCAGCCGCCAGCCCATCGTCGGCGACAACCGATCCAAGATATTTCGGCAGAGGTGAGTCTGGAACGGCCCGGATTCGATTCCGCGATGGTTTTTGGCGGATCAACTAATCAAAGGCTTCGGTTTTTTTGTTTTCAGGCGGAGTTCAGAATCGACGGAAGGATGAAAAGGGGAAGAAGTCTGGAGTCATTCGGGGTATCCGCGGATACATGTGAAGGGACAGGATGACGGTACATGTTGGATTGGTATCGTGTTTCAGTACGCGGTGCAGCTTGCGAAGAAAGATACCCATTGCCCGACGGTGCAAACGCTTTGCTGCACACGTCATTTCGCTGCTGTCGTAGAGGACCAACGTTGACACTACGTTGACTGGTCATTGTATGAAGAATTCAAAAACCACACCACGAAACAACCCACAATGCTCTCCGTGCTCTCTCTCTCCTCTACCACGCTCGCGACCCGCTCTCCATAGATCCCCATCTGCGCGCCCATCGTCACCAACCAAACAACCAAAAAGCCTGCCCGGCTAGCTCAATCGGTAGAGCGTGAGACTCTTAATCTCAAGGTTGTGGGTTCGACCCGTAAGCGCACCTCTGTCCAGTGTTCATCACATCCGAACATCGCCACTAACACCATACCAGCCACGTCGGGCTCAATTCCCGTCCGCGATTGAAGCGCACTTCCTTTTCTTTTGCATTTGCCCCCCTAACGTTTCTCCAATACGAGTATCAGAGATACCTTTTGTAGTTGACCTAGCTTGACGCAGTATGAACAGGACAGGCAAAGGGGTCAATTGTATCACTCAAATGTCTAACCGCCTTGGTGAAGTGGACGAATATGATTCTTCCCGTGATAGAGAAACCTTGAGTTACGACACCGAGAAAAGGCATCATTAAAATAGACGAGACAACTACAGACCCAACACAAGGCCAAGAGTCCATGCCATGATTCCTTTTTTTATATTCTTTAGACTGTAAAAACGCCCACCTCAACGGTTCTCATGTATTCATACATTTTCTTTTTCGTACTTTCCCCGCTGTCCAAGTCTATCTCGCTCATCCAATGTTCAAATCTAGGCCGGTGTAACCTATGCTGTGTGTATGGGAAATGGGCGCTCAACCAGCGTTATCCAAGAACGAAGCCCCTCCGTCTTGCACAACGTGTGAAAGTCTGACGCCAGACTCTACTCTGCGCCCTCGCCGATGAGACTCAACAGACACTGATCAAAGTCGTTCAAGAGTCCTCGGTAGTCGCGGTGGCGGCGCCGTCGGCGGCGGGCTCGGGCACGTCGGCGTCCATCTCCTCGGGCGTAGGGGCGTCCTCAATGTCAATGTCTTCCTTCTCCGTGACTTGGGCGTCCTCCGTAGTCTTGGCCTTGGCAGCCTCGTCAATCTGGCGCTGCTTCTGCAGGCTGTTGTTGATGAGCGGCGTCGTGTCGTTGAAGATGCGCAGCAGCATGGCCGTGCGGTCCTCCTTGGGCAGCATGAGGTTGAGCGAGTGGATGCTCTTCCACAGCGGCAGCGCCATGCGCTCGCTAAAGGCCGGATCCGAGCCATCGGGCTCCACGCGGAGCACGCAGCAGCCCATGCCGATGTCGCGGACGCGCGCGCCGATCTCGCCCATCTTCTCCCACTCGCCGTCGGCGATGCGCGGGAACATCTCGATCAGGAGGCGGCGGAGCGTCTCCTTGGTCGTGAGGCGGACGACGCGCTGCTCGCCGACGTAGCCCTGCAGGATCGGCATGCCCTCGGACTGGATGCGCCAGCGGCAGATCTCGGCCGAGGGGGCGTCCTGTTTCATAAACATCTTGACGCCGCCGTGGATGACCTTGATGCCGCGGCCCTCGTTCTCAACGAGGATGTCACGCGCGAGCGCCGAGGTGTAGTAGATGGCCTTGGCGGGCTCGCCGGCGGCATTGCGCACCATGAAGCGGTCCTCGGGGAAGCGCGACGAGATGTGGTAGAAGGTCTTGATGTTCTTGATAACCTCGTGCTTGGGGTCGAGGTACTTGAAGGGTTCCTCGACCTGGCCGTGGATGTTGCGGTTGGATCTCTTAGGCTTATCTTGTGACGCCTCGAGCTTGGGCTTCTTGGTCTCTTGGGTCTCACCGTCAGCCGTCTCGTCCTCTCGCGATCGCTTAACGCCGTTCGTAGCATCCTGCTCGGGCACCTCGGCCTCGGTCGTGGCCTTTTTCTCACTTTTTTCCTCGGGCTGGGCCTCGGCGGCCTCGGCGGCAGCGGGGGCCTCCTCGGCCTTCTCCTCGACCTTCTCTTCAGTCTTCTCCTCAGGCTTCGTCTCCGTGCCGTTCTCGGTTGCGGGGGTGGCAGCCGCGGTGGTTCCGTTCGACTTGGTCGCGTCGTCGGCCTTTTGATCCTCGGGGCGGATCTTGACCTCGGCCTTCTTCTGCAGGACGGTGATGAAGAAGCCACCAGTGTCCTGCTGGTGAGCGTAGACTCTCATACAGCGCTCGAGAGGGAGATCGGCGCACACGCTGCCCTCCAAAGGCGGGAACATGGTGTCGACGATTCTGCCGGGCGCAATGCCGTCGGTGCTGTTCTTGGTGTACTCGTCAACCTCGGCCTGCGAGCCCCAGAGTCTGCCGGACTTATCCATGATCTGCCACTTGCGCATGCCGGGAGCGCGGACGAGACCCTGCAGCTCGTTGCTGCAGTCGACGATCTCGACCTTGTCGGGACCACCTGCGCGGTCGATGGCGGCCGCGACAACAGACTCGTTTTCAACGGGGTTCATGCTGCACGTGGAGTAGACCACGCGACCTCCGACCTTGAGCATGGCAAGGGCACGCAGAAGGATTCTGACCTGTGTGACGTGGAGACCCAGCGCGTTGCCAGGCTGCCAATCCTTCCACAGGTTCATGTTCTTTCGCAGTGTGCCATCACCCGAGCAGGGCACATCGGCCAGGATCCGGTCGAACTTGAGGTACTGGGGCTTGTTGGGGGTCGCCGGGTCGGAAGGGAGCTTGATGGCGGGGTACTGGGTGGCATCGTGGTTCGTAACGAGCAGGTTGGGGGATCCAAGACGCTTGAGCTGGTGAACAAGCATGTGGCCGCGCTTGTAGTCGGCGTCGTTGGCAATGAGAAGGCCAGTAGTGCGGCCAGCATCCGTCGGGTCGGCCTCGAGGTCAGCCTGGCGCTCCTCCTCCGTCTCCTCGCCGAGGTCAAGACCGTCCTCCTTTGCGTACGCGCGCAGGACCTTTCTCACTCTAGCCTCCTCGCCCTGGTGGATCATCTCGAGAAGCTGGCCGGCCTTGCTGCCTGGCGCAGCGCACATGTCCAGCACGGTCATGCCGGGGCGGACGTCCATCAGCAGAGGGGGGATCATGCTGACAACTTCCTGTCTGCTGATGTTTCCGACGGTCGTCTCGGAAACGAGGAACTTCTGGAAAGCGGCGAAGGGGGGTATTTGCGGATGATGTTCTTCGGGGTGGTCATCCACCAGGCAAGCTCGTTGGGGTACCAGGACAGAGGCTTGGGGGGCTCGACGGTGCGTCCATCGGCGTGTTCGATCTTTTCGATCTCGGGCATGTATCGGGTCTGCAGGAGTTTCTTGACGGCCAAGGCGTGGCTGAAAAGAACAAATTAGTACGACTGGACAAATGAAACCATCGGTCGAGTCGGTGTTGCCTACCCTTTGGAGCCGCAGAAGCGGAAGCTGTTAGGGAGGTCTCTGCGAAGCGCATCCCAGAAAGGGCCCTGTTCCTCCTCAGAGAGGCCAATGATGGTGTTGTAGTAGCGCTGAAGCCTCTCGTTCTCCTTCTTAACGGCAGGGTAGGACTGCCACGACTCGCTGCGAGGCTGGCGACCGCGATCACCGCCCGTCGCGTTGCCGCCGCCGCGACCCTTGCCCTTCTTTCCACCCTAGCGAAATAAAGGTCAGCGCAAAATGACACCATAAATAGCACTGCGAAGAGACTCACTCTGAATTTGCGACCCATGATGCTAGATGATTTCGACGTGCGTGGGTTTGGTGGATTGCGCACGTGTGTGTCTTGTTTAGAGGAGGAAGGGATTCAAAGACGAGTCCAGTCCTGTCGGCGTTGAGTCGCGCGGTGTGAAATTTTGCCGTCACCCAAGGGGAAAAAAAAAAAAGTTGGAGGTTCAGGCGCGGAATGCGCCAGCCTGTGGCCGGCCCCTCGATTGGAGATGATTGACCAACCAGACACCGGCGTTGCTTGGTATCTTATCACCCCGCATCAAAACCCCCCTGTCCCTCAGGGTCCGCCCCAGCTTGCATCCGCTCAAGCCACTGAGAACCGTCCCGCATTCAGAGAGCTCCATCCTTCAACATTCATCTCACCCACCACGAAGCTTCCTACCCAGATGCGTATTTTTCGAAACTCGAGACAATAACAACATGAGATGTCCTCGCGTGATTAAGGTGGTGTCCCGAAGGAAAGCAAGACACTCGCGGAAATGATCACTCCACATATTCGGGTTCGGAAGCCCCTCAAACCTTCCGTCTCCGTCCGATCCGCAGCAGGCCCTGACAGCGTAGACCATAATTATGTTGACAATTTGAGCTCTTCATGCTTTTTACGCACCATGTATAGCGTCTGTATACCTCTCAATACTAATACCTCGGAAATGATTGGGCCCTCGTGCTTGGTGCGAACAGTGAAGTGGACGCCGAGGCATAACGAGCTCCAGGGATAATATAATAGGTTGCACTGCGGGGTTCCGCGGCAACCGGTAGTCGCTGATTCTCCTCTCTACTTGGCAGCTCAGGCTACTGTGGTACGATTCGTTTTGCTCGCCGCCGCAAGAACGTATCCCGTCTGTCGACAGATTGTTCTCGCCAACCGTGAAGCGAATTTACTTATTGGACTGGGACCGGCATCCGAAGGCCAGAAGGCCGAAAGCCTAACTATCTGCACGGAGCAATACCGCGCCTTTCGGCCTCGGGACTGGCTTTTGCGCGACCACCGCCACCCTAGCTAGCTGTTTAACTTCCTTAAATACCATAGCTCTTTCTCATCTAACCATCTGAATTTCTCTTGGCTCTTCATTTCTCATACCAAATCTACACTCGGCTCATCATCTAAGTGAAGTGACTTGCCTATACATAACAAATTATGACTCCCTCATCCACAGACGCCTCGGCCGCCACCCATGGCAATGGCAATGGCAACGGCAACCTCCCCAGCTCATCTGCTACTACCAAGCAGGATAAATCCACTATACTGGACCCGACGGGCTTCCGCATGCCCCAAAAGTTCGAGGACCCGTACGAGCACCGGCGATACCTCAAGGAGCGGCTGGCTCTGGGCTTCCGCATCTTCGCTAAGAACGGCTTCGACGCCGGCGTGGCGGGCCACATCACCATTCGGGTATGTCCTACTTCCCCGCCAAAACTTAACTTTCACCTTCTGGTTTGTTCCTTTTCTCGAAACAAACACTGACGTATCTGCTTAGGACCCCGTAGAGCCGGACACGTTCTGGCTGAACCCTTTCGGCGTTGCCTGGCCGCTCCTCAAGGCCTCCGATCTCATTCGTGTGGACTCCGAAGGAAAAGTCATTGAGGGCGGCCCTGTGAAGCTCCTTAACACTGCTGGTTAGTTACACCATCCACTGCTTCCGCGCTCTTCAGACGTCTCCCCGTTTCCCTGGCTGTGGTCTTCTCTCTATAGCTCTTTTCCGCCCGCTGACTAACACAACCTTCCCAGCCTACATGATCCATCACGCAGTTCACGAAGCACGCCCCGACATAAACTGCGTGGCTCACTCTCACTCCCTTTACGGCCAGGCCTTCTCAACCCTCGGCCGCAACCTCGACATCATCAGCCAGGACACCTGTGCCTTTTATAACGACATCGTCCTCTACGACTCCTTTGACGGCATCGTCCTGGGCAAGGAGGAAGGACTGCGCATCGCCGCGGCCCTCGGCGACAAGAAGGCCGCCATCCTCCAGAACCACGGCCTCATCACCTGCGGCAAATCCGTCGAGAGCTGCGTCTACTGGTTCCTGAGCCTCGAGCGCTGCTGTCACCAGCAGCTGCTGGCCGACGCCGCAGCGGGAGGACGGGGCCACGAGACTGTCAAGGTCGCCAAGGAGGACGCTGAGTTCACGTACAAGTCGGTCGGGACGGAGCTCGCGGGCTGGTTTTCGGGGAAGCCGGCTTTTGATATGATGGAACATGAATCGGGTTTTGCGTATAAGATGTAGATATTTAGGTGTTCGCTGCCAGATTGGCGATGCTAGTTTTAATGATTGATATGCCAAGATTGTAACCAACACCTGTCGACTAATCAAACAATCCGACGTTCATGCTTGGGTATGTGAATGTCATTCTGCAGTCAGCAACTAGACGATTCGTCTCAACACACTTGGTGCAACTAGGACGCACAGGCCAGTTCAGCAGAAGAATGGCTAAAGACGAGAAGGACATTTCTTCATCCGTGGAGTGGTATTACAACAATGATAGTACACAAATATGATACATCTACTCGTCAAGCAATCCTACAGTCCAGTGAACGATCCGGTCGACTCCCTGGCCGTTGATGGCGCTCACAGGAATCGCGGTACACTTCTCCGTCCAGGCATTCTCAATTCCGCTTGGGTGAGGAGTAGTTCCTTGGTTGATTTCGTCCAGGTATTGCTTCAGCTCCTTGAAGTTCTCCTGCGTCTCGGGGAGATCGGCCTTGGTGGCGACCACGAACCAAGGCTTGGCTGTGATATGCAAGCCGTTCTCCTGTTTGGGTGCCGGGGCGCATCCGCAACCATCATAGTACCCTCCGCCGGTGCACGTCCACTGGCGCCGGAGCTGAGGTCCCAGTCGACACGGGAGTCGATCTCGCGGGCGCGCTCTTCCTCCTCGCGCATCTGAGCGTAGAGGCCCACCTCATTCCACAGCGCCTTGAGGGCCTTCACAGCCGGACCGGCAGCGAGGTCAACGACGAAAGCGAGCACGCCGGCACGTTCGACGTGACGCAGGAAAGCAATACCAAGACCCCGGTCCAGGTGAGCACCCTCGATGAGACCCGGAATATCGGCAACCGTGAAGCGGGTTCGTTGCTCGACGAGGACTTCCTCCTCGCCTGGGCCGCCATGTCCGGAGTCGGTGGCCGGGTAACGCTTGTAACTCTTGATGACAGGCCGGCCCTTGTAGCTGTCCAAGACAACTGTCCCAATATTTGGCTGCAAAGTCGTAAAAGCCCAGTTCCCAACGCGGGTGCGCGAGTTTGTAAGCGCACGAAGCAGTGTGCTCTTGCCAGCGTTGGGCAATCCGACCAAACCGACGTCGGCAAGCAGCTTCAGCTCGAGCTCGATCTCCATGGTTACAGCGCGCTCGCCCTTGGTGGCGAAGATGGGTCGTGGGTACTCTCGCGATACGAAGTGAGGATTGCCGAGGCCGCCAATGCCGCCGACGGCGAGCAGAATGGGCTGGGGTGAAGGGCGCGACAAGTCGAGCTGGATCGGGCCAGGTGGCTGGTGGTAGAGACGGGTACGGGTTGGGGCCCGGGGAAGAGATATCGTCTTCAGATCAGACTTCGAAAGGCCGGGGTACAAAAGAAATTTGTTCCGGTCGGGGTCCTCGGGCTCATCAAAATCGTCTTCGATGGCCTGTCTTGGGCCCCTGTTGTCCTCGTCGGCTGTGTCTTCCTCTTCCTCCTTCAGCCCTTCCTCCAACTCTCGCCTCGCCATCTCCGCCTCGCGCGCCAATTTTGCCCGCTTCTCGGCTTTCTTCTGTGCTTTCAGTGTGCGCTGCAACATCGCGTCCTCGGCGACTGGGTCTTCTCTGCTCAACTCGCGCACCACCGTACCAACTGGCACCGTGATGATAACATCGTCGCCTCGCTGGCCACCTTTTGAACTGCCCTGTCCTGATTTTCCTTTCCCAGCTCGAATGAATCGCCGTCTGGCTAGCTTGTGCAACGAAGTTTCGCCGTGCACTGCTTGTATGTAGATGTTGCCTCCGTGGCCACCGTCGCCGCCATTGGGGGGGCCGTCGGGGAGGTATGCGTCGCGGAAGAACGAGATGCAGCCATGGCCGCCAGGGCCAGCATAGAGTGTTACGGACGCTTTGTCGGCGAAAATGGGCAAAGAATAGTCGTCGGGAGCTGGGTTTAGCCTGCTGGTCTTCGGTTCTTGGGCGACGTGGGTCGAGCTATTGCGACGACATGCGACTGCTCGTGCAGCAAAGCGAGGTGCCGCCGTATTTCTACCAACAAATAACGAGGGGTAAAGAAATGAAAGAAAAAGCGAGTTGCCACCAGAGCATCTTGACGCCATCGTCATTCCTCGTTTACGCCGATTGAGGCGATCGTCGTCGAGTGGTTGCGAATGCTTCAGATGAAGCGAAGCTCCGGAAATTTTGGGACTTTGCAGCCATCTACAGCGATAAGATAAGGCGTTTGTTTACATAATCGAGCAGGGGCGGGAGCAGCCGCTGTGAGACTGGGATCAACCACCCAAACGCTGTTGTCAAATCGGACCAGTGCCCAAATGCCTGGGAAGCAACTGGGGCTGGCACGATGTTCAGCGGAGTGCACTGCCTCGCAAGCTCCCCTCGAGTTGCCGGAGGAAGGCGGAAGGGATGAAGACGTGTCTCGCTTATCTTCTCAGCCTCTTCAACGTCACCTCGTTACAATACGAGATGCGGCTCTATGGCCGGCTACAGTGAGACTGATCCGGCTGACCCAGAGTGTGTTGCTGGAGCTTACCAATGACGGTTTGCCACAGCTTCTTTGTGACTCTGGAATATGATTAATCAAATTATTCAGGTAAATGCAGCAGGCTCTGATGGAGAGGTCGGCTGCATGGAACGAGATGCGGTGAGCGAGCCCGATTCTCCAAACCTAGAGTATCGCAGACACTTCTTTCAAAGCTTGGTTCAGACCGCCGTGGTGGGAATGACTACAGATTAAGCAGTCTATCATAGTTAGAGACGAGCCTGCCAGCGTTGAGAATGTTTGAGTTGGTTTCGTCGAGTTGCACCTGGGAGTTGAGCCGGACCGTCACCAGGCGTTCATCGCCGACGGGAAACCAAACGAGCCGGGCCCTCAACGTTGCATCGAACGGAACCCTGTAGTCCCCCCTTCCCAGCTCGTTGGTGTAGTTCTGGTGGCCTGGTCTCGTCTCGTCTCGTTCGCCCCTTCTGCATCGTACTTTGCTGTAGCTTGCTGCTACGGTCTGATCTGGTCTGGCCT